ACAGAGCAACGGGAGCTCACTCTGTCGCGGGGATTCGAACCGCTGACCTTCTGATTGGCAACCCCAAGAGGCTCAATGGTTTAGACCACAGCGCCACCTGCGTCCCTAAAGGGGAGTAGCAGAGAACCCCAGGTGAATGAAGGCAAAGACCGAATCATGTTAAAAAACTAGCCATTGTTATGTTCTGTCCCAACCTCACCAACCCACAAAAAGATTTCATTGCATTCCTAACTGCAGAGATTACTCCTGGATCTGCACAGCTGTCATGTCCAAGACCACCCTGATTTCTGATAATAAATGTGGTGTCTGAACTGCAGAATTTTAAGAGTGCAACAGTCTGAACATTTCATACCCTCTCTCCCTATCCTGAATGTTTCTCTTCCACCATGCTGTACTTAGGCAGCTCAACTCTTACACATGCCTAATCAGGCTATGGAAGATAAGTGCCTTGTTAGGGAATAAAGGAAGGACACACACACATAGACATAGAGGTCTATCACATGACAGAGTGTAGGTGATTAGCAAGTACTGAAGAATCTCAAGGACAGACGCTCACAATAGTTCTGTACAAATGCACGGTGCAGCCACTGACATCTGAAGCCAAATGAGTCATGCTGTTCAGAGCCCTGCTGGGAGATGCTAGAGCTGATGCAGCCCACCTGTGTAGAAAACAAGATATGGTGTGGGATCCGTAGCAGGGCTGAGGAGGAGAAAGCTAGGATGAGAGAAGGGGGATCTAGTCTACCTTTCCATAAAGGTGCAGTAGACATGCTGTTGCTTAGAGCATGGAAAGGCATTGGCTAATGGCCGAAAGCAGGTGATTCAATGCATCTGTTCAGATCCGATGCTGATGTTTGCAACATTCCAAATGGTTTGGGTTCTGCTCAAGGGTAGAAAAGTCACTGAATGAGACAGAAGAACCTCCACTGCAATGTGTCCGGAACTGCAATGCTACTATTAAAGATGGTGCAATAAGGGGCAAGTCATGCAGCAACAGAGTTTTTAATTAAAATAATGTTTCTGGATGATGTTAAGAAATGGAAAGAACATTTCAATGAGAAAATGTCAGTCTGGTTTTCGTAAAAACAAAACAAAACAAATTCTCTGTGCCTATGATTTAATTTTATTACATTATTATCTTAACCCTCACACTGGTGTACATGGTCCCCACTTTTTATCCTCAAAACAATCCTAGGATGCAAATTAGGTGGAAAGAGAGTGACCTACATTGGTTCCCAGTATGTTTCTGAGCACAATTCAAAGTGTTGGTGCTGACCTTTAAAGCCCTAAAAGGCCTTGGTCCTGTATACCTGAAGGAGCGTCTCCACCTGCATCATTCAGCCCAGACACTGAGGTCCAGCGCTGAGGGCCTTCTGGCGGTTCCCTCGCTGCGACAAGCGAGGTTACAGGGAACCTTCTCGGTAGTGGCGCCTGCCCTGTGGAACGCCCTCCCATCAGATGTCAAGGAAATAAACAACTATCTGACTTTTAGAAGATATCTGAAAGCAGCCCTGTTTGGGGAAGTTTTTAATGTTTGATGTTTAATCGCATTTTTAATATTTTGTTGGGAACCACCCAGAGTGTCTGGGGAAACCCAGCCAGATGGGCAGGGTATGTATGTATGTATATATGTATGTATAAATAAATATTATTCCTGGCTCAAGGTCATCTAATGAGCTTCAAACCTTGGTCTGTCAGGTTTTGTCTGGATTTTAGCCATGCCATCTGTTGCCCATGTGGACTATTAACTGCCCCATATTCATACTTTTAAAAATAAAATAAAAGTCTTGAGCCCCTAAAGAACAAGAGACAGAATGCAAAATATATTTGGGAAACAGTGATAGTCAAAAGAGGCAAAACACGGCTAGAATGACATACCCATTGTCTAAAGAAAATCTTTCCTGGTTCATTTTGAAACCACATTTGGGAGTCTTCCCAGATGATAGGTGCTCATAAAAATAATATAGAGAGCCAATATTTTAGTGTAGATTCCCTCATAGTTCCAATCCAGTGCCTGACTGCATACAGAAGCCTGACCTTCCATTAACAGGTGCAGATGTTTTAGAACTCAGCAATTATATTTTTGTTCTCAAAAATCAGAGTAAGATTTGAATTAGCAAACCATTTGCATAATATATAAATTAGGCTACCTTGATTTGAGCAACTGAAATTTGACATGCTTAACTAAATCTGCCACTCTAACCACCACACTGCATTGGCTATAGCTAATGAGATTCTCAGAATTCATTAGTTCCTTTGTTTCAGAGAAAGAACATTGCTCTTAGGCTTCAAGGCTTGAATATAAAAATAATTTCAAAGGATAAACATTAGCAAAATTGAAGCCCCTAGGATTGTTCCTAGTAGGAGAAAATGAAGTGCAGAACTTGTTGTTGGTTGTCTGTGAAAAGATGATGTACATAACTCAGGCAACATATATGAGAAAGAGGGAGCACTAATTTAACTGTCATGAGTCCTGGGATGTCTTAAAGATAAAATAATTATCATGGCATCAATCTTTGTGGACTAGGACTAGGACTAAAATGAAGTCACCTTGTGAAAAAGTGCTGTTCCACACAAATCAAAAGATATTGACAGTGCCATCCTTTACCATACCTAACTACTAAATTCAATAGGCTTACTTCCAGGTAAATCAGCAGTGGGGAGCCTACAGCTCTTCATGTGTTGTTGGATTCCAACCAGTTCTATTTTTCTAGAAAGGGAGATGCCAGAACGCACCATGAACACCACCCTCATTCTCTTAGAATGATAATGGCGCCCACCTGAGAGGTGCCGGAACTGAGTTCCAGCGAGTTCCGGCTGAAAAAAGGCCCTGATTCCAACGCCCATCAGTCTCAGTCAGCAGGAGTCATTGGTGATGGGAGTTCAAGCATCTGGAGGGCCATAGTTTCCCAACCCTCGTGGTAGTTAGCTGGAGTCTGAGCCTGTTTCTAGAAATAAAGGGTTCAGTTCTGTGCATGCTTACCGGGAAGTAAGTCCTACTGAGCTTCTGAGTGAAAGTCACCATTGCTTCTTTCCCGCTGATTGCTGCTGCTTTTGACTTTCTCCCTGGTGTTTCCCTGGTATCAAAGTGCAAATACTGTGCAAATTATGCAGCTGCGTTTAATTCTCCATAGCAGTGTGCATGGAGGAGATTGGGAAAGCCCAGAGATCTTCTCCTCCACATGGACTTCACAAACATCTCTCCCAGGCCACGAAATAACTTAAGCACCATGCAAATCAGCTCTTATTCTGAAGCCGCTGGTAACTTTAATGGGATTGCATCAGTGTGACTTGGGGATTAAGGCCTTTGAGCCTTAAGGCTGGGTTTGCAACCAATGGCTATGTTCATGCTGTCATGGTATGATTTGTTCCACAACAGAATAGAACCGTCTCAAAGCTTAGTCACTGCTCTTAATGCTGAACCAACCCCACAACTGTTCTGGTAATTGTAGTTGTTTGCAATATGTGCATAAAAAGGAATATACAGTGGTACCTCGGGTTAAGAACTTAATTCATTCTGGAGGTCCGTTCTTAACCTGAAACTGTTCTTAACCTGAGGTACCACTTTTTAGCTAATGGGGCCTCCTGCTGCCGCTGCGCTGTCGCCACGTGATTTCTGTTCTCATCCTGAAGCAAAGTTCTTAACCTGAGGTACTATTTCTGAGTGAGCTGAGTCTGTAACCTGAAGTGTCTGTAACCTGAAGCATCTGTAACCCGAGGTACTACTGTATTACTGAAAATAACATACCAAATGTGCTTTATATTGGGGTAAATTGCATGCAAAAAGGGATTACCAGGATGAAGTCACACCAAAATGCTGATGAATTTTCATCAGGATATAAAAATTAAAAAATGCTGCAGGTACTGTATGTGGAGAGCTGAATTTAAGATAGGAAAAATGAGAAACTGAGAACCAAACCTGACTGATCCTTCTTCCCCTATCACCCAGCAATCACCCAAACTTAGCAGCAAAGCTCCAACATTAGCCATGGGAGGAACCAAACAACGCAGCAATGGAAAGAATGCAGTGGCAATGTAACAGAGTTGACCCCACACCTTCTCTTGCATACAAAGCACAAACATACTGCCATGACGAGCTGACAACATGCAGAACCTAGAAACAAGCTCCCCAGGAGAAGGGTTGAGTCCCATTGCGGTACCAGTGTGTTCCCACAGGCAATGCTTGTAACACAACATGTTTATACTGTTGTCTATGTAAGCAGAACAAGCAAAAGCAGGGGAGCCATATGGACAACAGCAAGGTCACAGGAGAGACCGATATTAGGTGTTCATTCGGAAAAAGCAATGTAACGGGAAACTGGAGCGGTAGGCTTGTTTCCTGTCCCTGGAAGATGTTGATATGGCCTCTGATCAAATGGAAAAGGACGACGCAGTGGGATTAGACTTCAGGTCTCCTGCTTCAGCAACCAACAACAAAGCTACAGATTCCCAGAAGAGACACACACAACCGGGCCTTCATAGTCTCCTAAGGGGTCTGACTGATAAATGATTCATTGCTTCCAAATCCCCATGAATAAGAAATGGGAATCTCAGCAGCGTAAGGGTCCTTCTTGGAATCGTGAGCTCAGTGGGAGGGCATGAGCTTAGCATGGAAGGCTCAACCACTGACTACTGGATCCCAGGAAAAGGGCTGAGACAATACACACACATGACCTGAAAAAGTGCAGCGCAGTAGTCAATCAAGTGTCCTGCTGAGGTCATGGTCTAATCTTTTTTTAAAAAATATATATTTTTTATTAGTTTTTAACATATCATTTTCAACAGTAATTAAACATACCTTTACATCTTATTCAAATTTTTGACTTCCATCAATCCTGTCTGAAAATTTTCCAGTCTATTCTCTCAGTATGCATTTCTTATCTTCCCTATTACATTTCAAACTCATAACCAATATCTCTATCTTTTTCTACTTTGTAACACTTCATATATTTCTCCTTACAAAACTTCTTGTAGTCCTACTAGCATAATTTGTTGATTACAGTTGCTCTTCAAATAATTCATATACTTCTTCCAATCTTCTGTAACTCTCTGGTCCCGCAGGTTTCGAATCCTTCCTGTCATTTTGTCCAATTCTGCATATTACATTAATTTCGACTGCATTCTTCTTTCGTCGGAATCTCTTGTTGTTTCCATTTCTGGGCTAACAATACTCTTGGCCAGAGGTCATGGTCTAATCTAATCCAGGATTCCCCAACCTGCTGTCTTACAGTTGGACTTTGATTCCCATCACCCCAGAACATTGGCCATGCTGGAGGACACCACGTTGGGAATGGCTTGTTTAACCCCATCGCAGTACCCCAGGATACCTTTGATATTGACCAACCTCCTTCACCCCTCCAAGTTATGCTCCCCACATTTTCATCAGGTTGATTTCCTGGGCCTGCTAGTTACTCAACAGACCTTGTTATTTACTGCTCCCCACCCTGCACACTTCATGCAGATTTCGGCTTTATCACTAGCAGTATGGGGGCATTCAGGAGAATATTGGTGCTCCACAGATGCACTCCCTCAGACCTTGTATGGTGTGACAATGAAGAACCTCCTCATCCATGCAACGCTGCCACTGTGAGTCCTCTCAGATGAGCAGTCAGGGGGAAGGATTTCAATCTGCTAACCACTAGAATAAGAGACACAGCTGAAACACGGGGGTTGTTTTTTATTATTATTGAATGATCAGTTATGGAGCGAGTCCTGGATGTCAATCTTTTTTCTTCTTGCAGAGTTACTGTGCCTTTTGAAGCTGTGTAACAGGATAGGAGGGTGCCATCTTTCCCTGTGATGTGCATGAATGTAACTGTTTGCCATGCATTTCTTGAAGGGCACATGACCCCTGGGAAGAAAACAGCAGCAGCCCCACATCTGAACATCTGACTTCTTGCCAACCACCACTTCCGCTGCATCACTTGTGGTCTTCCTGGCACTGCTGAGGGAACATCATTTCCTGTGGAGAGATGAGAAAGGCCTGGTAAGTTTAGATATAATGGGGTAGGAGCTGAAACCAGGGGTTTGTTGAAAATGCATAACTGAGAAAGGATGTCCTCACACAGCTGCTTTTCTATTGCCTCAGTCAAACTCACTACTCTTCCATTGGCCGTGCACTCACCTAGTTGTAGGAATAGCTGGAATACAGCATTTTGTGTTCAGAAGAAGAAGAATCTTTATTTGCATCAGCCACTAGCCATAGAAATAAAATGAAATAAAATGTACGGAAGAAAGAGGTAAAAACTTAACTATGCAAAATACATTTTGGAGGTTTACATCAGTAATCAAACAACGGATCTTATTCGAATTGCCCCCGCTAAAAATTTTGCAGGAGAAGAATCTTTATTTGCACCAGCCACCAGCCATAGCAATAAAATAAAATAAAATAAATGTACTGAAGGTAGAGGTAAAAACTTAACCAGAGAAAATACATTTTGGGGCTTTACATCAATAAACAAATAATAGATCTTATTCTAATTGCCCCCGCTAAAAACCTTGCAGTTTTTGCTGTCACCTGATCATCTTGATCTGCTAAAAGAAAGGGCACAGTAGCAATGGTGGAGCGACCCGACATGGACAATAATAGAGGGGTAATAACTTCACTCCTCAAATCTTCATAAAGAGTGCAAGCCAGAAGCACATGAGCTACTGACTATATACTGCCATCTCCACAGGGACATAACCATTTTCCCCAGTGGAATTTTTAGCATTTTGGGTTCATTCACAGGGGTGCTTCTCGCTGCCTTTCCCATTCCATGGCAGAAGCTCACGGAGTTGTGGTGGCAGCCCCTTTTTCAGGAAGCACTGCTGCTGATTGTTGCGTAAGGGAGAGTTGTTTAGTCCGTATAATTTCAACACATTTAAGTGGAAGGAGAAACACTCTAGGGCAGGCATAGGCAAACTCGGCCCTCCAGGTGTTTCGGGACTACAACTCCCATCATCCTTAGCTAACAGGACCAGTGGTCAGGGATGATGGGAGTTGTAGTCCCAAAACATCTGGGGGGGCCCGAGTTTGCTTGTGCTTGCTCTAGGGCAGTTTCAGCCAACATGGCGGGGCAGGGTTGCAGAGCTGCCTTCCTGGCACTGGTGTCATGACAGATCACCTGGATGGGCTAGAGTGGGTAAGGGCAGCTGCGAGATTGTGTGGGGTTGTGTGGGTTCACAGGTGGAGCCAATCTGATGCTCATGCTGGTGTGCCTACACAACCCAAACCTCACTGCCACTGTGCATGCTGCCCCAGCCATAGCCAGGTAAGCTGCATCGGTGCTGGTGTTGGCCAGCACTGTATCCCTTGTTTGGGGGAAGAAGAGGGGATGCTTAGAAGTCATGCTTGGAAGCATGATGAGCCCTTCTTGCTTACCTGTATGGCTATGTTGTTCTTGCAGCTCCTTTGGGGAGCTGATGTTCCAAGGGGATGTTTAATCACGGATTTCTGAGGAAGAGTTCTCAAAAGGAAGTCTTTGGGTTAGGTCAGGTATCGGCAGTGTCTCCTTCCTCTCTGACCTTTCCCACTGTGGATCGTCTTGTTTATTTCCACATGTTGGGGGGTGTTCTACTTTCTCTGACTGCAGGCCAAGACTCCTATGCAGGACCCCTGTGTGAGGCAAGTGTAACAGAGTCAGAAATGAGAAAACTCTGCCCATACCAACTGGCTACTTCCCCAGCCATTCCTTACCTTTGAAGGTCCAGATCTAATGTTACTCTGGACAGCGATACACAACTTTGATTCTCATACTTTCAGGATTCTGTGCAGCTTGTCAATTCATAACGGGTGATCTTTGCCTATAAACCTGTGCCTTTTCATTTACTTAAGACATCAAGGATCAAAGGAGAAAAGGGCAGTAAAACATTGTTTTTCCACCAATCTGCTTGTCATTTAGATATAGCTTATTGTACAAATGTCATGGAAACAAGCTGTTCCCTGCTTTTTTTAAAAAAGGAAACTTGCTTTGCAGTTTTCTTCCTCTTGATAAAAGGCTAAACAAAGCAAATGTGTTTACCAGGTAAAAGCTCTTTGCGATTCTCTCTCTCCCCCACCACTCAGTGAGTATGCATGATTCATTTCCACAACAGGATCCTTGAGCCTCCCAAATTAAATATTAGCATAGATTAAGGGCCAATATAGATGTGGCATTAAACATGCCCTTGCATTTAATGTGCTCATTTCAAAAAATGCAAATAGCAGTCACTGGATTTGATAATTATTAGGAACGCAGCAGGTGGAGAGGGAGAGTTTAATTCTTCCTTCTTCTTTTTCTGCGCTGCAAATGAAAATTGCTCCTCCAAAGCTAATAGCCATTGACAAGACACATGCCCCTTCCAGGAATTTGTATAACGCCCCCTTAAAATTGTCTCATCCAGAGGCCATCTGTATGACATCTTGTGGCAGCTGTAGAAATGAGCACTTTAATGCAGGACAGGTATCTGAAGTGCAGAAACATCTGAGATTACTGATGCCAGAAGAGCATCAGAGATCACAGGAAAGTGATGCTACCAGTGAGGGAGTGACTGCCAGTGCCCACTAGCAATGCAAATAGCAGCTTCACAGGTTTTCAGGACGTGAGAATATACAGGGAGGCTATAGGTTCCTGGACAGATGCTTTGAAGGATGGAAGAGAGGCCACTCACAATGACAGCTCCCCACATTAAATGGGGGGCGCCCTCTGCGTGGTCATGCGCAGCCCCCTGGACCCTATGCGGCACCATTAACACAGGCTTGGCTTCGCCTTCCCCAGGTGGGATACCTGGAGGTGTCCGCCTACCTTAGCCAATCGGCCAGTCCCGCCTGGGGAGGTGTTGCCAAGGTGATCAGGCCAGGTAGGGGGAGGGACCACCTTGCCCACACAATAGGGGGAGGATCTTACCTGGGAATCGTCAGTTGGCTCCAGAGCTTCTCCCACCCTCAGTTAAGATTTCTTTTGCAGGTTAACCTTTTCTCCACAGGTACATGGGTGCTGCTACGTCAAGATCGCTGTTGAAGGGCCGGAAAGGAATTCTCCTGGAATTCTCTGGAAAGGAATTGGCAGGTTTGCCGTTCCCGTAACAAAACGTCACAACTTTGGCGGTATCAGACCTTGGGCTGATACCCAAGTCTATCTTCCCTAAATTGGGGGTGGGCATGTAGCGGTGACTCATGCCCCCCTTCTCTTTGCGGCGGCGATACCAGGGTTCCCTGCTAAAGGGGTTGTTTTGAGGGGAGGCTTTGGACGTACGCCGGGAGGTTGTCATTGCTCTCCCCTGCGATGGTGGCATAATGGGGGTGGGCTCTCTCTGCTTGAACATATGTTCTCCAGAGCCAGCCCACCCACCCCCCACTCTGGATAACCCTGATGTTCCCCAGATCCCTGGCGGGGGACTGGGAGGGATAAACGCCCAATGCCCAAGCCAAGTTCTACCCACATCTGAAACATAATAAAGTTGTGGCCAATTTTAATCCCACAGTACGTTGTCTTGAGTTATTATTCCACACGGGGGCCGCCCAGGGTTTGGGGAGAACTCTGCCTGTCCACACACAAACCCCTTGCACCCTTGTTAATGATCCTTTTATATATATATATATATATATATATATATATATACAGAAACAGTGGTAAAAAATAAAGTAGGTACAAAAAAACCCCTGCACTCCACCCCTGAAAATTTCATTTAAAAAATTTCTCTCCTTTTATAATTTTAAAGTGCAGTTTGTTTTCTCATTGATTGATGGAGAATGGCAAAAGGTAAAAAACACAGTAGAGAAATTGTCAGCTAGGTGTAGGGAAGACAGGCACAAATGACAGTGGTTAGGAAAATAGTCAAATGAATTTGGGGAGAAAGAGGAAAATGCTACATATGCTGCAGATTGATCTAGCAGAGCATGACATATGGCTGCTTAAATGATTCTTGAATGCTTTATAAAACTCTGTCCTTTAACTGCGCCAATGAAGAATGACTGAAAAGCATGCTGCTGGCAGGCCCTTAAATGTTAAGGTGCCAAGAAAACATGGCAGCCCATTCTGGATGTTTCAATATTCCCTGGCTTCACCTTAGACATCCTGTGCAGAAGTACTAAGTGTGGCTATCAGGTGCCGGTCATTCATGAACGCTCGCCATTTCCAGAAGCTCAGCCTTAAGCCTAGCTATTCAAAGAGGTTGTTTTAAGTCCAACCAATGCAAATGTGCTGGCATTTAAAATCTGAAAGCTGGGGTGGGGGAGGAATAGTGACAATTCTCCAACACAACAATGGATTCTGTACCACGAAAAGCTGAATTCTGAGACTTTAAGGAATTATGCTAACTAAGCACATTTATTTAATTGTACCTCCTCTGTAGCTTGCAGCATTTCATCAAGCTTTGCCAAGACATTTGAAGCCTATTTGTTTACCATTAAGGGATAGAATTTTGCTTTTTTGGAAATGAGAATTCTGCATTTCTCAGGATACTAATTCTGAGCTAGATAGTAATCCACATGCTTACACAGTGTAATCACAGAATTACAGGGTTTAATAGTGCCTTGATTGCATGTACCTGTCATTCAGAATTAACACGGCATCCACATTTGGTGTCATGAATTCATTTACTTTCATATTGACGGTAGATGGGTTACTTTTTCCACAATGGACAATCATCACTTCCTGTCATGACTACTAGCCATTGGCAGACACACACCCCTTCCAGGAATTTGCAGAACTCCCCTTTAAACCACCCAAGCTAGTGGCCATTACAACATCTTGCAGCACCCACTCAAACTAGCAGCTTAATGCAGGTCAGGTATCTGAAGTGCAGAAACACCTGAGATTTCTGATATCAAAGAAGCACCAGCGATCACAGGAAATTGATGCAGCCAAGAGCTTATTTCTGGAGAAAGAGGAAAGTTTTTCAAGTAGTGAGTGGAAAGAGAAAAGTCACCCAATTAATTGTTGGGACAAAAGGTTACCTGTCATCGTCCAGTTTAAGCCATGCTATACAAGCAGAGGAAGTAAAAGTGTAATATACTTACATGTTTCCAGATCCTGTTGGAGTAAAAGGAAGAAAGGTTAGTCCAGAAATCAAGACATGTGCATATTTCCATCAGCAAACATAATTCAGTTTAGGTTCTCATTGCAAGAAAGAGTAAGGACTGACTTTGGGTTTGGCCACATTTCTGCTATTCCTGCCACTTTCCCCTGCTGTTTACCACTGAATCACAACAAATGTCAACTGGTTTTTTGCTGCGGATTGTCGTTTGTTCCAACGCAGTGGTAAACAGCGGGTTTTCCTGGGGAAAGTGGTGGAACAAATGAAAAACCACTCGGACCCATGCTTTCAAGGCACAGGACAAGCAGTATGAGCAAGCCCTTATTACAGCACATTATAAAAATATTAACAGATATCTATTTGGTGCTTTAATTATGGTGGATGATAAAAGGGAAAGATCCAATCTGGAAGCTTTAGGTTAGATAGCCTCACAGTAATTTGGAGCACTGGAACAAATCTAGAATGCACCCTGCAACTAGCTTCTGTTTGAGCACCACCCAACATTTGCATGGAGGTTGTCACCTGGAACCTGTTATGACCCATAGATCTTCAGGAGTAAACATTTGTGTTTAACTCTGGCTGGACATGCGTTAGTGCGCACTCAGGCCATGGCACTCCTTTCTTACTCACCTGCTGGAGATTCATTTACTGAATCCTGTTTAACAATTGAAAACCTGCCCATCAACTGCTTGGGAAAGGGAGAATCAGGCTGAATCTGGTCATAGAAACATAGAATCATAGAACTGTAGAGTTGGAAGGGATCTCAAGGGTCATCTAATCCAACCCCCTGCAATACAGGAATCTCAGCTAAAGCATCCATGACAGATGACCATTCAACTTCTGCATTAAAAGTGAAGGAGTCCACAACCTTCTGAGGGAGTCTGTTCCACTGTCAAACAGCTCTTACTGTCAGAAAGTTCTTCCTGACGTCTAGTTGGAATCTTCTTTCTTGTAACTTCAATCCATTGGTTTGAGTCCTACCCTCCTGTTGCTTCCTCCACCTTTTGTGAAATGAAATTGTCAGCGAGGCAATTGAGGAATCTGTTGGACTTTACATTCTTGGCAGAGTTTGAGTTCCAACAGATATCAGAATAGTTGAAGTCTCCCATGGCTACTACATCTCTCCTTATTGAATGCTTGGTAATCTGCTCTAGGAAATCATCAACCAAGCCTTTAGTTTGGCTTGGAGGTCTATAGCAGGCACTCCCAGTAAGGTTCCTGCTGTTTGGCTCTCCTACAATTTTTACCAATGTGCTCTGAATCTACCTTCCATTCTCCAAGTTTTGGATCACTTCACAAGTGTACATATCCTTTACATATGATGCTACTCTTTCTCCCTTACTGTTTGATCTATTTGTTTTGAGCAGGTTGTACCCCTCCATTTCTACGTTCCAATTGAGTCCCATTCCATTGGGTTTCAGCAATGGTCTGATTTGTTTCTGACCCCAAACACACAATGCATGCACATGTAAATGGTAACCCACTAACTGCAGTGCAATAGTGCTAGAAATACTTACTTCACTCATTGATGTAGATTTATACTTCACTTTGTCATCCACTCTGGGCTTACGCGGCATGAACTTACGGATGAAAATGCGACTTGGAATATTTTATCAAGCAGACCTCAAAAGATGATTGCATGATGCTTTGACTAGGGCTGGAGTGAGTGTTCCATGCAGCAGTACCCAGTGACGTTGACTACTTTTGCCCAGGTTAGTTACCAGAATTGATGTGGGCACCGCTCACCTGAAGCATGGCCCTCATTTCAATTCTGTCCACTAATATCCTGCCCACTTCTGCATGCTATCACCTCTCCCTCCTCTAATGTAAATAAGGCCTCACCTTGGGGAAGAGGAAATGGCTAGCATCCTTTACAAGACATGCAGTAAGATAACCTGAGCTTGTTATCTGTGTAGTTTCAAGCAGCAATGAAATTTTTGCCACCTTAACATAGGGTTTCTCTATACAATGAAAAGACCTTAGCTATATAGAAGAGACCTCCAAAAAGAGGTAAAGAAAATTCAGTTTAATAAAATACCCAAAAATGACTGAAAAGGGCATTCAGTTTCTCATCTGGAAATGCATGCACCACAGCCAGAAAGTACTTTTATAAATGATTATTTTTTATTAATTGTGTTTTTTTCCCCCTTGCTGCATTTTATGTTCTGCATTTGATAAGCTGTTTGTATGTGTGTGCTTGGCCAAATACTCAGGTGAGGAAAATGGCCAAATGCAATAAATTGTTTTACTGCATTTGGGTCTTTCTAGAGCTGCACAGTTGGACACATGGTAATTTGATCCAGGTCAATCCAGTATTTCATTATTTGCATTCCTTTTTATCAAGAAAAATGTCCTAAGAGGGACATGCTATTGTCTATGCACGTTCAGGTGCATCCATTTTTAGGACTCGCTTGTAATGCTGCAGGCTAGTCCCAAATATGGTCATAACTAGGGCCAGACAAAACTAGAAACACTTGCTTGGGAGGCAGGGATTTGTCTTTCATTACATCATTACATGACTAAAGACAGCAGGCATTACTAAGAAATAGAGGTGTTCAAATTCATCACCCTGTTTGCCTGAATGGAACACTGTGAACAGATTTGGATAACTTTTGCTAAATGGGAGGATTTACAGAGGATCCCAGTGACACACAAGAGACACACAATATTTTGAGATGCCAATACATTTTGGTCAATGGAGACTTTCTCTTACATGAATATATATATATATATATATATTATATATATACGCTATATATATATATATATATATATATATATATATATGCTAACCCCACCCGCTTTCATTTAAACACATTTGAAGACTTCTTAAATGGTTTGGAGTAGTATATTAACAGCCCTATCCCCAGTTTTTAGTAAACAACTATTTGTCATATAGCATGCAATCCTATGGAATTTGGGAATGGGGTAGGTGGGCATTGGACAGCTGTTCTCACCGACGCGCTTCAAAGCCACTACTTTAACAAGTGACTTGGCCAGTTCTTGAGCTGGCATAATGAAAAATGGACATGCAGATTTGGTATAAGTGTTCTAGGGTGTGTGCAAACAGTCTGGAATCCTGCACCAATCACGGACATGTGACCCTGCTTGGTTAATTAGATTAACCGGCATGTAAACTAGCACAGGATTACAGTCAAGGAAAATTAAACTTCAACACACTCTGTTAAATTAACATGTCATACACTTTCCCCCCCTTTTGCTGCATAGATAGCATATGAAATTAGATCTTATTGGAACGACAATACAAAATGAGCTCAGTTTTCTAACAACTGAAGCATTTTCAGCATTGGGATAAAAAAAGTATTAAGAGTTAGGAATGTTAACATCAAAGTGATCAAGCAACTATGTGCAGAAATTAACCCTTTTATTATATTGTATATTGTAGTAGTAAAGTTTGTTGGAAGTGCATGAATAAAAAGTTAGTGAAATTACAGGAGGAACAATCTATATAGCAATAATAGGTGCATTCACTGTGCATCTGAAAGGAAAAAAGAGAGAGAGAGTTTTCACTCATTTTGGCCTAAAACTTTGTGTTCAGGTTTCCAGAATTCTGACATCAGAACCCAGATAACACTGATTAGAACCATAAGGCTTTACAATAAAAGCTAAAATATTGACCATATGATGGCAAAAAGTCTTTATTTTGTGGTTATATTATTCTCTTCTAGCTACTCTCTGATGAAGTGGGTGGTGCTGTGGAGGACGACCTCCTTCTCCGAGACAAGGACCTCGATCGTTCTGCACTGTAGGTCACATGCTTATCATAGTTTTGTATCTGAGCTTCAAGGAAATCCCTTTGTTGTTGGCTGATTGTTTGGCTAATCAGTCCGGGGAGAGCTTGAATGCTACCAATTAATGTTTCCAATTTTGTTTCCAAAGTAACAATCCTCTTCTCAAAGTCTTCGCTTCTTTCGTTTAAGTCAGAAATCATATCATACATGATGTTTTGAGTCTGAAAGAAAAAGGGAAAGGGAGACGCGTTCGAGCAAGCACGGTTGTTCCGCAGCAATTCAAACACTCATTGCTTAGAAACAGGAAAACAGCAACACAAACTGTGACTTCATAAACCAGCAGCTTCACAAACAACTAGCACGAACCAGCTTCAGAAAGTGTTTTTATTCCAAGCTTTATTGCACAGGTGCAATTCAGCTGGAGCTTGTGATTCCTTAGTGGCGCACTTTTGAGATTTCAAGCAAACAATGAGGTGGGTTGGAAAACCCTTCAGAAATCGGGAGATGCAGAAATGTGACTCAGTTCAACAAATACTCTTTGTAGCAGAAGCTGAAAAGCTTCTCTATCCACAAATGGGTTCTGTTAGACCAGTTATATGCTTTCAATTTCCCTCACCATTTACAGTAAAGAGAGTTTCATCTTTCTAAGGAGCACTGCACACATCATGTAGTGGCAAATGTGCTTCGCGCACTGTGTGTCAATCCAGTGTCGAGCTGAGGCGTATCCCAGGTCCCTGAGATGCTTAAATCAGGAGATATGTGGCTGAAAATGTGCATAGCCTTTCCAGTGCATAGGCAGAGCATTTTAGTTGCAAACCATACAACTTCAATGTGTAAAGTGGCCCTGAGACTCCACTTCATTTTGGCAATTTGGATAGGAACAAGGAAGGCAACATTCAAAAGCCACTTATAAAACCTAGTCCCATTTATTTGTACACTCTCTTCTGTTCTTTGTCACCTGCTCAAAGAGCATCTCCTGTCCCAAGGCCGGGTGAGTAGTTTCCCACAGCTAGACTGAGCTTTTGCTTTCCTCAAATAAGCTAAACCATTTGTGAATGTTGACTTGTCTCCTATGATAACAGAAGGAAGTTCACTGGAATAGGCTTATAGAGCTTGAGTTGGCTTTTTACCTTAAACCTTAGCAAAACGATGAATGTCAGTATACAAAAGCAAAATGCCAGTACAGTATACAAAAGCAAAAGCCGGTGTTGTTACACTGACCTTTGCCAAGTCCACCAAAGTGTTTGCCTGATCGTTCAATTTCCTTTGTTCCATTTTAACACTTCTTAATCTAAAAGATTGAAAATCCAAGTCAGATAACAGATTTTTTTTGCCAGCTCCTCAAACTTGAATACAGCATGCATCTAAACAGATAACTGCATGGACAATGTCTTGAATACTTTGTGTACAGTCATAACTGGTTATGTGTCTGGTACAATGAAAAAAAGCATGCTTCCTTAACACCGCAAAAAAGAAAGAAGAGAGCAAGAAAATGTGATGTCCCCGAGACTACTAATTGCCATGGTTAACGCTGAATTCAAAGTGGGAGGTAAGGATTTATTCATAGTGTATGAAAGAAAGCCAAAACATTCCTTAAAGCTCCAGTATCCTGGCAAGTAGGCATAGGAAGTAATGAACGACAATTCAATCTCCTTATTATTGCCTGAGCAATCATTCGGCCTCTTCCATATGCCTACATGATTAGATACAGGTATAAGCCCTCTTCAGTCTGAAATGGATTTGGTTAGGAGGTGTTTGAACCTGATGAAAATACAGTGATAAGTGAGTTCCTTGTTAATTTTTAAAATCTTTTATCTGACCAGCAGCTAAATAAAGAGCATCATTGTTAATATATTAGTTTCACAGTCCTCAGTGTCGCTGACCTGGAATACTTTTAATTGTTTTCAATGTGCATAACAGTTTTCCTTGTTAATTTATTACTTTCACAGTCCTCAATGTCTCTGACTTGGAATACTTTTGTTTTTAATGTGCATAGCAATTTACCGAGTAGGTTTGGTTGACCAGTTTATCTGTCCGTGATTAAACCAGAACACTATGAAGTATTGTATCTGTATTAAAGAGCCTCATGGGTATAGTTTTCCCCTTGGTACCCAAGTAATTCCATTCATGTTAATCAGCTGAGCAGGGTAAGAAAGAGAAAAACAAGATGTATTATTCTGAACTGTAGTATGAAAATGTGTGTTGGTTTAAGGGTATATGGCCAGTGAGTTTGACAAAGACTGTTAATCTTTCCCCCCTCTCCAAATATATGAGAACAGAAAAGTTTTAAATGTAGTACTATCCATGTAAAGTCTTGATGCAAATTGTGAATCGGCTATATTGGTGTAAGTGGCTTCCTTCCTCTTCTTTTTTTCTTAAAGATTACAGTGGTGCCTCGCAAGACGAAATTAATTCGTTCCGCAAGTCTCTTCGTCTTGCGAGTTTTTCGTCTTGCGATGCACGGTTTCCCATAGGAATGCATTGAAAATCAGTGATGCGTTCCTAGGAAACCGCCTTCAGACCAGGTCCGGGGACAGTCTGTCCCCGGACCTCTTCTGAAGGCTGGGGAGCAAGGGCTTTTCTTCCCACCTCCAGCATTTTAAAAACCCGGGACAGCGGAGGACTTCTCCGCTGTCCGGGCGATCTTAAAATGCTGGCGGGCGGCATTTAAAATCACCCCGGGACAGCGGAGGACTTCTCCGCTGTCCGGGGCAATTTAAAGCCCCTGGGAAGGCAGGCAGGGGGACAAAGACTTTGCCCCCGCCAGCCTTCAGAAGAGGTCCTGGACCTCTTCTGAAGGCGGGCGGGCGAAGTCTTGCTCCCCGCCTTCAAAAGCCCTCCGGGACAGGCAGGCAGGGGAGCAAAGACTTTCGCCCCCGCCCGCCTTCAGAAGGTCTTCCCTCCCCCCGCCCGGCCGGAGCACCGTTCCGAGCCGGGCGGCGGCGGAGGTCTTCCCTCCCCCCGCCCGGCCCGGGCACCGTTCCGGGCCGGGCGGCGGCGGAGGTGTTCCCTCCCCGCCCGGCCCGGGCACCGTTCCGAGCCGGGCGGCGGCGGCAGGTGTTCCCTCCCCCGCCCGGCCGGGCACCGTTCCGAGCCGGGCGGCGGGAGGTCTTCCTCCCACCGCCCGGCCGGAGCACCGTTCCGAAGCCGGGCGGCGGGGAGGTCTTCCCTCCCCACCGCCCGGCCGGAGCACCGTTCCGAGCCGGGCAGCGGCGGAGGTCTTCCCTCCCCCCGCCCGGCGCCGGAGCACCGTGCGCAGGCCGGGCGGCGGCGGCAGGTGTTCCCTCCCCCCGCCCGGCCGGAGCACCGTTCCGAGCCGGGCGGCGGCGGCAGGTGTTCCCTCCCCGCCCGGCCGGAGCACCGTTCCGAGCCGGGCGGCGGGAGGTCTTCCCTCCCACCGCCCGGCCCGGGCACCGTTCCCGAGCCGGGCGGCGGCGGCAGGTGTTCCCTCCCCCGCCCGGCCCGGAGCACCGTTCCGAGCCGGGCGGGGGGGAGGTCTTCCCTCCCCCCCGCCCGGCATCGGTGCACCGTGCCGAAGCCGGGCGGCGGCGGCAGGTGGTCCCTCCCCCGCCCGGCCCGGAGCACCGTTCCGAGGCCGGGCGGCGGAGGTCTTCCCTCCCCACCGCCCGGCCGGAGCACCGTTCCGAGCCGGGCGGCGGGGAGGTCTCCTCCCCACCGCCCGGCCGGAGCACCGTTCCGAGCCGGGCGGCGGGGAGGTCTCCCTCCCCCCGCCCGGCTCGGAGCACCGTTCCGGCCGGGCGGCGGCGGCAGGTGTTCCCTCCCCGCCCGGCCCGGAGCACCGTTCCCGGCCGGGCGGCGGCGGCAGGTGTTCCCTCCCCCGCCCGGCCTCGGGAGCCTCGAGCCCGGCGGCGGCGGGAGGAGGTGTCCCCGCCCGCCGCCAGGCTTCGGAGGAGGTCCGAGGACAGTGGGAAGACGCGCTGCGCTTCCCGCTGTCCCTGAGATTTCCCTATGGGCTGTCGTCTTGCGAAGCAAGCCCATAGGAAATTGCTTTATGAGCGCCTCCAAAACGGAAAACCCTTTCGTCTAGCGGGTTTTCCGTCTTGCGAGGCGTTCGTCTTGCGGGGCACCACTTTATGTGCTTCAAGGAATAAAACAGTCCAATGCAAAATTCTCTATTTATACCAAAGCACACACCCACACCAAGAGCTCCATAATAGCTTTCCCATTCATTTCAAGGGAAGAGGCAGCTCTCCATGCTTTTTCTTTTGTACAGTTAAATCTGTTTTGCTGAACTAAATGTAGAGGCCTTACAGGCTGGGGTTGCTCTCTGTGTATTTTGGACATGGATACTGCCCCCCCCCCAGGGATGTAGGCTTGTCTCCTTTATAAAGGCAGTCTATCATCATCAAGTTACAAAGGCAATGAAGGACTTTGGGTGTCTAAGCCAGCAGGATGTTGTGTGGTCAACTAAGTGTGTGAGAACGTTATTCAGTTCACAACATGCCCATGATCTCATTCAAGAAATGAAGCTACCCTGAACTTAGGCATTAATCTCACGCGGTTCCACTTTCCAGGTCATTGTCCTAAACCTCATTAATAATTGGAATCCGTTTATTTATTTAATTTTTTGTCCTGTATCAGCGCCATTGCATTGTCTTATTCGCAACTGATAACTCGTGAATTTATTCTCACAGTTTATTTTAAAAGATAAAATAAACTGTGAGACGCGGGTGGCGCTGTGGGTTAAACCACAGAGCCTAGGACTTGCCAATCAGAAGGTCGGCGGTTCGAATCCCCGCGACAGGGTGAGCTCCCGTTGCTCGGTCCCTGCTCCCGCCGACCTAGCACTTCAAAAGCATGTCAAAGTGCAAGTAGATGAATAGGTACCGTTCCGGCGGGAAGGTAAACAGCATTTCTGTACTCTGCTCTGGTTCGCCAGAAGCGGCTTAGTCATGCTGGCCACATGACCCAGAAGCTGTCTGCGGACAAACGCTGGCTCCCTCAGCCAATAAAGCGAGATGAGTGCCACAACCCCACAGTCGGCCATGACTGGACCTAATGGTCCTTTACCTTTACCTTTATTTTAAAAGAAGCTAAAGGTGGTTTCTTCACAATCCCAGAATCCAGTTGTTTCAGGATTCCCTCTTAAAGCCCACCCCTTCAGCACTGTGCATTCAATTTGATGGGGTGAATGATAATGAATGGGCTTACAGCTGCAGTCACACAAGTTCAGCATTGTTGTGGGAGGTATGAGGGGCACTCAAGCTCACATTTTCAAGAGGAGGAATAATGTATGTCCAGAAACACATAAAATTATTAAGTGATACTGTGACCCAGTTCTCTTAGCCAAACCATGGCTAAGTGTAAATGAGCTGTCCTGTTGCTGTTCCACTATCCAGAGCTAAGCCATGGTTTGGCTTAGCATTATGCCTGATTCTGGGCTCATGGTTTTGCTCAATCACACAAACTATGATTTGTAGCCAAGGTTTAGATTTGGCTTATCATTTGTCAATGTCGGATTTAGGACAGTGCGGGCAGTTCCCCTGCACAAGTCACCAAGCCATGGGGATTAATAATAATAATAATAATAATAATAATAGTTGTTGTTGTTGTTGTTGTTGTTGTTGTTGTTATTCCTATATTTATACAGGTACCTACTGAGAAGATTGATTTAAAAAAGGAACTGTACCAAAAGGAATTATTGTGAAAATAAGAAATATTTTTTGGGGGGTGCCAAATCTTGTCCTTGCTCAGGGGACCATATTACCAAAGTTTGCCCCTGCATTTCTAGTTTGTCTTGGAAGCAAACCTTGAGCCTAGCTTTAGATGTACTGCTAAGCCAATCAATGGCATAATGTTTGCTAGCATGGAAGCAGCAAGAGTGCGGAGGGGTGAAGTGCCAGTGATTTTTCCTCTAAGGACACACATGTTCACTCATTCATGCTTAGCCACGGCTTGGCTTACTGTTATGTGCAAACAGGGTCTATAAGGGACAACGCTGAAAGAAATCAAACAAGAGTGTTGGTCTGTATACATCAGATGTGTAGATTTGTCTGTATAAACTTTTGAAAGTATATTTTAGGTCATCAGTTATCTTTGGAAGAGGGAAAGCCAATTAGCGACATTTTAGGTTGAGCTTTCTATCCTCCTTTCCTTCCCTATATGAACATTTGGAGAAATATGATAAATAAATGGTATAATTTTTATGCTGATTATTTACCTCTCTTGCAAATGTATGTTGATAAAGAGAGATTTGCATCTTCAAGGTGTGTATATCAGCCTTGGTTGTGACTTAGGTGGAGCAAACCTTTTTATAAACTGATCATTTCTTAGCTGCGACAGTCAGATTAAAAATGATACTAGCCAGATCTTTCTCTGAAAATTAAGAAATATTGATACTCTGATTCCTTCCTTCCGAACTTCACTTATCACAGAAGAAATTCATGACTTTGGATTGCAGTTCCACAGTAGCAACCAGACTATTGAAATTCACAAATAAAGTATCCATTTGTTGCATGCAGACAGTGGTAAATTCTGCAAATTTGAAAGGAACAGCTCACACAACTTACTTCCGAGCTCTATTTTCATTGTTGAAATAAAAAGACAAAACAAAAGAAAAGAAACTGTAAAATTGACTAAAACAAATTAACACAAGGGATGGTCTTCATGTGAGCGCAATGTGCTCTGTTATGGAGCTTGTAGTTCATACATTTTCTCCATAGCACTCTCTGGGTCAGCAATTAACAACTCAAATGCAGGACAGCGTTATACTCTCAGTTTCTATACCACATTTCACCATGTTCTGAAAGTAAGCAGTGACGTTTCATACGTTGTGGTACAAGCAGACATTAGCTGCGTTCACGCATCACATTAAACCATGCTTAATTTTTAACTATGGCTTAATGCGAACAAGCAGCATGCTGGTGGAAGTTCCTGCTTAACTCCTCCCCTGCTCTTGGGTGTGATATATTTGGGGGAATAAAAAGTCAAGTCTTGGCTAGTCATATTATCCAAACCTAGGCTCATGGTTTGTTTCTCCCAAACAAACCATGAGCAGTAAGCCAATAACAAACTTTGGCTACCACTTGTGGTTTGTTTAGAGCCACAAATCTTGACTCGACACATGTTCTGAATTCAGACACGTGTGTTGAGCCAAGGTTTGTGGCTTGTTTCTCCTGGCAGAGTGTGGCCAAGAGTAGGGGAGAAATGACAGATGGACCTTTGAGCACTGTGCACTAGAATGCTGCTTGTTTATGTTAAACATTTAACGTCACATGTTATTCTGGCCGGAGGGATATCAGTGGCACCTAAATACCTCAGCCCCCTTCCCACATGCCATCCATACATGGGAAGAATTGATAGCTGAAATATTACCAGGATTCTCAAGAGTTAAGAGACTTAGTATTGGTACATTTTATTTCCATCTTCCCTCCCAACATCAAGTGTTGAGTAGGCTAGAATTAACCTTTAAAGGGGGTCATTAAGGGGAGTTAAAGGAAAACATATGAATATGTGAATGAAGACTATCACCATGAATCAAAAAGGAGAACTACACAGTTCAGCTAGAAATAGAAAATCAAACTTAACATTCTGAATGTTAGCATCCAACAGGATATGACTGGTTCCATTCCCCTATTTTGCTAGAATACAATTTAACCTCCTTTGTTTGACTTGGGAGGTCAAATGACGCAGGACAAATGAAAATTCAGAAGTAAAACAGAAACCTGACTCTGCATAACAAGGAAAGGTAGCCACTATGGGAATTACTTCATTTAGTTTCTTACTCAATAGTAGGTGATGAACAAATATTTGCAGTTCTTTTTGAAACTAAAGGGATAAAGTTGTATCACTTCCTTTGAGAACAAAGCTCTAGCACATCAACTGGCAAATCCACACATATTTTTGAAAGTCTGAATACTTCTAGCAAGGGACACATAGAAAGTAAGGTCAGAAGACAAAGCTAAATCACATATTAAATTAAAATGAAGACAAGCACCTGGTTGATAATAGCTACCCTGCCCCATGCTTATTAGAAGCCATATTGATGTGAAAAAAGGACTATTCCATGAAGACTGATGTGATGCCAGATCACAGTAGGGCAGGGTGGGAAACCTGTGGCGTTCTAGGAGCTTTTGGAATCTAATTCTCATCAGCCACAGCGAGCATGGCCAATGGTCAAAGGGTGTGGGAATTGTAGTACATAGGCTCCCTATCCCTGTTGCAGAGGTTGCAGTCCAATCCTGAACATGTACACTCAGAAGTAAGAATCCCACTAAATCACAATATTGTAATACCTGGTTTCAGCTCATTTTGTAATTCACTATCTCAGGAACCCACCCACACGCTCCCCCTTTTTGGGCAGAAACAGTTTTTCTATAGACAGCAGCATTTAACCTCACATCTTTGCTAAACTGAACTAATACTCATTGTGTACATTTTATTTTATAACTTAAGCATAGTATGTAACCATTAATGAGTTAGCCCTTAATGAGTTAGCCCTTAATGAGTTAACCCTTTTCAGATCCCTCCTCTGAAGCAGAAAAGGAAATAACATTACTGCCATTTAATGCGTTCAAATCAACAGCGAAAGAAGAGAAGCACGGTTAATTTATGAAACTTATTTCCTCCTCACTTTTGGTGTAATGGGTGACTACAGACTCTATATAATGAAATTCACGACCCTTGGGCTCTGTACACAGACCTCTGTGCAGGGAACAACCAGAGATTCCACGTCTTGTGTTAACATCAGGTGTGGAAAAGAAGAAAGTAGGAAGAAAAACGAATTGCTCGCAATGAGCCTTGTTTGGACATGATACTAAACTATGGTTGAATGAGCTACAGTGAACCTTGGGGCTGTTATCCCTCTTTCTCTTTCTCTAAGCTTTCACTTCTAGCTGTTTGTCATGTTGGAATTCAGATGATACAAACTGTTAATCTTAACCATGGTTTGTTGAAACAAGCCAACTTCAAACCACAGTTCACAAAGTTCGCTTGTTTTAACTAACCATGGTTAAGATTGACCACAGTTTGGGGTTAATATAGAATGAAAGCAGAGATTTTTTAATATACTCCCTGCATCTGTGCTGGAGTGGAGAGCACATAAACCAGATGCTTGCTGCAGTTCATAATGCTAAGCCATATTTATTTTGCAACTTCTTGGAACTGGCTCTGAAGTCTTTTTCTTGTTATTATAGTATTGGGTCTGTCAAGATGATCTAACTTTACTGATTCCCCACTGTAGAATGATTAAAAGCAATATACACCATGTGTATTTCAACTCAGATTCTGAGGTTCTGATCTACACTTCTGAGAAAGGACCTCTTTCACGGAAGTGGACCTCTGCTCCCATTTTCATTACACTATATCTCTACTGCTAGTTCACCAAGCTCCATACTCTTTGGCCATTTCCTCCTCCCAAGAACTCTCTATGTGCTGCAGAGGAAGGGTGTGAAGAAGAGAAACCTGCAGCAATTAATATCTGCCACTAGTTTTATGTAGCCCAATTTGTGGCGAGCTCTTCCTGCTCTAACATAACAGTGACTGAGCACTCTCCAAAGTCAAGTATGAATGAGGAATCAGCAATGCTTCCATTATATCTGCAAGGAGCATGCGGTTTCCAAAGATTAGCTCGTATCAGGAACTAATTCCCCCACATACCCTAAATGAATAGACCATAAGGTGGCTAATTTCTTGGGGTGCCAAAATGAAGACAACTATCCCACCATTATCTTTTCACCAAGTGTAAATTTGCTGCAGCAATAACATTGATTTTAAAATGAACCAATCATTTCAATAGGAAATGATTACATTCTTTACCCATTACCTAAAACTGGCACAGTAGTAGAACCTACTGCTTGCAATCATTTTAAAAAATGGTAAAAAATATTATATTAAACTTATATATCACATAATAAAATAAGGGGCTATTGACTGATGGTGAATATAGTAAAATATTCTTTTGTCAGCGGTTTGCACCTGCCAGAAAAATCACAAGAGGATGTTATTGATATTCAAATCTATTTTGCAATACGTACTAGATTCATTCTTATTCCAAAATATCATGTGTAGGATGCTTTAGCAAAGAAAATCTATATTCAAGGAAGGGTGGTTGGATCACACATGAAGAGTCAGGGATGTGAAAAACTTGTTCATTTGTTTCCACAACGTTTCTGCTTTCTCTTCCCCTGGCCTTGGAAATCCACGGAAACTTCATGAAGAGTCTAAGATGTCTTTCCTTCTAAAAACTGTATGTATAATCTGTATGTGAATTAGATTGTGCATCTCATTTCATATCCATCTCGAATACTATTGTTTCCCATCAATGAGATGGAGATTCAGGGACACACTGAGATACATACAATGTTTTCCTCCCACACCCTTGAGATAAAGTGAACAGAATCAGGCAGAAGGTGGATTTGGGACAGCTGCCTGTATCAGCAGAACAGCAACATCCACACTAGAAACTGAACCTGCCAGATTACCACAGCATCCTGGATAAGGGGGAAATAGACAAGCCAAAATGGTACTTACTGGTGAATAGCTTGCAAGAATTTGCGCTGATGTTTCCTTACTTTTGCATGGTCTATCTTTTTCACCAGCTTTGTATTTTTATAAATTAACCATGTTTCCCTGAGTACATTGGCCGCTGCATTTTTCACCTGTTTTAAAAAAAGAAAACACCAGGCTGACTGAAACAGCATTACACGTCCCTTTGAGTCTTCCCTAGCACATGTTATCTATCATAAATATTTACAGGAATGTCTCCTTCTGAGACCAGGTGCTGTAGAGAGCTAACGTAATATGAGCACAACTGTCTAAATTCTGTGCCTCTGCTTGGCACTTGAATTAGTGACTATCCACACCCAGCATCTTGGGAATTCTGGTTCATACATTATGATGCAGTAGGTCTGATTAACATTCCCTTCCCCACTGCCCATGCAGGAATTTCCCTTCTCTCCTCTGTTGTCATGGAACATCTTTTTCATAGGCAAGAAGAGGAAACATACTTGACATTTTGGATCATGGCTTTATATAGCAGGGTTGCCAAAAGTTGTTAAGCTTTTTTGCGAAATCTTTTTTTAAAAAGGTGAAGTTTTTGAGCTATCTTTAAGGAAATTTGCAAAAATCTTGACTTGCCATACGGACGGATTTTCCCGGATGTATATAATATTTTAATATTTTTTAAAAGCATGTGGTTAGGATATAACTGGAATGCCAAATAGACAAGCATTGCTTCTCACAAGATCATTTTATCTGATCAGCACTCTGAGAGTACATTTCCACCACAGCATCAGGAATTGTTAGACACTGAATGCCAGTTATGTTTCGTTTTGTTTTAAGTAGATGAGCAGTTGGGTTGAAGGACAACTAGTCAGACTAACCTGGCTGCTAGTTTGTCACTACAATCATATCTCATTTTTCTTCCGTGATGGAATCAAGGCAGAAAACGTAACACTTCCTCCGAAGTTTCACTTCCAGGCACTGATCAGTCCCATACCTACTTAGATTTACTAAGACTGGTTTATCACAGACATAGGCAAACTCGGCCCTCCAGATGTTTTGAGACTACAGTTCCCTTCATCCCTGACCACTGGTCCTGTTAGCTAGGGATGATGGGAACTGTAGTCCCAAAACATCTGGAGGGCTGAGTTTGCCTATGCCTGGTTGATCATGTGCCTTCAGCTCATGTTCCAGGACCTATTCCACATATTTGCTTCTGTTTTGCTATTCCTTAAGCGAGACCTCACATCTACCACCAGTGGACAAAACACTTAAAGCTGACATGAAACTTAGAGATTCAATAATTCAGTAGCATCTTTCAAGATCTATCCCTAGAACTATCTGTGACCATGGTGAAAAACAAAGCAAAATATTCGCTTTTTATTGAACATACAAAAACAAACAAACAAAAAACACATTATGACTTACTCTTTTAGTTAGCTGGGTATCCATCATGAAATTATGCACATGTTTTTCAGCTTTGGTAAGTTCTAATTTCCTTGCTACCACAGCTACCACCAGTGCAGTGCAACCAGCACCCTGGAAATAGCAATAAAACAAAAACCAAAGAGTTGTAATACCTTATTCAATAATGGTCACACTATTGACGAAACAGGAAAAGAAAGCAGTATGGTTACACAAAAGAAGTACATTTGTTTAGTGCAAAATGATATAATTTGATTTTATCAGTGTCTCTGCAGTTGGGAAGAAATTCAGTGTCATGTTAAGGCAGTCATTCAGTCAATGCGAGCTTTTCAGTTTCCCAGATGGAATTATCTCCTCTCTTCTCCTTACACATGCTATTCTGAGGGTTCTCGCAAACCCCCCAGAGCCAATTTTGGGTGGCACAGAGGGTAGCAGGGAGAAAAGCTGTGTTGCACACACACACACACACACACACACACACAAAAATATTCCAGACAAGACTCATCAGGTGAATCCCACCCTCAGTAATATCACACTTTAAGAGTTACTTTAATGGCACGTTCAATCGCTTCCAGATCATCTGCAATTCTTCTCCCTCCTTCCCTCCACAATGGCCTGATTTGCATAGTACATTAAGTGAAACCTTGGTTAAGCGTGAATGCACAGACTCCCGTAGAGGCGCTTGTAGCTACTTCACTCTTCCCCATCTCTTTTTGCTGCCACACCATGTTATGCCTTAGTATGTCATCCCAACCCATCTGGTTAACTTCTATCCAGACTAGCCATGAGTTGTAACCAAGAACAAACCATGGTTTGTTGGAGCCTGTATGTTCACGCTTTTGCACTAAGCCAAGGTTTGATGTGCAAACCAGGCCACTTGGTCTCACAGGAAGAGAATCTTCTTGCTCCAGGAACAAAGGAGGATAAAGCTGAAAGCACTGTCAATATGTTAAACAGCTCCCCACTAGTTCTCCACAGGCATTAATATTCTTTAGTTGGGAAACTAAGGACTGCAAGTTACAGATATCCTATTGAGGGCAAAAGAAGTTGGGACTTTATAGGCCATAGACAAAGGGTAGTATAAGAGATGTGATTCTTCGAGCAGCCGATACATGCAATGGGGTTTTGGCACTGACACATAAACATCAGTTCCTTATTTGATATTAGAAGTTTTCTGTTTTCTCTGCTAGTTATGAAAACAAACTAGGGAGACTTAAACAAGTTGCATCATTAATATCAGTGTTAAAACACTACTTAACATTTACATTATAGCAATAATGAGCTTAACTAAGCCAATTTATAGTGAACTGATCAGTGTGTCTATTAAGGAGGGCAGTATAATTATATTAGGAACAAATCTAATAAAAACAGAAGCCTGTTTAAACTTTATCTTTGGACTTTAATAAAAGTCTTACCTAAAATCTAATTAACCCATGGAAAGTGAAATATTGTACAATCTGCCCTTTGCTCTACCCACAAGGGGGAAAGGCTGACATTCCATTAGTAACAGTTTATAGGGATTCTATACATTAAACATTTATTGACATTAATATTTGATTTGTATTGAAATACACTGCAGCTCTACAAATCCTTGTAAAGATGAATATTTGGGATGCTCTTCACAAGACTTTAATGAACTTTTCCTCTATAAGGCAAATTTATCTCATGCACACTCTCACAAATACATTTATAAATACGCTGAACAGCAGAGAGCGCAGGATAGAACCCTGTGGCACCCCACTTGAGAATTCCCTCAAGGCTGACACAGAGTCATTACTGAGCACCCAGTGGGTATGGTTCTTCAACCAGTTGTAGATCCACCTAACTGGAGTAGTATCCAGCCCACTTTTCACTACCTTGTCAGCAAGGAAGACTGTCAATTGCCGAAATCAAGATATATTATGTCCACGATATATTATGTCTAACCCCTTTTCAGAGCCTGAATGAAACCATGTTAAATAAAACAGCCTAGAACATCTAGGAGAGTCTGTCATGGGAAGAAGATGTGCATAACAAAATACTGTAAGTCTTTCGTCAGGAAGATATACTTGCACTAAGGGATTCTCAGCACCTGCAGTAGCAGAGATCTCAGCCTTTGGAACCCTCTCTCTCTCTCTCTCTCTCTCACACACACACACACACACACACACACACTGGTTTTTCTAGAAACCACCTACTTTTCTTTCAGGGACTGAATCCACCTCCAGTTTCCTGGCTGAACTAGTTGCATAGAAACTAGTTTCGGGAAAGAAGGGATTGGCACGAAGCGTTATGTAGCTCTTTTTTAAAAGACAAATGAATAGCTGCACTTTTGCTTCCTGAACTATTGTGTTCCCATTTTCCCAACAATACAAGCTCTATTCTGTCTTCCATATACTCTGCTTTCCTTTTCAAGTCTACCCTCTCATTTTTAATAGGGGGAATCATACCTATTGGTACTGGATCAGAGTCAGGGCAAGTATGAATCCATTTTTTCTGGAAAAGCTTAGAACAAACTGTGATTCATGATATAAAGAGGTTTCTTTTTTAAAAAGAAAAAAGTCAGGCCTCCATAAATGTACAAAAGAGCTTCAAAAACATGTAAATTATTTTTGAACTCCACGGCTCCTCCCTGCCATACACGGTCTGTGCAGCATATTCTCCAGAAGCTTAACCATTTCCAACAAATGATTATATGCTACAGCTGGTACTTCAATGACTAATTAACCTTCGGAGAAAGAAAGCCTTTGTTAAAATGTCACCAAGCTCACAATGAATAGAGGGAACATCTTGAGATGTCTAGGTGAAGACCAGTAGCTAGGAGTCCTTTAACAAAACACAATACACACACACACACACACACACACACACACACGGTACAAGATTTAGTTAAGCATGGAGATTTGGCTTAAGATGATTCATTTGTCCACATGCTAGTGTAAGTCAAATCAGGGAGCCACAGTGCTTGGGTCCAGAACTAAAAATTACAGCTGGCTGAATTCAAAGCAGGAGGAAAACAATCACAACTGTCTGCAGAAAATCTCACACTTCTATAGCAGTTTGGTTCTACAGCTGTTCTCATGCTGCTGCTTCCACAGCACATTGTGCAAGAAGCAGAGCATATCCGAATTTAGTTGCGCTTTCCTCATGAAATGACACAAAACACCCCTTCTTCTGTGGCTTCTAACTGTGGAAGGGCACTGCGGCATCCAACTCAGAATTTGGATTCAGAGTTGTAGTTCAGTTTCATCTTTATGTGCGGCATGGAATAGTTCTGATATTTACTAAATCCTACTTTCCCCCTTGAAAATCCAACACAGGGATTATCTACATAGGTACACATATGCTCACAGGCATTCCCTGGTTCCCACAGGGTAACCCCCCCACTACACACACTGAAGTTTGACTTGACAGAAGTATTATGTTGCACCCAATAGAACAAGCTGCAACGTCTGCTTGGTTGTGTGTGTGGAGGGGCAACAGTTTCTCCTGTTTGCAGATGGGCCCATGGGCCCAAAATGGTTGACAGCCCCTGATCTAATGGAACTTATAAAATACGGGGACAGGAGTTAGCCACTTGCGCAGAATTCAAGACACAACAAAGGATGACGGAACTAGTTTAACTGAGAGAATATATCTGTCTGATATACATGAACATGAACCCATAATCCTAGTTGTGATTTGGAATTGCCATTCAAACAGAGTGCTGGTGAACAGCATTGCCTATTCTTCTACAGTTCTTCACGTCAAATTGTTGTGAGCAGGGATTTTCAACCTGACGAATATGAAAGAAAAGAGAGAGGCTTCTTTGTGTTTATGAAGAGTTTGTATGTCTCAGATTAGTTCAGTCCTATGTTAAAAATCAAGCACTGATAGGAGTTGTTTCTTTTTGTTTTGCAATGTATTTCTTATCAATAAAAACTTTGGTGTGGCGTGAGCACATTTTTATTCTGAAGGTGTGGCCCAGAGAACAGAGTTTGAGAACCAGTGCCATAAGACAAGTGACAGATCTGATTCTTTGGCTTGGCTTGCATGTCTCATTTATGTATAGTTCTTTGCTACTGTATATTGCTCATTTACATACAGTGGTACCTCAGGTTACATGCGCTTCAGGTTACAGACTCCGCTAACCCAGAAATAGTACCTCGGGTTAAGAACATTGCTTCAGGATGAGAAGAGAAATCGTGCTCCGGCGGCGCGGCAGCAGCAGGAGGCCCCATTAGCTAAAGTGGTGCTTCAGGTTAAGAACAGTTTCAGGTTAAGAACTGACCTCCGGAACGAATTAAGCATGTAACCAGAGGTACCACTGTATATAAAATCAGTGCATGTATTTCAATGTATGCAACTTGAGAATGAGTAACATGAAATATCATTTTCCATATCCTGAGTGAAAAAAGCATTTGGGTTTTCAATAACTCTGCCCAGCAAACTCCTTAAAGACTGCAACAATTTGGACAAATTTTAATTCTTAGATATTCTTTTAATGCATTTTTTATTACAGGCCAACACAGCTAGTTTTCCTTTTTGAATGACTTGGAGAGTATTGAATTCAGCCATTCAAAAACAGTATCCTAAACTGGAGGAAGAGGATTTTATAGCATAGGGAGCTGGGGCTTTATTTTCTGAAGGTAATTCCCTTCCAGCCGCTAGGAAAAGCTACTTAATTTGACTTCAGTTTACTCTTTTTTTAACCTAGTACACTACCTAAAATTAATCTCCAGCTCTGCAAATATAAAAATTACCACATTTCCCTATGTGTGTTTTGCTTAAAGCTACAGAACTGCTGGATTTTATATCTGTTAAAAAATTGGGAATTGGCCAATGTCTATTTGTCTATTTCTTCCTCTTAGGATCTCTAGGTGCAATCTAAAAACTGCAAAGCACCTAGAAGAACCTTATATGATAAATCTGCTATCTTGTCCTACACTTCAGCTAAAGACCAATACCAATGTAAACTTTATGGTTTCAACGCAAAGTCAGCCTTCCTCCCCACAAAATTTTCCTTAACACCTAAGCCTGATAAAGGGCTTTAAAGAACTCAAAAGTTTGATCACTAATTTGTGGCATTTTGCTGAGGTAATAAAGATATTTCCCTACTACGATTTGTTTTTCTTATGGCCCAACACAGCTGCCTTTGCTCCTCTTCTTCCTGATAGTGTTTTTTAATCCCCCAAAAGATATCTGTTTTTCAAAAGTTTTGCTTAAACTGTAGTCCCCACCCTCTTCCTTTATTTATATTATTTATAGTTATAGATAATTTTTAAAATCTTAATAAATTAGTGATAAGGAGAAAATACATTTTTTTTCAAACATCTGTTGCCTATCATTAAGACACACACTTCCAGAGAGCAAAATGAGAGAGCAGTCAAGTTTGAAAGTCAACTGGCTACGTGTTAGGTCAGGGGTAGGCAACCTAAGGCCCGTGGGCCAGATATGGCCCAATCGCCTTCTCAATCCGGCCCGCGGATGGTCAGGGAATCGGCGTTTTTTTACATGAGTAGAATGTGTCCTTTAAAAAAAAATGCATCTCTGGATTATTTGTGGGGCCTGTGGTGTTTTTACATGAGTAGAATGTGTGCTTTTATTTAAAATGCATCTCTGGGTTATTTGTGGGGCATAGGAATTCATTCATCCCCCCCCAATATAGTCCGGCCCACCACATGGTCTGAAGGACAGTGGACCGGCCCACGGCTGAAAAAGGTTGCTGACCTCTGCGTTAGGTACTCTCCTTTATGACTCTCAGGAAAACACCACTGAACTCTCCCGCTCCTTCTAGATCTCTCAAGCAGTTTTGAGTTCAGCCAAATAAGAGGCAGATTTCTGTCTTTGCCCACAAAATACTCTTCTATACTTGCCTGTGCCTGGGAAAAGGTAGCTGACCCATTTCTTGCTCATTTCCCTTGGGATCCAAAGAAGAAGAAAGTAGGTCCGCTTTACAGACAATGATGGGAAATTTAGTTCTCACCAGAAAATGCACAACAATCCGCCTTCTCCTCTGAATAAAATGAAAGGCCTGTAAGAATTTAAATAGACATTCCATTCATTCTGGGATCCCTAGGTGGAGAGCCAACCGAATGGGCCAGTTAAAAAAAGCGTTGCGGCTAAAAAAAAAATATTGTAAAAGAAGCAATTATTGGAGAAATGAGAGCAAAATCCATCCCTGAGATAGGTTTTAAGACAAGTGAGACCTTCTGCAACAAGAAGCTGCAGCCTGGAAGTAGCAAACAGAAATGTATTCCATTAGGGGGAAATGTGTCACAAAAAATGTGCATATTAGACAGAACTGGATACAAAAAAATGGGCATTTTAGGCGCAGGAGCATGCAATATCTAAATGTGCTTGGGTCTTGATGATTTGCTGTTCCATGGGCGGAGGTGTCATAGTAACAAAGGTACCCCTACAGCAGATAGAAATCTGAAATCCAACATGTGTATAAGGCGGTGCAAACTACTTTTTAATTCTCTTGCTTAGGGAGGTCTGTGGCATGGCAATGACTAGCACAAGTTGTGCCTTAGTTTGCTCAGAGGTTGTGCTGCACAATCACCCATGAGCAAGGAAGGCATAGACAGGGCAGAAAGTTGGGGAATTCTTCGCTCCCATGCTCAAAGCAACCTCCGACTGAGAGTGAGAGAGACTTTCAACAGTGAATCATCTCTGACTGGAATATTTCTATCTACGATCTTTTTAGACTTCTAAGGCAGTGGAAATACTGTTATATTGTTTATGTTTCACTGGTATCTACTACTTTCCCTTTCCCTTTTTAATTATTCAAGTTTTTATTACATCAGCAATTTTCAATTGGCCTTTTCTGAACCTTCCTAAAAGAAACGTATAATTCAATCCCTTATTAGCAAAGCTAATTATGTTGTTGATACCAAAAATAATTTACATAGCTCTAAGAATTGAACATCCCCCTCCCAGAAAAAATGGCAGCCATTAAGCATTTTTTCTCAATCGTCAAAAAACCACAAAGGTATATAATAAGTTCTTAATTTCTCCACAATGCAGAACTTGGTCGAAGTCACTGAAGCTTCAATGCTATGGTCCCTGGGAGAAAGTCTCAGGGACACGGGATACCTTGGGTCCTACTTGTTAGGATATAGTTCCGTTCCACCTTAAAAGGGAAAAGGCTGTTGTGTGTCACATGCTTGTTTACTTCCAGCTTCTTGCTGGGAACTTCTGTTTGTATATAGCTTTTTTTCTGGCTGTTTTTCCTGGACACGGAGGCAAGCAGTCATGTTTTTCCTTTGTTCTGAACAATGTTGAATAAAGCTGTAAATATGCTCTCCTGTATGCATCTTTCATTATGGAGACTCTGCTGAAAGGGTGTGCACGGGTCTTGGAATGTCTCTGAGGCTCGTGTCCCTAATTGACTGATGCTGTTCCACGGGAGACCGGTGATCGTCCTGAGACAACTGGGGGCCTGCCTGATGCCTCCGTCTCCCTGGCAGGATCCCAACACTACTCTCTGACACTGGAGACAGAGCTATGAAAGTGAGAGTGATGTCGGGTCCCCACTCTGAGCCCAAACAACATCAGAGCTCTGATGTCAGCATGGGGCATGTGGAGAGGATGTTCAGGGACAGCTCTGGGGCAGTAGGGGGCATGTGGTGAAGGGCACTTATCCAGAGGCACCAGCTTCTCCAGAGGATTGGGGGTCCCAAAGTGATGCCACACAACGTCCTCTGAATACTGAGGGGGCCCATCCCCTTAAAAAAATACATATTGGGGACCGAAACTGCCTCAGCCCCTAGGAGTTGGTGTGCTTGCACTTATGGAAAGGACCCAAATTGTCTGGGTTCCCCAGCATCCCCAAAGTAGGGAAAAATTTAGACCAGCGGTTCTCAACCTGTGGGTCCCCAGATGTTGTTGGACTACAACTCCCATCATCCCTGAGCTCTGGCCTTGCTAGCTAGGGATGATGGGAGTTGTAGTCCAACAACATCTGGGGACCCACAGGTTGAGAACCGCTGATTTAGACCATCTGTGTGTGGAAGACTGCAAGATTGAAACACTATCATTTGCAGGTAGTCAGACCATCAATTCATTATAAGGCGTGTGTGTGTATACTAAGGGCGGGTGAGTCTGTCAATTTCTGTTTCTTTCCATCGCTCATTTTTTCCAGTCTTGAGTTCAGTTTTCCACATCAGTTTGCAATTTATTTATTTTTTTAAAGGCCTCATGAAAATTCTCCAGCATTTTCATGTGAATGTCTCCTAACAGGCACGTTTGTGTATGCAATTTTGCTTTATACACACATTTTGCACAGCAAACTCTCCCTAATGTAGTGCATTTGATATGCTTTTTTCCCCACCAATATTTGCATTTCATGTACACTTTGAACCAAAATATGCATTCTGGGGGACATTTCTCACCTTCAGAATTGCACTGCGAAATTCCGAAAAGTGTGAATTTTCATAAGCTGTGTTTTGGTTTGCAGATTGTTTTGGAAAGTGAAAATTGGGTAGGTTCACTTTTAAATGTCAAGTTAATCAAAGTGCTCCCCCATCCCTAGTATGTACTAAGGGCATGGACAAGATTCAGCCTAGATACAATTTTGGCATACTTTTCAGCCACTTTCATTACTGCATCAAAGACCAATGAAGCACAATCTTGCACCTGCTGTTTGTGTGGCATCTATGTGACTGTCTCCTTATATGTAAAATGGGCAGGATTCAACCAGTGAGTTCTGCCAGTGAAAGCCCCACACAAGGATATCCACTTGCGGGTGGTGAGAGAACTCTAGGAACATTGTGCGGGGAGAGAACAGGGATTGTTCTGCCTGGCAAGCCAAAATGTTTGCCCTGACATAACAATTGCCTCTGGGTGATCCTTAATTTCTCCCAGTGTTCTCCTGTGGCTACAATGGACGAGGTCGTCAAGAGAAGAGACCCTCACTTTGAGCTACAGTAAGATAAAATATTGAGACATTAAGGGAACTGTGACCTGCCAGTGAAAATTTGTCTTATGCTATCTATATTCAATTATTCATTGAACATCAGAATGTTGAATCTACTTCTCTGGAACGCTACAAGCAAGAGAAAATCAAGTCTGCCATCCATTGTTGTATTCGGTATCTCATAATCAAAGATATATGATCCCTGAAGATGGAAGTTCTATTCCAAGTTATGACATTTAAGCTATTAATAGGCCAATTCTCTATGAAACGGGGAACGGTCGTTCGAAAGCCACTTATATTAGAGGCTATGACAATATCATGTTGATATAAACTTATTATGCGCTGCACAAATCATTGCTTCCATTTGTTCACGTCAAGGTATCTGAGCTGAACTACCCACATAGTCGTAACATTTATGTATGCCTTCTCCTCGGGAATTGGTAAATCTTGCTTCCTCTCCACATGCCGTTGTTCAGTACAGTGGTACCTCAGGCTACAGATGCTTCAGGTTACAGGCGCTTCAGGTTACAGACTGCACTAACCCAGAAATAGTACCTCGGGTTAAGAACTTTGCTCCAGGATGAGAACAGAAATCGCGCGGTGGCAGCAGCAGGAGGCCCCATTAACTAAAGTGGTGCTTCAGGTTAAGAACAGTTTCAGGTTAAGAACGGACCTCCGGAACGAATTAAGTTCTTAACCCGAGGTACCACTGTACTGAACACAGCTCTTTTGTTCCCTTTGGTACGTATCCCTTTGGGAGCAGCCAGCAGGGAGAGCTGTTTGCACACACCTTGCCTCCTGGCACTAGCATCTTAGGAGGGGGAGAGGCAAAGCGGCAGGGAGACTGGTGCTGTGTGGATGCACCAAAAGCAGCGCTGGACTGCCTCCACCATAGCGCCTGCATATGCCTGACTTTCTCACCACCTGGCCCTCACCTTCCAGGTATGCCCCATTGTTGGGAGTTTTGGGAAGTGTGTTGCATACTGTCAGCCCTCCCCGCAAGCTGACCCTGATCCTGTTTATTTTGCATTAATGGAAGATGGGCCCGTGGTGTTGAACAATTGCTCTCTGTTTCATCGATGTCGCTGTGACTTAGTATATTGCACTCTTCCAGGTGGAAGCTCCCCATACTCCTGGATGATGATAATGCTGATAATAATAATAATAATAATAATAATAATAATAATAATAATAATATATTCAGTATACCTGAAGGAGTGTCTCCACCCCCATCATTCTGCCCGGATGCTGAGGTCCAGAGCCGAGGGCCTTCTGGCAGTTCCCTCACTGCGAGAAGCAAAGCTACAGGGAACCAGGCAGAGGGCCTTCTCGGTAGTAGCGCCCGCCCTGTGGAACGCCCTCCCATCAAATGTCAAAGAGATAAACAACTACCTGACATTTAGAAAACATCTGAAGGCAGCCCTGTTTAGGGAAGTTTTTAATGTGTGACATTTTGATGTATTTTTAATCTTTGTTGGAAGCCACCCAGACTGGCTGGGGAATAATAAATCATTATATTATTATTATTATTATTATTATTATTATTATTGGCTGCCCATCTGACTGGGTTGCCTCAGCTACTCTTGGTGGCTTTAATGCTCAAGTAGGACTGCAGAAAGTACTCAAAGGAAAGGTAACAGGAAGTAAACCATATAAAGAGCATAGCGCAAGATGATCCTTATGAGCTCCGCTGAATGCCCCCAGTCAGCATGGTTTGAAGTATCTCACATTCATGGATAATTCAGAATGCTGAAGCGATCCAATCCCCAACGTTAATGCCATCTCAGAATGCCCTTTGTCTTGAGCCTATCCAGGGAACCATCATCCCCCAGTGCAGAAAATACATGACCGTATTATGTCACCCAAAATAATAACGGTGGTAAATATAAGGCTACAATATTTTCTATGGAACGTGTTTAGAAGCGGGGGTGTGCACTGACCACAAGATTTGGTTCAGCATTTTGGAAAATAGCCGGCATCAATCTGAAGTGCTTTGTACATTGGTTGGTTTGCCTCAAGGTCCATCCGAATCAGTTTCATTTCCCCCCTTCCCTCCATTTCATTACTGGAAAAACAAAACAACCCTTTATCCCTTCTGGCAGAAGTAGATGGTATTTGCAAGCATGCTAACCCCTACAGAGTGGATAAAGTCTGCCAAATGACAAATAGATGCAGGGAAGTTCTGCCAGGTACCTTAAAAAAAAGTTTTGATTTTAGCAGATACTTCTCTGCAACCTTTTTTTTGACATCTGGATTGCTAAGGCGCCCCAGGGACTCTGATTTTTTGCTACCGCATAGAGTTCCTACTTTGCCTCTGACAAGCCCAACAGTCCTTTGAGGCACTCCATTTTGGCTCAGGATTCAAATCTCACGCACACCTCTGTTTACAATACTAGCTAACTCATAAAGTACACTAGAGACATGATACAATTGAAGAGTACAATTCCTTACTCCTGAGCATTTTTAAGCTTCTGGGTTTCAGATGGATATATTTCAGTATGCGTGTCACTCTCCCACTAAAAATAAATGGGGCCTAAAGTGCTTATGTTTCCTTGGATCATGTGCAATATTACCATTATTACTACAGTATTTACTCATATGCTCTAGTGTAATTGCTCCATAACTTCTCTTCACAGTATTCGGTCCTCAACAGCTGTGTTCTGATACATCCCGTGTGTTAGCCCTACACCATAGAGATAGAGAAAGAAAGAGACATGGCAAAAATGTATAGGACAAGTACAAATATATGCTGGAAATGTAAAGAAAAAGAAGGTACCTTTTATCATATGTGGTGGACTTGTAAGGTAATAAAAGCTTTCTGGGAGATGATATATAATGAAATGAAAAAAATGTTTAAAATAACCTTTGTTAAAAAAAAAAACCCCAGAAGTTTTCTTATTAGGAATTATAGGTACTAACATTCCAAAGGAGCAGAAAAGACTTTTTATGTATGGAACAACAGCCGCCCAGATGTTACTAGCCCAGAGATGGAAAGAAGACAAGGTCCCTATCAGAGAGGAATGGCAAACCAAGTTGATGGACTATGCTGAAATGACAAAACTGGAAAACTCAGAAACCAAGAGGACAAAAACTTTATTTAAAAAATGGGAAAAATTTACAAGTTATTTAGGAGACCACTGTAAGTGGACTGGCAGGATTTTGATTTCACTTGTAGTGTAACAAATACCATGGACAATATGGATTGATATAAAAGTTAGTGTGTTGAAGAATATGCAGTTGTAAATCTTCTAAGTAGGACCCCATGGAAGGGGTGGAGGGAAGTCGTGAGATTCAGAGGAATCTCTGTAGATGGACATATATTTGGATTTTTATAACTTTGTACTTATAAAACCAAATAAAAATGATTTCCAGAGAGAGAGAGAGAGAGAGAGAGAGAGAGAAGGCTAGATATATTACATTCGCCACTCCACTGTATTTGGGTGTCTTTAATCTGGACAGTTTATGACTGATTCAGACATCTTGGTTTTTTGGATGTGGGAATTACTGCAGTGTCCTCAGGATTCTACAGTAGGGCTATCACGTTATCTACCATGTCAGATCCTTCTGAGTTTTTGAATATTGCTTTTTTGATCATTTAAGGAAATTGTCAACAGGCCAGAACAAACCCTCTTCAAACAGGGGCAAGAAGTCCTGTGAGGGATTCCCAGAGGCTCCATGTAGAGAGGTGGGTACAATTTGTCACATAGAGAAATATATGTGTAGTTAAACAGAAAAGTAGCTGTAGCCACTTATTTGTATGAATCAGCTAACACTGGCAGGCTTTCCACCCACCCACCCATTTGGTGACCAGCAGATGACCAGCTTAACCAGTAGAAGAAAGTGGAGCGACACCTCAGATCACTCCAATGCCCCTCACCCAACCCAGCAGAAGGGGGTCTGGATTGCAGTCTAAGTCTTCCTCTATAAAGTAGGCCACTATATCAAATCACTATTTCAGCTGGCCCCCAAATGGAGAGGGCATTATTCAGGATTCCCATTATACAATTTTCTGGGGTGCCCCTTCCCAGCAAAGTCAGCCCTCGGCACGGTCAGTCATATCCTAATGCTCCCTAGGCAAAACTACCATTATGTACTCCATGTGTGACAGCTCTTAAAAAGTGTTCAGAAACTCCAGCTACCACTGGAGTATATGAAAGCATATTAAAGGCCACTTTCTTCCATATATGCCTCCATGTGCCCTCTATTCAACATCCAAGGCCTTGCTCTAGATGCCACTGCCAAAAAAAAGTTCAGTAGATGTGCAGTTATAACAGAAACTTCTTGGTAGAGCAGCCAGGATTGTTGAACCCAGAGAGGTCTGCCGTTTTCAGGTTCTTCAGAAAGCCTTTATAATGTATTTTATGCATACAAATTATTTTAATTGGGATTGCAATGTTTTTCTTTTCATTTTAAATCATTGCATTATCACTGATAAAGAAAAAATCAGGGTACAAATTATTTAAAAATATAGCATTAGGAGAACCAAAGATAGATATAATTTTATTATTATACTTGGCTTAAAAAAACCCCCCAATTCTTTTCTTATTACCGCATTTGCCCTTTTCACTGCCACTGCATATAGCAATGAAGTATACAGTAATAATAGATGCATCCAGTGCTTTTTTTCCCTAATAAAATGTTTAGGGGTACTCTCATTTTCCTACCCATATTGAAATACTGCCTCTCAATGAGGCCAAACTTAGATTCTCAAAAATTTTAGGGGTATGTGTACCCCTGCGTCCCCCCAGGAAAAAAAAAGCACTGGATGTATTAATGCAAAGATGTTAGAGGGGAAACCACTACAGCAGTTTCATAAAAGCAAGATCACTCAGTCTATTGTAAGACAAATTTAGAAACTAGTAGGTCTGACATTATAATTCACGGGAAGCAAAAAGAAGAGGCAGAAATGTGGTGATTGCCATATATGACATGAATGGTAGCTGAGATATTTGATGCTCAGAATATCAAGCTGTTATCTCAGTTTGTAAACATTTCCTAAGAAAAGCAGGAAGTGAATTCCCGAAGACAGTGATCAGGAGTGTCATGCTGTAATCCTATAAATACTGGGTTGGAGCCATGTTTCATCATGCTTAGAACAGACTGCTGAAATCAATGGAATCAATTATCTCAATCAGTATACTCTAACCATGATGGGAAGTCTGGGTGCAACCTACTTACCTGGGAATAAGTCCCACAGAACTCAATAGGACACCTGTATAGACATGTACCGGTCTATGGACAGTAGTATACAAATGACCAAAGATTTAACAAACAATTTTACATTAATAATACATGTTGTTAAACCAGTGAAGTTGTTCTGAAAACAATTCACCCAAGAAACTCACAAGAAATGTGGAAATTAAAACTAGGGGCACTCACCATTATTCCAGTAAGCAAGCAGACTCCTTTCCCACAGTATGTGTTAGGTACCATATCACCATATCCAATGGAGAGAAAAGTTATTGAAATCAACCACATTGCTCCAAGGAAGTTGCTAGTAACATCCTGTTGGTCATGATACCTGAAAAAGAAAATTATAATCTCTTTAACCACAAATTCTTTAACTGTGCTTTTCTTTTTCGGCTTTGAAAAGAACTTTGGCAGCTCGTTCCTTCTCAAGAATAGCTTTGTTACTTGAAACATATGCTTAAGATGCATGTTTTGTCCCCTATGGGGCTCCCCACAAATACATACATGAAGCAGCATATACAGTACATGTATATGGGTTGTTGCTATCAACGTGGACAACACTGATCTCCTATTAGGGGAGAAAAGCACTTGGATCTTGAGTTCAACAAAATTTTTACTTATTCTTATTCTTATCTTCTTCATTATCTTGCTTTTCTGCTCTCCCAGACACCGAGGGCAGCTTATACGTGAGAAAATACAATAAATATTTGATTTTATTTATTTAGAAAATTTCAAAACTACTTAACATTAAAAGCTATCCAAGTAGCATACAGTTGAACAGGTGTTGGGAACAGGAGTAGGTTGAATCAGGAACTGTTCCACCCTTCACAAGCCAGTTGGACAGGTGAGTGAACCAGTCATAGGATATCAGATGATTTAAATTTACTTGCTGTAGCTGTGAAGGCAGAATTTGGAGCACTCTCTGAGTGCACTCCTGATTCTTCCTTTCCACCTTGAATTCAGTGCCTTTTGAATTGGCACCTCTTTTGGTCACTATGCAGGGCAACAGAAAAAGTCACTGAATTCAACAATCACCAAATTGAAGAACTGACAAGAAAGGAAGGACCAGAAACATACTTACAGATAGGCAAATCTCAATTTTAGTTTCCCTTAATTTCTCATTTTTCCCTGTCTTAAGTTTAATTTTACACTCCAGTTTGCATTATTTAAAATAATAATAATAATAATAATAATAATAATAATAATAATAATAATAAAAAATTATTTATATCCCACCCTCTCCAGCCAAAGCCGGGCTCAGAATGGCTAACAACAGTAAAAATAGCACAGTTTACATAAAATCACAGTCAATTAATTGTAATACATTCTAAAATCAGTTCAGAATCAAATTAATGGCAAGCATTGGGCTAGAGTTCTGTGAAGATTACAGAAGGAGAGAGGGGGTCAGACTGTGCCTTGGCCAAAGGCCAGGCGGAACAGCTCTGTCTTGCAGGCCCTGCAGAAAGATGTCAAGTCCCGCAGCGCCCTAGTCTCTTGTGACAGAGCGTTCCACCAGATCAGGGCCACGGCCGAAAAAGCCCTAGCTCTGGCTGAGGCCAGCCTAACCACCCTGTGGCCTGGGATCTCCAAGATGTTTTTATTTGAAGACCGTAAGGTCCTCTGTGGGACAAACCAGGAGAGGCGGTCCCGTAGGTACGAGGGTCCTAGGCCGTCGTATAGGGCTTTAAAGGTTAAAACCAGCACCTTAAACCTGATCCTGTACTCCATTCATCAGCTCTCTAATGCGAATTTCTCTTAATATAGACATTTGTGTTTGCAGTTTTCTTAATATACTCTTGGTTGCAAAGCAATTTCCCCTAATACATTTTGCATGTCGCTTTTACAAATGTATGCATTTTAATACACAGTTCACCCTAGCAGTAAATGCATTTTTTAATACTCATTAGTTGTCTGGACAATTCAACTGCAAAATCAGAAGTGTGGATTTTGAAGAATGGCTGTGTTTTGGTTCTCATATTGTTTTGGAAACTGCAAATTAGATAGATTCGCCTTTAAATGTGAATTGGATCAAATCTGTTCCCCAGCCCTACTTATATAGTGCACCCCCAGTTCTTCCTTTGGAATGTGGCACCATGGCTTCCCAAGTCCAGCACCTGATGCCACATGATGACATGGGATGGCCAAATGGGATTGTTTTTCTCAAAACTATCTCATAGGCCAAATGGAGAGGCCTGGAGGGTCTAATTAGGCCTGGAGGTTCCCCACTACTGAACTAAAACATAATGTAACAACATAATATGAAACCATTATACATAAGAACACAACAGAAAATAAATACAGAAAACAGCAAAATACAGTAAAGGTAGAGAATCCCTGGACAGTTAAGTCCAGTAAAATTTGACTATCAGGTATAGCACTCGTCTTGCTTCAGGCCAAGGAAGCAGGCGTTTGTCTGCAGAAAGCTTTCTGGATCATGTGGCCAGCATAACTAAACCGATTCTGGTAAAACAGGGCACTGTGACGAGTGCCAGAGAGCACGGAAATGTCGTATACCTTTCCACCACAGTGGTACCTATTTATCTACTGGTATGTTTTCGAACTGCAAGGTTGGCAAGAGCTGGGACAGAGCAACGGGACCTCACCCCTTCGTGTGGACTCGAACTGCCAACCTTCTGATTGGCAAGTCCAAGAGGCTCAGTGGTTTAGACCACAGCGCCACCCGCTTCCTAGTGAAATACAACAGAGAAAAGCTGAAATACTTCTGAAATGACATTGAATTCCACCTGACACATTTTCAGGAGGCACCTAAAACAGATTACCTTGAGACTTGCAGAGGGAAAGGTATTCTAGATTACAGGGCCACCCACAGAAAACGCCTCTTTCTGGGTCATTGCCCCATACCAATCTGATGGGCACAGTGCCATAATAATAAATCCTAACATATCCAAAACACAGATCTATTATCAGAATCACAATAAGCCACCAATTAAATCCAAGTTAAAAGCATAAAAGCTCGGGAATTAAAAGAAAACAAGCTGTAGAAGACAAAGTTCAGATAGGTTAGGGGAATTAAAGAAGAATATATGCACATACTGTAGCAATTACTGGTATTACCAGTTCAGACATTGCTAATCACAACAATACTTAGCAGTGCTATGCTATATTTTAACAGCAGAATTAACCGAAGCAGTTTCACAGGTTTCGCTTGAGAGAAGAATCTTAATTATCAATGTCCTTCAGATGACTTTCCCACCATGTATGTATCCCTATTTAGTAACACACTGCTCTGTGGTGCTGATCAAACGTTTTCTCAGTTTTTAGCTGTAAGGCAAGGCAATACCAGAAAAAAATCCAGTGTGAATGATATTATACAGCTGCGATTTAACAGAACTTAATTTACTGTATTAGTAGTCTCATTTTTCTTCGGCAAAGCCATTAGGTTCATAATAAACAATTCTAAAGCCACTGACTTGCAAGCAATACCCCTGGTGTCATGAAAAGAATCCCTTAAGGACTGATGCAACAGACATCATGATCTTATAATCACCGATTCAACAGTGCACAGACTGACTTGCAGCAATGTAGCTGTTTCTGCATCATGGGAAAATTAAGTGTAGAGCAGGTCAGTCTTGTTGTGCAATTTGCTGAGCAACCTCAGTTTGGAATGTGCAATAAAAAAATATAAGATACATGAGCAAAAAAAGCCTCTGTAGTAGGTGGTCTTCAGAAATAATTTTCCTGTAGTCCTATACTGTTTCATTCATTCATTTGTTTTACTTGCAAGCCACTTTTCCACACACAAAAAATCATTCTCAAAGTGGCTTACAAGCAAGAAAACAATACATTCCTAAACCAAACACTGCAAAAATAATTTAATAATAACACAGCAAAACAACACAATAGCAAACATAACAACATGCAAATAACAAACAATTCAGAACTATAAAAATAAAAAGATTATATATACAGCATCCAGTAACAAAATAACAGGGGAGTTTTACAGTTTCACCTTGGTCCTACCGAAAACTTCACAATTCCTTTCATAATACTTTTGAATCACAACCAACTAGGCAGTCCAGCTTCCAAGTTCTTTCAAATTGGAGCCTCAAGTGACCCTAGCAAATACATTATGGGATGACCTACAATGGTTCTCTGGACCCAAGGGCATTCTGTCAAAAAGCTGGCCATCCTTTTTTCCCCAGTCATTTTCTCTGGATTCTAGAAATGATGGTACAGCATCACATAGCATCTTTTCTCAGAGTTCTTTGAAGCTCATGTTTCCAAGCACAACAACCAAGCTGCTATCAAGTAGGGATTGTGGGGGGATTGAGTTTAGTTCACATTCAATGGTGAAGTTAACTTTCTGGAACAATATGAGATCAAAACACACAGCCACCCTTCAAAATTTGCACTTAACTGAATTTTGCAATGCAGTTTCCCAACCAATGTTTACAAGAATGCAAAACTGTGTATGTTAGCCACAACTGCATACCAAAGGAGACATGCTTAAATAATTTTATGAGGATTTTTTTAAAAATCTACCTATTATTGCAGAAATGTGGAGAACTAAATTTTAGATTGGAAAAATGAGAAACTGCGAGAACCAAAATTAACAGATCTTTCCATCCCTACTGTTGGACATGTCAAAGCTCCAGGTGGGATTTTAGATTGTGAATCAAAAAGAAATGTTTGGACAACCTTGTACATTGCTGTAAATAAAGAGGGGAAATAACCCTGTCTCAAAGTCATTCAACTTTCTTTCACTTGCACCACCTAAAGTGTTTTGGTGGAAGAAGTGAACAGGATAGAATATTAATTTGGGAATATAAATTAATTTCAGAGGAATTTATTTAGAGGGATGGGGTAATGAAGAATGGGGGGGGTAAATTAGTTGAAGGGGCATTTATTTGGAGTGGAATCTGGATGGAAAATCAACTGGAGGTAAATTAACTAAAGATGAATTGAAGGTGTGTGCTGGGCAAGTTTATCAATTTGGGATGGGGTGCAAATAAATCAACATATTTTGAGGCGTGCGCCAGATGGATACTTGAAGTAAATTTATTGAAGGAGTAACTGTAGATCAGAAATTAATTGGTTTACTTTCTGTGAAAGGGGTGTTCTGCTGCAGCAGAGAAACATGGGATCAAACAAATAGTTTGATGTTGTGGGTTCAGATCCCACCACTGTCTTGTACCCAGTTTCTTGGTCAAGTTATTTATCTCTCACCCTATCTTCTTGACACACACACACACACACACACACACTACTTAATTTTGCTTTCAACCACTCTGTTACCATCTTTGGTGATGGACAATATACAAATCTCATAATAATAATAATAATAATAATAATAATAATAATAATAACAATAATAAACAAATGTGACATGAACTGTAATCTGCCCACTTCCTCAAGCTTTCTGCTCAGTATGTAGGTGATTTGCTGCTTTTCAAATGTAGCACAGCTGTAGTCTTGATTACATTGATCTATGGAGCTTGGTATCATGTGGGATAATGGTATTGTTTAATGCAGTGGAATATCTAAAACATATGCAACAGCTGTGTATAGTCCACCTCCTGACCCACCAGCTCCACTGGCTGGTGTTTGACCAGCTGGGTACCAGCTCCTGACCTGTCAGGCTCTCCCTCTTCACTGCCAGCTTTCCTGTAGGTATAGCTTGGCAGAGTGGGCAGATCTTGTAGCATGCCAACAATATTCTTTGGACTTCTACTGTTTGGTTTATTGCCATACCTAAAGCGAAAAATGCTAAACCTCACTATTTGGACTTTATGTTGGCTACATTCATCTGTTGTTGTAGCTTATCCCTTTTGGTTTATTGGCACACATGAAGTGAAAAGTTTTACCTTCGCACTGGATGATAGAGAGAAAGATTTTTGCAAAAGAGAAATGTCAGCGTTCTGAAGACAAAGACATAGCAAAGCACTGGAAAGAAAACCAACCATATGAAATGCTTCTCCTAGGGATTTAAATTCCTATGTACGTATTTTGCATGCATATTACTATAGCTGCATGAACAGACTTCCGTCTCCTGCCCTGAAAAATTCCTGAGAATTCACATTATCTAAGCTTAAGTTAGGGTGCACTGTGCATCTTTTGAATAAAGAGGAAGGCTACTGACTCGAAAACGGAGAAGAGGAAAATGGAGACATGGCATCTTTCATCACTGCTAGCTTTATGCAAATGCAAACACAGATGAGACAACAGGTTTCATTCAAAGTGCCTACTGTTAAGCTTTAATAGTTAATGAAATGTTATGACAGCTGCAGAGACAGGCTTGGCTTTTATATCCTCTACTGGATCTTCAGAAACACAACACAAAGGCAGGTGTCTGTGTGTGTGAGTGAAATTTACAACAGGAAACACCTTAAAGCAAGTTAGGGGCCTGCAGTTGGTAGATCAGCAAGTAATGTCAATGTGGGTCATGCAACAGAGATGAGGAGTTAGCAAAATATGACTCATTTGTAGTGATTTGTTCTGCTGCAAATCCTCCCAATTAGCAGCACAAAAACATAGAATCATAGAAATGTAAAGCTGGAGGCGACCAAAGGGATCACCTAGTCCAAGCCCCTGAAATGCAGAAATCTTTTTGCCCAACACAGGGCTTGAACCCACAACCCTGAGATTAAGAGTCTCATGCTCCACCGACTGAACTATGTGGGTAGACCTTGTACCATATCTGGTAAACACATACATATTGGGTTTAAATACTACTACATTGCAACAGGTGGGAATTCAAGGGCAAAGGACAGCTCAAATAAACAAGCACTTCAAATATATTTTACACAGGAGAAAAACCACACAGTGAATAAAAAGAAGCTTTTAGAAAGAAACTCATGTAACATTGTACTTAACTCCACTCAGGGATACTGATTGCATTAAATAATAGTGTGGAACCTCTAACCCTCAGGCAAGCCATGGCTACCTAGCCCACACTTGACATATGATGTCGAATGTCAAGCAGGTAAAAACATGGGTCAGTGGAAAGCTGGATCTACAGGCATCACCAATCAGCAGACTGGCAGCAACTGCAGAGTACAATGCCTTTGTAAGCACCATCAATCAGCTGATTGTTGGCACTTGCAAAGCCTTGTTCCTTTGCCCAGGCAGTTTGAACCACGTAGGCAAAGGAAAATGGATTACTTGACAACATTGGGACATCAGGTGATTTTCAAGTGGGAAGCCCCACTCATCTACCAAACATGGCTCATGGGGGAATTAAGGAACCAGCATACTGGATTATTCAAATTCCCCATCCCTGCATTAAACTATGTGTGACAATGTTTTCGATTTGTGGCAGTCATCTGACAAAATAAGTTAATTAAAGAAGCAAAATACATTGTTTGAAGCGTGGCAGATGAGCATAAAATAGTTATATGATCTAAGGATGCATATACAGTGGTACCTTGAGTTACAAACACTTCAGGTTACAAACTCCGCTAACCCGGAAGAGTTACCTCGAGTTGAGAACTTTGCTCCAGGGTGAGAATGGAAATCGTGTGCTGGCAGCGCAGCGGCAGCAAGAGGCCCCATTAGTGAAAGCATGCCTCTAGTTAAGAACAGTTTCAGGTTAAGAAAGGACCTCCAGAACGAATTAAGTTCGTAACTAGAGGTACCACTGTACTGTACACTATACATTTAAAGCGCATTGCCTCCCCCACAAAGAATCCTGGGAGCTGTAATTTGTTAAGGGTGCTGGGATTTGTAGCTCTACGTGGGGTAAACTGTAGTTCCCAGGATTCCTTAGGAGAAGCAATGTACTTTAAATACAATGTATGTACACAGTATTAATTAACAATGTTTTGCATTTTAAAAGCTGAGCAGATTAACTCTTGACTAATGATGTTTTTTGTGAAAATTTTCCATTTTGTAACCTATTACCTATATTTTTAGAGGCTGGATTAGTACTAAATAAACTAACCATTTGTTAAGTCGAGTCTACTCTCCATTATGTTTGAAAGAAAGTACCAAATTACTGGCAGCTGACAATTCTGGAATAAATTGGTCCAAAAATCACCACGCACGCTGCCCAAACTTCGTTCACAACCTGCAGGAAGACATCAACCACCAATTTGTGCTTGTGTTTCCCAGACACATTTGTTTGGCTGTTGATGAAGACAGATGACTCAGCCAGATAATTCTCAACTTTACAACGGAGCATTATATAATTTGTGGAATCTAACACTAGCACTTTTGCATTGCTACATCTCTTATCAGGAAAGTATTCTGGAATGATACAACATGGCATTCAAAACTGTAAGAATGAAAAGCAGAAATATCCATCTACCAATGATACACTTTAATAGGATTTGAACTTTGCAATAGCCCAATCCTTCAAAGAGAAGTTTGAGGAGAAACTTCTGCTGGACACTTCAAGCAAACAGGCACTGAGTTTTCCAAGAAGGTGAAAGTACAATGTGCACTGGCAGCAGATTATATTCTGGAGGAACTGTTCATGTTAAGCATGAATATGAGCAGGCCTAAAAACTATTCACTAGTAACTGAAATGTTCCTGCTCCTTTTCACACTATGCCGCTGACTTTGGCAGGGAAAGGATCACTCATAAAAGTTGTTATTTATATTTTTTAAGGCAATAGTCCAGATTCCTTGACTATCCTAGGTCCATAGTACAAATTGTAATTGTGGAGTCCTCCTTTCCCTTAATATGGCTCAAATGCACATTATGACTCCCAACTTTATTACTTTTTTGCTTGCAATTGTGTCTGCCGTGAGTGATACATCCCACTTTAATGGTTACAATAGCTGCCTGTTATCTGATCACAATTGCTACCCATCATTCCTCCTTGACAGCTGTTTCACATTCATCTTAATGCCAACAAGTAAAAAAAAGAATTAAACTTTGCTTCTCAGCTTATCTGCTGCTTCATGCGGAGCTGCCTGCCTCAGTTTAGCCTGATCAACACTGATAATCTCATGAATACAGTTTGTGATCCAGCACTTTGCTTTCTTAAAAGGTAAAGGGTAAAGGGACCCTTGACCATTAGGTCCAGTTGCGGACGACTCTGGGGTTGCGGCGCTCATCTCGCTTTATTGGCCAAGGGAGCCGGCATACAGCTTCCGGGTCATGTGGCCAGCATGACTAAGCTGCTTCTGGCGAACCAGAGCAGCGCACGGAAACACCATTTACCTTCCCGCTGGAGCAGTACCTATTTATCTACTTGCACTTTGATGTGCTTTCGAACTGCTAGGTTGGCAGGAGCAGGGACCGAGCAACGGGCGCTCACCCCATCGCGGGGATTCGAACCGCCAACCTTCTGATCGGCAAGCCCTAGGCTCTGTGGTTTAACCCATAGCGCAACCCATGTCCCTTGCTTTCTTAAAACAATAAAACAAAAATTACTGAGAAGATTAATAGACAGAAAGTAAATGTTGCTGGGGGACGGACAGACTTCCAGATACCCCCCCCCCAAAAAATAATCCTGCAAAACAATACTGATCTGAGCAAAGCAGAGACCTGTTAAACGTTATACAGCTAGACTAATTATAGCGAAAACGGTACAGCCCACTAAATCTGAAACTTGTCAATTTGACACTGAGTGGAGTAACTAGCTATTAGACGTCCCCCAAAATAATAAATCTTCTGTCTTTTCATCACTCGTTTAAATAATAGGTGGTTGGAGAGTGGTTTCTTTCTTTCTTTCTTTTTCTCTGCAATACACTGCAGGATTTATACATATATTCTTCTTTTAATTCATTTACTGGCAGGTGATCTTAGTACAGGGAAGAGGAGCTGTGTGACCGTTCCAGTCCTACCAACCAGATGTCAAATGAGATGCAGGTACTCAACATGATGGGGAGCAGGAGTGAGATTGTGCAAATCTTGTGTTTGCAGGATTGGGCATGCACCCAGAGCGCCTGCATCCCATGTGACGTTATATGCCTGGTAGGGGGAAGCAAGGGCACCTGCTACTTTCCCATGCAAACTCTTGTCGGCCCCAGTATGAGTATGTAGTGAGCCTCAGTCACATGGACATGAAGAAAAGCAAAACATCAGCAAGGATGCTAAAGAACAGGTCCAAAATATATGATATTTCTATATAAACAGAGAACCCGAAATGGGATGCTTACAAGCACGTTGTGCAGGATGTCATTTAGGGATTGAACTGGGTACTTTCTTCAACTTCTACCCGTCAGGAAAAATGTGTTGAAACATTAGTCATAAGTACTAATTGCGGTTTTATGTGCCGCACGCTAGAAGATTAGCAGTGGCACTCCATAACCTGCTTTGTTCCCATGTCATACTCTTCAGATAGCCCGTTCAGTCCAAATAAGGATCAAAAGGAGCTGCTGTGATTGGAAAAGTTGTATGACTGAAGCTCAGCACAGTAAGAATCACTTTCAGTAACCTTTTATAAGATAAAGAAAGATAGCAATTAAAATACTGCTACAGTTATTACAGTGGTATCTCTGGTTACGAACTTAATTCGTTCTGGAGGTCGGTTCTTAAGCTGAAACCATTCTTATCCTGAGGCGTGCTTTCGCTAATGGGGCCTCCTGCTGTGTGCACCTCTGATGCGCGATTTCCGTTCGCATCCTGGGACAAAGTTTACAACCAGGAGCAGCTACTTCCGGGTTAGCGGAGCTCGTAACCTGAAGCGTTCGTAACCAGGAGCGTTTGTAACCAGAGGTACCACAGTATTAAAGGTAAAGGTAAAGGGACCCCTGACCATTGCGGACGACTCTGGGGTTGCAGCGCTCATCTCGCTTTACTCACTGAGGGAGCCGGCGTACAGCTTCCGGGTCATGTGGCCAGCATGACTAAGCTGCTTCTGGTGAACCAGAGCAGTGCACGGAAACACCGTTTACCTTCCTGTCGGAGTGGTACCTATTTATCTACTGTATTTTTCTCTCTATAAGACACAGTTTTTCACTCCTAAAAATTAAGGGGAAATGTGTGTGCATCTGGCTTCTAGGATTCAGAATATTTTTTTTCTTGTTTTCCTCCTCCAAAAACTAGGTGTGTCTTATGGTCTGGTTGGCAGGAGCTGGGACCGAACAACAGAAGCTCACCCCGTCTCAGGGATTTGAACCACTGTATTAGCCTTCTGCATTTGATCAAGAGAGCTCCATTCCCTGAAAACTTGTTAAGGGTCACACAACTTTGTTGTTGTAGCTGCAGAAAGGTGACCTAGCCCCACTTTTAGAAGTTGCTGAAGTTGCCGAACAAACACAGAGTGAGTGGTCCACTATAGATGTTCACACAAAAGTCATATTGCTGGTCCCACCTAGAGAGCAAGTGAGTTAAGCACTGATGTCTGCAGCATGGAAATCTATGCATGCAGACCTCTGTGTGAGTAGCTTTCCTCCTGTTTTGGAATTATAGAATCATAAATTACACCCTGCAATGCAGGAATCACAACGGCAACATCCCTGACCACCCAAACTCTGCTTAAAAACCTCTAATGAAGGAGAGTCCAACACCTTTGGGGGATTCCGCTCCACTGTTGAATACCTCTTATTGTCACAAAGTTCTTCCTAACGTTTAGGCAGAATCTCCTTTCTTGTATCTTGAATCCATTGCTACAGGTCCTGCCCTATGGAGAAAACTAGCTTCTTCCATCTTCATGACCTTTAAAGCCCTTTATGGGCTGGGACCCTCGTACCTATGGGACCGCCTCTCCCGGTATGCCCCACAGAGGAACTTACGGTCTTCAAACAAAAACATCCTGAAGGTCCCAGGCCACAGGGAGGTTAGGCTGGCCTCAACTAGAGCCAGGGCTTTTTCGGCTGTGGCTCTGATCTGGTGGAATGCTCTGTCACAAGAGAATAGGGCCCTGCGGGACTTGACATCTTTCCGCAGGGCCTGCAAGACAGAGCTGTTCCACCAGGCCTTTGGCCAAGGCATAGTCTGACCCCCTCTCTCCTTCTGTAATCTTCACAGAACTCTAGCCCAATGCTTGCCATTAATTTGATTTGAATTAATTTTATAATGAAATGATTTTAGAATGTTGTATTATTTTATTGTTGTTAGCCGCCCTGAGCCCGGCTTCAGCTGGGGAGGGCGGGATATAAATAAAATTTATTATTATTATTATTATTATTAGTCTGCCTTGGTTTTCCTATCCACAATTTCAACAACCCACAGTTCTCTGTCATCAAGAACTGTGGCTTGTTTAACATCAGAAATGAAGGTTTCCAATTTCTTCCTTGTGGATGTGAAAGGAGAGGAGAGGATGCATATGAGTCTCAGGGTTTCCATGTCTCATTCATGTAGCAGAAAATCATGGTTTCTCATTACATCTGAACTGGATCAGTGCTTGGTAAACATTATAGTCTGTAAACAAGTGAAATCATTCCCCCCTGAATTTTAAAATCCATAAAAATCCAGAACCTCAAGCTTCCTTCACTGTCTGAAGGAACTCGCTATAACCAACACCCTGCACTGTTATCTGATGCCAGTCTGAGGGTGTCCTAATATCAATGACAGGAAAAGGAGAGGGCATTGCTTCAAGATAGAAATCCTAAAATAGGTGGAGGGTTAAAGCAAGAACTGGGAGCACTTGTGCCCTCCAGGTGTTGTGGATTATAACTCCCCTTATTCTTGGCCATTGGCCATGGTGGTTGGGGTTGATGGGAAATGGAGTCCCAACATCTGGAGGGCCACATTTATGTGCCTTTCTTCATTTATGTGCCAAATACAGGACACATTTCTTTAGGCTTTTGGACCTGGACACCATTTAAGAATGATCTAATTGCTTATCTTATTCAGAAACTAGTCAATTAGCAAATGAAATTTGCAGTTTCTAGCCCTGATTGTTTGCTACTCAGTTGCAGCTGTCATGAAAAGTTGTTTTCACACTGACACCACTAAATCAACAATTCCAGAAGGAACCCCAGATATTCCTGGTTGGGTAAATGAGAGCTTTAAAATCATCCTGGTTCATATCACATTGTTAGCATGTCAAGATATTTAAAATGATAATTTTTGCCAGTATATTTGCTCCTTCGATAATTCGGAATATAAACAGTAGTGCATAGACATAAACAAAGCATTTAGAGGTAACTGACTTGATGAAAGCATCCCAAATCCAGTATGTCACTTGCTGCAGAACATAAGCCGTCATCTGTTTCAGCGATGCCTGATAAATCATTCATCACATTTCTACAGGAGACTTATTTACTTCCCTGATGTACACAATGTAACACCTCTTGGTGCTTCACTCATTCTTCAATGACAGTCACCGAGTCATTACGTATATTGGAAAAAAGACCATGAATCCAGCGGCAAAGAGGAAAGCATCCCATATATTTTATTTTATGGATGCTCAGTTTAAGACAATATACTGAGGGAATGAGAATGAAAGGGGAGAACCCAAAGCTTTAATTCAGTTCTGAGTAAATGTTGAGGAACACTTAAAAGAAGTCTCATGAGAGGGAAGCAAGCGTGTTTTATGTTAACTGAACATAAAACAAAAAGCTTTCCGAACAAAGATTTGTTTATTTTTAAGTACAGTGGTACCTTGGGTTAAGTACTAAATTCGTTCCAGAGGTCCGTTCTTAACCTGAAACTGTTCTCAACCTGAAGCACCACTTTAGCTAATGGGGCCTCCTGCTGCCACTGTGCCGCTGGAACACGATTTCTGTTCTCATCCTGAAGCAAAGTTCTTAACCTGAAGCATTATTTCTGGGTTAGTGGAGCCTGTAACCTGAAGCGTATGTAACCTTAAGCGTATGTAACCTGAGGTACCACTGTAGGCAGGACAGAGTCTCAAACAAAGATCATAGAACTGTAGAGTTGAAAGGAACCCCAAGGGTCATCTAGTCCAACCGCCTGCAATGCAGGAATCTCGGCTAAAGAATCCATGGCAGATGGCCATCCAACTTCTGCTTAAAAACCTCCAAGGAAGGAGAGGCTACAACCTCTTGAGGTCGACTGTTTCACTGTCGAACAGCCCTTGCTGCCGGAAAGTTTTTCCATATGTTTAGTGAGAATCTCCTTTCTTGTAACATGGAAGCCAATGGTTCGAGTCTTACCCTCCAGAGCATGCCTCTTCCATGTGGCAGCCTGTCAGATATTTGAAGATGGCTCTCATATCTCCTCTCAGTTCCCTCTTTTCCAGGCTAAACATGCCCAGCTTCATCAACGGCTCCTCATAAGGACGTGCTCTCCCAAGCCCACATTCCTAGCATGTTCACATTCCTGTCTCAGGGATGTCTATACTGGCTTGGCCATGTGCACAGAATGGAAGGTGACAGGATCCCCGAAGGTGGCAGGCTCCTCAAGGACATGCTCTGCAGGGAGCTGGCTTCAGGCACTAGGTCTGTAGGCAGAGCAACTATGTGTTACAAAGATGTCTGTCTGTAAAAGGGACATGAAGGCTGTATGGGAATCCCTTGAAGGTGACCGCAGTACCTGGAGACAGAAAGTCAGGTTGCGTATCCATAGCAGTGAACAGAGGACGAATGACTGCTGAGGTGAGCACATAGAGAAGAACCACCAGGGTGCACCTGTAGCAGCAAAACTGGACACCTTCATCTGCCCCACCTGCAATAAAACATATCTCTCCCGTATTGGTCTCCACAGCCACAGCAGGCGTTGCAATTCTGCAACAGTTTGACTTTACCCACAAAGGCACACTCTTACATTGTTTCCCGAGGCAGGTGGATGCCAACAAGTACAAATTCAATTCAATCGTGAATTAGATGGTTAAGTACAAAGGTACAGATACCTTTTAAAAATAGCAATGCTTACAAATAGGGATATCGTATCACTCCTTTCCTTCTACCATAATCCTACAACATTTAAGTGAAGCCTTTCCTGCGGTCCTTGAAAGCAAACAATGAAAAAGCCAAGTATGTTTCACCTGGAAAAGAGGAGAGTGAGAGAGGATAGCCATCTTCAAATAACTAAAGGGCATGGAAGATGCAAGCTTGTTTTCTCCTGCTCTGAAGGGTAGGAGCTGAACCAATGACTTCAAGTTATAAGAAAGGAGATTCTGACGAAACATCAGGAAGAACTTTCTGATAGTAAGAGCAGTTGGACAGTAGAACAGGCTCCATCAGGAGGTTGTGGACTCTCTTCCTTGGGAGGTTTTTAAGCACAGGTTGGATGGCCATATGTCTTGCAGGCTTTAGTTGAGATTCTTGCATTGCAGGGAGTTGGACTTGATGAGCCTCAGGATCCCTTGCAACTCTATGACTCATGCATTTGCAAGCTGAGAATAATAATCACACAAGCATACTAGCTCCTCCGTCTCGTCACTGCCACTGTTCTCATTGCCTGCCCTGTACAAGTTGGAGGGTGACTGTGTGAAGTGGGGAAGCCTTCTCTACTTGTGGAGGCTTCCTGCATGCTTTATAACCCACTTGGCCTCTAACTTGTGGAGGTCAATGAAAGCAGTGGGTGGAGCTAGCATGCCCCTTCTTTGTGGGCCATCCTTGTGTTACATGATTATTAGACACAACAATAGAATGCCTAAAGAGGGCCATTGTTTGTGGGGAAATCGCTTCAATTGATTATGGTCCAGAAGACAAATACAACCCCCCCCCCCCAGTTTCAATTGTTGTTTAAATAATTATTTAAAAACCATTCTCAAGACAGTGGATTTCCAAGCCGCAATCTCACCCACTCTAATAATTCTAGGCTACTAGCTGACATACAGAGACATCATATATCTCCCTGTGCACATGCCGTTATTTCCAAAGAGGCCAAAGATTTAGTTTCTTACACATCATCTCTCTCAAAAACACGAGAAACTTCAGTGCCCTAGCGTGAGTTATAGAGATAAATAAAACATAGTTCAATTGTTCCTCCTCTGCTCTCTGTGCTCTGGTGCCCTTCTCTATCCACTCTCTGAGAACACTCCTTTCCTTTGCAAGAAAAGCGGGGAAGATGCAAGTGAAATTGTTAGACTGCTTTTCCTGCTGCAGACAAACCCCCCAGCAGGATTCAAAAGGAGACTTCACTTTCACATAGTACAGATGAGAACGAAGCAATATCTTTGCTTTTTTCAAAGCACAGCCAGATATTATTCTGAACTCTTATGAATGAATGAAAACACTTCTCGCTGCATTCGTGACACAGCAGCACATCCAATCACCCTTGATGTATAGAACAAAAAAAGGCAGTTCAAACATGGATCTGTTCAAGCAGGCGTTTGCTGGCCCAAGACATTTTGGCACGGAGGCTAACCACAAAATGGTATCCCAAACCCCGCCAGGGAAGAAAGGGCAAGTAAAGATATTCGCATCAGGAACAAGGGGGGTGGGGGGGAGACCAGCAGTGCCTCCTATTCACCAAGAGGCCAGTCTAGAGGTCACTGTGGGGGCTGCCCAGGAGATGGCAGATCTGGCCTCCAAGGAGCATGCCTCAGCCATTGCTGCCACTGCAGTAGTGGTTGATATATTCCTTGGAGGCCAGATCTGCTGCCCCTGTGGATCCTGCTGCCTGAAGCAGTCGCCCCACCTTGCCTCATGCATGGGCTGGCCTTGCCTTCAAGGAACATAGCAAGCTTATCATTTCTAATTAAACTTGGGGGTGGGGAATCAACTACTACTGTCTTACACTGGGCACATGGAGTCTTTTTCAGATGAATGGTCACACTGTTTTCCAGCAAACCTTTCCGGGGTAGAATATGGTATTGGTGAGTGGGGCCGGATGCAAAAGTAAGAAGAGTAATGAATGTAGGTTGTAAAAGTAGATTGTGCAGAGGCTAGTTTCTACACAGACTCATGAACCCCTCTCTAACTTCTCTCCAGGCAAGGTGTGACTCAAGAAAAGTGTGCCAGTGCCTGGTGCATACCCTCCAACATTTCTCTGATGAAAATAGAGACGTCTTATTCAACAACAACAGCAATTTTATTTATACCCTGTCTATCTGAGTGAGTTGCCCCAACCACTCTAGACAGCTTCCAACAAATATAAAAACATAATAACACATTAAACATTAAAAAAATCCCTATACAGTGGTACCTTGGGTTACATACGCTTCAGGTTACAGACTCTGCTAACCCAGAAATATTACCTCGGGTTAAGAACTTTGCTTCAGGATGAGAACAGAAATCGCGTGGCGGCAGTGCGGCAGCAGCGGGAGGCCCCATTAGCTAAAGTGGTACCTCAAGTTAAGAACAGTTTCAGGTTAAGAACGGACCTCCGGAATGAATTAAGTATGTAACCAGAGGTACAACTGTATAGGACTGCCTTCAGATGGCTTCTAAGGATTGTATAGTTACTTATCTCCTTGGCTCAGGAGTCACATAACTCCATACCGTCCAACATTTCTCCAATGAAAATAGGGGCGTCCTAAGGAAAAGCTGGACATTCCAGGATCAAATCAGAAACAGAGATAGCTTCTGTAAATCTGGGACTGTCCTTGGAAAATAGAGACACTTGGGGGATCTGCATGGTGTGGCTTGGGGAGAGGTGGGTGGCTGGGGAGGGGTTGGCCCAGGCGGAGGCCAAAGAGTCTCTCAGAAAGGCCTGGAAATGCCACCTCCCCCCCCCAGGCCCGAGGTTCCCCACCCCAGCTTTCAATGAATGCATTTCAGCTTATTCCTCCCCAAGACTTCATACTTTAGGATATATATTGATGGTTCCAATTTTTTAAAACAAAATGCTGTTTCCTTTTAAAATCACATTCCATTTTAATACGTAACAACCACAGATAATTACACTAAAATGAAACAACAGAATTTTACTTCTGTGAATTATGAAACATGATTAAGAAACAATATCTGCATTAACAGGTTCCTTCATATGTTCCAGAAATGTACAGGTTTTTTGTTTTTTTGTTTGTATTCTGTGTGGAGTAACAGAATATTGAATCCCGCTGAAGCAAAAAGAGAATGCTAGTAGCTATCTGAAGGACAAAGTTTCATATCTCTGAGTTAGCAGCTGAGAAAGTTTATGCAGAAGGTTGACATTTGAGAAGGGAGTTTGTGCCTAATTCAATTTAATGAGAGGTACTGTGGAGCTACACTATAATTTATGGAAATCAAGAAGATAGAATGGAATAAGGGTTGTCCTAAGAGACTGTAATGTTCTAAAGTAAGTTAAAACCATTATAAACAAGACATCCATTGCAACTTTACCATGCAGGCTGACTGCAAACTAAGTTGAGGACAGATCTCAGAAGTCAGGCCATTTCTACCATGGTCTGCTTAGTGACAATCTGTTTAAAAAAACGCGCATTTGTTGCATAGTTATTGTGTGAGAAATCAAAATCCTGGTATTTATTTCCCCAGCTGATAAGAAAAATCCTTTTATTTATTTTTGTCTCTGAATGTATCATCTCATACATTTTGCTTTGAAATTTCATTCAGTTTCTATACTTGATCCACCAACCCTTAGTCTGGTTTAAGTTGCATCTGTACCAGCTGTATTTCATATACCCCAGAGCAACTAATGCAATTCACACCACATCCTGGCTTCAGCTGCTGCTTAAAGCTCCAATGGCACTAGGAATACCACAGATAGGTATGTTTGCCATTTGGAGCGTTCCACATCATGGAAAGCATTGTCTGTCATAGGGCAAAGAACAGAAAACTCAAGTGAGCTTTCCTCTCCCACAAAGAACAGGACACATGTGGACACATCAGAGTATAGAACCAGTGAACTGTCCCAATATATAGGTGGTCTGATACTGTAGAATAATTGTATGATGTCTGAAAACAGCCAGCGGCAGATACGCAGGAGGAAGAAGAGTTTGGATTCGATACCCCGCTTTATCACTACCCTAAGGAGTCTCAAAGCGGCTAACAATCTCCTTTCCCTTCCTCCCCCACAACAAAAACTCTGTGAGGTGAGTGAGACTGAGAGACTTCAGAGAAGTGTGACTAGCCCAAGGTCACCCAGCAGCTGCATGTGGAGGAGCGGGGAATTGAACCCGGTTCACCAGATTATGAGTCCACCACTCTTAACCACTACACCACACTGACTACCCACTTCTGCGCTCACAGCGACTTGCGCTCCCCGGTGGCAGTGCTGCAATGGAAAGTCTTGCCCTCCCTTTCACATTTACGAAAGAGCTTGGCAGGAAATCCCAATATGCTTATCTGTCCTCACGCCCTGGGCGAGTCAATGCATTTAGCACTGCACCCTAATCAATAAAATTAATAAAGTATTTTTTAATCAACTAAAAAGGTGCCCTTGATTTTCAGGCAGCCCGTTTAAAATACGCTTTCTAATAAAAGAATGTATAAAAAACTGAAGACGGCACACACTTAGAATGATATTTGTCTTTCACTTGCTCCCACGGGAGGAATTGCTTCTTCTAAGATGGTTTATGCAACACATATAGATATAACGTAAGAAAAGCAAAGTAATCATATGGTTTTCTTCAGAGCAAACACAGTCACTTAAGATTTCTTCATTCAGGTGACTGCTTTTTGTACTGCTGCTTTATTTTATTTTAAAAATATTACCATTTAAATTTAAATATTACCATTTAATTTTTTTTACTGTAGTTTTATATTTTAAGTTGTTTTTTTCTCAGTTCTGTAACCTAACATGTTTTGAAGGAAGAAGGTTCAAGTTAGCTATAACATCAATATGTTAATGTTCACTAGCTTGGTAACTTGGTACAGATAAGATACACCCGCCCACACCCAGATATTACTGGACTCTAGCTCACATCACTCCAGCCAGCATTCCTAATGGTCAAGGATTTTGTCAGTGAGCTGTGGCTGTGTTTAGGCCCTGGGTGATAGCCAGGAGGCTGTGAGGGAATGTGCATAAGAAAGAGAAACCACAGAGCCTAGGACTTGCCAATCAGAAGGTCGGTGGTTCGAATCCCCGTGACGGGGTGAGCTCCCGTTGCTCGGTCCCTGCTCCTGCCAACCTAGCAACGTGTCATGTCAAAGTGCAAGTAGATAAATAGGTACCGCTCTGGCAAGAAGGTAAATGGCATTTCCATGCACTGCTCTGGTTCGCTGGAAGTGGCTTAGTCATGCTGGCCACATGACCCGGAAGCTGCACGCCGGCTCCCTTGGCCAATAAAGCGAGATGAGCACCACAACCCCAGAATCGGTCACAACTGGACCTAATGGTCAGGGGTCCCTTTACCCTTTACCTTTAACATTCTATATATAACTGTGCATTTCAGCAACACTGGTTGTTTCTGCTTTAGTTTTCTACAAACAGCTTAGAGATTTGTAAATATTACATATATAGATATGTATGTGCACATTTGTACCAAAAGGCCCCCAGAGTGGTTTACATACACTCAAGTAAAACAAGCCATCTATGCTGAACACTATAGAAATATTCTCATTCATTAATAATGGTAATAATAATATTAGGAGGAGGAGACCAGCAATACAGGGAGGGCACTAAGTTTCCATTTCTTATTAAGACAGGGAAACAGATCCATTCTCCTGTGCACGTAAATGCTTTTAAAGAGACAGACAGGCAGACAACCAAAGCTAAAATTCTCTTCCAACTAATGTGGCATTTCTTTCCCAATTGCTATGCAAATTTACATCAAATTTTACTCTGGAAGTAACATCCTTCTAAATTCTGCGCTAAGGTAAAAATTGATGTAAACATGACTACATCTGCTCTTGCATTCCTAATCAGCTAGTGACAGTAAGCAGTCAGTATATTTCCTGCTTCAATCTGGCTTTATAAATCAGCGCTAATTTCCGTAATTTGTAAAAAGTGTTTGAATTACAGAAGCTTCATGCCAGCATTTTCTCATTGTCTGTTGTTTTGTTTTGTAACTGTAAATCCTTCCACATCAAGAGTATCTTAATGAATGTGTAATCTAGGATCTCTGAACGCTCTGAACCATTCAGAATTGTTTCTAGCAATTAACCAAAGTTCTTTTACAATGCATTGCATATTCTCTCTCCTCAGTGACGGTACCGTCGCTCCACTAGAGCACCTATTGATGTTCACACAAGGAGGGCTTCACACAATTAAGGGGCGATTAGATCACATTGCTGGTCCCAGCCAAAGAGCAAGCGAGTTAAGCACTGAAGTCTGCAGCATGGAAATCTATGCATGCAGACCTCTGTTTGGGTAGGTTTCCACATGTGTTGGAATCAAAGAATTGCAGAGTTGGAAGAAATTGCGGGGTCATCTAGTCCGACCCCCTGCAATACAGGAATCTCAACGAAAGCATCCATGACAAATGGCCATCCAAGGAAGGAGAGTCCGCCACCTTCCAAGGGAGTCTGCTCTACTGTCAAACGACTCTTATTGACAGTTTAGTTGGAGTCTCCTTTCTTGTAACTTGAATCCATTGGTTCGGGTCCTACCCTCTGAAGCAGGAGAAAACAAGCTTCCTCCATCTTCCATGTGACTGCCCTTTAGATATTTGAAGATGGCTATCATATCTCCCCTCAGTCTCCTCTTTTCCAGGCTAAACATACCCAGCTCCTTCAACCGTTCCTCATAAGGCTTGGCTTCCAGACCCTTGATCATGTTGGTCGCTCTCCTCTGCACACATCCCAGCTTCTCAATAGCCTTCTTAAATTGTGGCGCCCAGAAGTGAACACAAAGAAGAATAGAGTGGTGGTACTATTACTTCCTCTGATCAGAACACTATACTTCTGTTGATGCAGCATGGAACAGCATTAGCTTTCTTTTGCTGCTGCCTCACACTGTTGACTCATGTCGAGCTTGAAACCCATAACCAGAAACCTGGAACCCATAACCAGAATGTGTGGAAGCCTTTGGATGTTGAGGTCTACATGTGTAGGCTGCCTTGCTGCAGGTATCTGATCTTAACATGAAGATGTTGAGGTCAGGGCTAGAAGAAAGTTCCATTTTACCTTGAGCCCATGTAATTTCTTCTGTATGTGCAGAACTTACATTACAGACTCCTTTGGCTATAAAGACTGATACGGGAGAGACATGTTTTGTTGCAGCTGGGGCAGATGAAGGTATCTGGTCATGCTGATGCAGGTGTACCATGTATATTCACACACTTGCAGAACTTATGCTGAACATGACTTACATGCGGCATGGTCAGCGGGTGGTGGTTAATATTGCACCTCTCCAAAAAAACCTGAGCTGCTGGTAGAACAATCTGCTCACTTTGTAAAAGTGTGTGTTTCTATGTAGATTGCAATTGTTGTCCACTATAAAGGCAGCCCCCAGCAAATGGCAAAGGAGGAAGCCACATTTTATGAAGTAGCCATTTTGAATCGCCCAAAATTCAAAAAGCAGATTAGAACAGGGCTTTCTGGAGGTACCAAAATGGCAACTGCTACTATTCTCTTCCAGCCAAGGAATTTTAAATCGCCTCCAAAAAAACTAGCTGAAACAATACAGCCCATTCAAAGGTGTATGAAACAAGTGTCGATTTGGTCCAGTCATAATGTCTGCTGACATGTGAATATGAAAAAGGCATTAAGGCAAGTTCTTCAGTACCTCAGCCTTAAATTCACTGTTCTGTTCCCCATCAACAGAGAATAATAGATTTATTTTGAGGATAAATGGCCTAAAGAATGCACATTAAAAGTATCAAATATTTCAAAAATGGATCAAAGACAGGTGCAGAAAACTTTTTTTATTGCATTTTGGGCATGGATCTTAATCGGGGACATATTCATTTCAAGCAGAGACACAGAACATCCATTTATTGGAGGAGGATTGCTTCTGCCATCTTGCAAAACATGTATAGCCTGTTAATGCATTTTACCAGATTGTCAATTAGTAGTCAGGTGTTGTTGATTTTAAATCACTTTAAGAAAATAGAAACATTTATTTTTACTCCAGTGGCTGTTTCATGAAGCATTTTTCTGTTCTAACCAACTTCTGCAATGATTTCCCCCTTTCTCTTTATTGGAATGAGGAAACACTTTGTTTACGTTTCTGCTTTTAACAGTTCAGACTGCTAAAACCAGTTAGAGAAGTGTTGCTGAATATTTGCTAAACGAAGAACACTGTTTACAAACAAGTAATCTGAAAATGTGCCAGACTGTATCAAACGGTTGATTTGATGGTGACAATTAATGCATTTGTTTCCACTATTGATAAGAAACCCCTAATTCATGGTATTAAGAAGTGCAAGCTCTAGTATGGAATGAATCTGAAATACTGCAGGGCTCCCAGAGATGGTCTTTCCCATTCACTTCATTGCACAGGAATGCCCCATGCATGCCAACAGAAGAATCCACTGAGGAGAACATTTACTTCCTGTTGACATATAAAAATGGCATCTGGGGCCAGGTCTGGTGTCAACATTCAGCACATTCAAACAGCTGCTGGCTCTCTGTATCTTAGCAGAACCTGGCAGCACTGATGCTTCCCTTGTGCCAGCTGCAAGAGGCAGATTTCCCACAATGCACTGGAGCTATGCTACATTGGGCACTGCAGAAAATGTAAAATGACAGCTTGTAGCTACCCACAGCCACCAGCTAAGCCCATGGTCAGGGAACCCATTGACATAGGAGGTACAGGAAGAGGACAACAACAATGACATTTAACCAACAGAACCCTCACACCTAGAGCCTGCCATTGTTACCATATTTTTCACTCTATAAGACGCACCAGACCACAAGACGCACCTAGATTTTGGAGGAGGAAAATAAGAAAAAAAATATTCTGAATCTCAGAAGCCAGAACAGCAAGAGGGATCGCTGTGCAGGGAAAGCAGCAATCCCTCCTGCTGTTCTGGCTTCTGGGATAGATGCGCAGCCTACATTCGCTCCATAAGACGCACACACATTTCCCCTTACTTTTTAGGAGGGAAAAAGTGAGTCTTATAGAGCAAAAAATACGGTAATTATTATTTTTAATAGGTCGAGAGGTTGGTACACTTGTACCAGGCCCATCTCTTCTTCACCAGAAAAAACATCTGGCACAAGTCAATTCAATAGCAATATCTACATCTGCAGTGCAGTACTGGATCTACATATTGCCATGGGGTGGAGGAAGTCTGCACTGCCACCCACCTCTCTTGCAGACTTCTCTCAGTGCCAGTTGTGCTGGCAGAGGGTGAGGGAGAACACATGTGCCCTATGCAGGCTTCCTTCTTGTGACAAGAGACATGAAGGGAAGAAAGTCCTTTCTCTACTTCATGTCCCATACAGTTCAGGCTTTCTTAGTGCAGGGCTAGGATGGTGACAAAGGGAAGAAAGAGTTTATTTCCTTTATGTTCTCCATTCTATCACCAGCACCACTGACAGAAGGAAGCAGGCAGGTGTCCTGTCCACCCGCTACTACAGCTTCTCATCTTCCATGCTACTCAACCGTCCCAATTTAAGCTGAACATCCTGGAATTACAGAAGCCATCCTGGCTTCTGATTAGATCCCAGAATGGTCCAGTGCTCTGGCATGAGTTAGCTGGCTTGTGCCAGGGCGCTGGACCAAAAGGTGCTCGTTTTTTGGTCTCATGCTCTGGCATGAGTCAGTTGGCTCCTGAGAGAGCTTGGGATCAAAAAAACCTGAGGATCCCAATTTGGATCAGCCGGATGTTGGAGGGTATGATGGCGAGCGGGAAGGTGGGACTTTCTACAGGAGCCCACCTCTTCTGATAACAGAAGTTCCACTTATTAGAAGTGGTGGGTAGTTGCAATGCAGCATAGACATGTTCATTTCCCATTCACTGGGTGGAATGTAAAACCAGTTCCTGGGCACAATGAAATACAGTGGTAGCTCGGGTTACATACGCTTCAGGTTACATACGCTTCAGGTTAAAAACTCCTCTAACCCCGAAATAGTGCTTCAGGTTAAGAACTTTGCTTCAGAATGATAACAGAAATCATGCTCCAGCGGCACGGCAGCAGCAGGAGGCCCCATTAGCTAAAGTGGTGCTTCAGGTTAAGAACAGTTTCAGGTTAAGTACGGACCTCCGGAACAAATTAAGTACTTAACCCAAGGTACCACTGTATAGTGTTCGTCTTAGGAATAAAACAGAAATGAAGGAGTTGAACTACCTTAGTATGAAAGCACACAAATACAGCCACCCACTTTGCTGACATTAATGCTACCAGGATGATCACCTTGAGAGTAAGAATTTCAAGGGATGCTTGCCTTTGGTTTTGAAACACTGGCAAAGTAAATTCCTTCACACAAAGTTGGGAAGCCAGATGGTAGTTTTCTTATGTGTGGGTGTGATGACATATCCGTACTGGTTTGTATATGCAGAATACTGAAAAATAAAGCTGCCTTTCACCCCCAAGAGTGTCGGGCTTGAAATCTGCAGAGAACAAAAGACTAAAGTTCCTGTATAAAGAAAAGGTCCTGGTGCCAGTGAGAGAATATCTGGAAAGATGGTTGTACTGGAAAGAATCTCAGTCATGAAAGTGTTTTTAAGGTATCTATCATTCCCAAAGTTTGCCAGTACAGTTAGTCAAGAAGATAGGGAACATCTCACCCTGCCAGTTCTGCTAAGGTTTGTTATCTCTCTGGAAAGAGATACACCCAATTCAAGGCTTTATATGTCTAGAATGTGAAGGAGATTTTGGCCAGAGTAAATAAAACTCTTGCTTCAATTCACCAGGGAACTGTGGTGCTGGTAAGAGTGCCAGGTGAAGTCTCCAAGTCCAGGGGACCCTGAAGTTTAAGTAGAAAATGATAGAGACTTTTGTTTAAATAAGGATGAACATGAATTTCTTCTCTGAGGTGAGCTACCAGGGCAATCTTCAACTTCCCCTTCAGACTGCAACTGCTGGTGGTCTACTGTCACTTTGTGACGGGGAGTACTGCTTGGGAAACATGGGGACATAAAGTGTCTAGATAAATTCTGTCTTTCTGTTCAGAGGAGAAGAAGATATTGACCCCCTTTCCCTCTAGACAGTTTGAATTTAAAAAAAAAATTCCATTCCAAGAGGGCAGAATCATCAAACTAAATGACCTCGTGACTCTGTAAAGAGAAAAGGTCCCCCCCCCGTTTCCCTCAAGCATCTTTAAATAAATTATTCCCTGCTTTATCTTTCCACTCCCTCAAAACATTTTCACTTTTTGATAGAATGGCCACATTTTCCCATCTTTAATTCAGCATAACTTTTGGATGTAGAAACCATTATCTGTCTGCTGCAATCATATACTGTTGCTAATAATAAAATGGAAAAACGTTTAAATCGCAATCTTAAAAGCCAATTAAATATCTCAGCAGGAGAATTTTGTTTCATCTTCCTGATCAGCATACACAACCCATTGCACTTTTGGAATAAGCTGCTAGTCATAGTTCAGTATGGTGTGGTGGGTGTTTGGGGTGTCAGATTAGGACCAGGGAGGTTCAGCCAAGGTTGACCTTCACTCAGCAATGAAGTTTGTGGTGTGACCTTGGCTCAGTCTCTCTCCCCTCAACCTACCTCACAGGGTTGTTGTGAAAATGGGGGGGGGGGGACACACACCCATGAGTTCATTAAAGGAATAGCAGTGTAAAAATGGAACTATGGGAATGCAGGAACAGTCTTTTCCCACATAAGGTTTGAAGCCCGAAGCAAAATGCAACCTTGCAAAAGGCAATTCATCTTACTATTCTCATGTTAAAGGTTCTAAATATGCTTGTATTTAAACCTATTCTTCAGTTTGTTATTGCCCATGAATTAATGCCCAGAAGCAATGCTTTTTTATCTTTAAGAGCTGGCACTGAAGTTAGTGTAGGAGGATGCAGCCTTCCCCTCCCTTCCTCTGCCACCGAAGAGCTATGAGTGAGGTGCAAGGTGGCAAAGGACAAAGATTATATCCTGACACCAAGGTTTGCATCACCAGGCTTTGCGGATGCATAGTCTTATTAGAGGACTCTGCATGGATACAAAGTCTGTCAAGGACTATGGCTAGGTGAACATCTGTTTGTGAGCTACTATCTGAGATTGTGAAAAGATTGTCAGGAGGTTGCAAGCGCAGCCTCCTTCCATTATTCGTGGCTGCTCTCCATGCGTTTTTCCAGAGAGAACCTTTGAGAGCTGGTGAGAAGCAATTCAGCAACACAGCCAAATTGTTATAATTGGCACTTTTCAGAAGCATGCATACTGTATACTTCATTTTGCTTTGGATATAGTAATTGGTTCATCTCTCTAACCTTGTAATACTTCTATTATTTGAATTGGAATCACTTTGTAATTGTTTGCAATGACTGCTGAAATCAGCATCCAGTGTTTTGGGGCCGTAAAGTTATGTGGCTAAAATGAATGTACTTAGTGCCATTATATCGGTCATCATGAATCCTGATCTGAGGTTCCAAACATTTTTTTATTGTGGCCAAACAAAAGCTGTTGAAAGCAACACTACCGGTCAGCGTAGGGTTTACATTCATTTCCATCATTCTCTCTGTTTCTGATTCAAGACTTCACATGCAAATGTGTAAAATGGCGCTACCCATGCCCAAGGAGGTGTCAAAAGACGTGAATAATCCAAAGTTTTGCAAGAGTAAAAGAAAAAAGAAAAGGGAAAAAGAGAGGAGGGAGGAAGCCCTTAAGAGAAAAGAGAATCCAACACAATCCAATGAGAACTCAATAGCTGTAGAACACTGTCTGACTTGAGAGGGAGGGAAATGTAAAAACTAGATGGGAGTAGAGTAATGAAATGAAACTCTAACACACGGCATGATAAAAGTCTGCAATTTTATCAGGACAAGTTATTTGTTGTTTACTGCTGCAACCATTGTTTTCTCAAAAAAATTCTTCCGTACCATGAAAATAAATAAAAACAGTTAACGGGAGGGGGGACTAGATGGGAGGAGGAATGAAATAGCTGAGAAAGGAGGATGAATGAAGAGGGGCATAGATATATTTAAAAAGGTAGTAAAACTATCTCATGGTGCGGGTAAGTTATTTCCTGGTTCATACTGTAAATCTACTTTTTAAAATCCCTAGAGATGGAAGGAAGAGATGCCGGGAGAAATCCTAGTTGTTTTTCTTACTATAGTTAAGATTGAACACAATCATGTTCGCTTGACCACCAGCAACGCCCCCCCCAAAAAAAACAGGGGAGGAAAGCAATACTGTCCCAGTGCAGACTGAATATGCTTAGTTGTTGTTGTTTAGTCGTTTAGTCGTGTCCGACTCTTCGTGACCCCATGGACCAGAGCACGCCAGGCACTCCTGTCTTCCACTGCCTCCCGCAGTTTGGTCAAACTCATGTTGGTAGCTTCGAGAACACTATCCAACCATCTCGTCCTCTGTCGTCCCCTTCTCCTTGTGCCCTCCATCTTTCTCAACATCAGGGTCTTTTCCAGGGAGTCTTCTCTTCTCATGAGGTGGCCAAAGTATTGGAGCCTCAGCTTCATGATCTGTCCTTCCAGTGAGCACTCAGGGCTGATTTCCTTAAGAACGGATAGGTTTGATCTTCTTGCAGTCCATTGGACTCTCAAGAGTCTCCTCCAGCACCATAATTCAAAAGCATCAATTCTTCGGCGATCAGCCTTCTTTATGGTCCAGCTCTCACGTCCATACATCACTACTGGGAAAACCATAGCTTTTACTATACGGACCTTTGTCGGCAAAGTGATGTCTCTGCTTTTTAAGATGCTGTCTAGGTTTGTCATTGCTTTTCTCCCAAGAAGCAGGCGTCTTTTAATTTCGTGGCTGGTGTCACCATCTACAGTGATCATGGAGCCCAAGAAAGTAAAATCTCTCACTGCCTCCATTTCTTAGTGCATGCTTAGTGCACATCCCCAAACTGCCCATAATCTCAAATTAAGCAGGATTATAATATATAGAAGAATCCTTTGTTTTAGGCACTGTATATGTTATGTTGTGTTGCTTATATTGTGTTACAGCCAAACATTAAGGATGAGCTAGAAATAGTTCTGACTCCTATTGCTGAGCCATTCTTTCTATCTACACTCCAAGGGATGTGTTGCAAACTGTTCACCACACCTGAATGTTTCATTGCTGGCCTGACCATTTATGTATGAATATGAATTATGTTATTACAAGGCCAACCTTTCCACGTAGATTATTGCACTCTTGTCTAAACAGGGCGGTAGGGGGGAGGATTAAAAGACATTCATAGTATAAATCTCTTCGTAATAAGCATATGTGACAAACTAATTATGTCAGCAGGTCTGCAGTCACCAGTCTTGCTAGATAAGCAACTAGCTGAGAGACCAGGAAAGACAACCTCTGCAATCTGCTTTGAAGCAGATGTCAGTGTTGAAAAGCAAAAATAATTCAGGGTTTGGATGGCTGCCTTTTAGAACTGCCACACATCATGTGTCCAGTGCTTCTGCGTGAGGAGATGAGGCAACAGAATTAATGCTACAGTTTTTAGCACCAAATAAACGATGGCACTACCAGAGTGTTTAGTTCTGTTAATATATTGGTGAGGCCAATGGAGCTCATTTTTAGGAGATGGGGACAAGCCAAAACATTTTTATTTAGAGAACAATTTATCTGGGGTTGCTGTAGATGGATGACATAACTTATTTCATTTGGGTGCTTGGCTGAGTTGCTACTGAAGTCCAGGACAATCTGGAAACCCAGCTAAAAAAAAGTCAAAAAGTATTCCGAAGCAGTACAGGCAGGTTTCGCCTATCCCTATGGGTAGGAGAGAAAGTATTGCTTTTTGCAATATACAAAGCTTCTTTAACTATCTCAGTCTTTTAAAGTTATGAAAGTTAATGGGTTGCTATGGTCTTTCAAAAGTCTCTTATCAGCTGAAGTCTGAATACATGAAGTAGTCTACATTTGCAAAAGCGTGGAATGGGCTTTTAGCCACATGACTCCCATTAACCTTATGTTCAGATGTTCAGCTAGCCTTTCACAATGCTTTGAAGCTTGCCTCTTATAACTCTTCCTTCTACCTCTTATCATGGAGCAAAACACGTCGCCTCTAAATGCAATAAAATGAGAGGGGTTTTGCCCAGGCAATCTAGATGCAAGACATACTCCTTCAGAAGCTAAAAAAATAGTTTTTGAAATAGTTGTAGTGTTACTTTATGATACTGATGTACATTGTACTTGCTTTAATTAAGATATTTTTGTAACTCGCCCTGGGAGCATTTGGTGAAGTACGACTAACAAATGCATAAATAAATAAATTGATCAGAAACAAATGGCTTGGCCATAGTTTCTCCTGCTCCACCCCCAATTTCCTCCTAAGCATACAGTGGTACCTTGGGTTAAGTACTTAATTTGCTCCGGAGGTCTGTTCTTTACCTGAAACTGTTCTTAACCTGAAGCACCACTTTAGCTAATGGGGCCTCCTGCTGCTGCCGCACCGCTGGAGCACGATTTCTGTTCTTATCCTGAAGCAAAGTTCTTAACCCGAGGTACTATTTCTGGGTTAGCGGAGTCTGTAACTTGAAGCATATGTAACCTGAAGCGTCTGTAACCCGAGGTACCACTGTACTTGCATAAAAGCTAGGTAACAGGCAACAGTTACCCATGTACCTTCCAGCATGTGAACATCAACATCGTTCATCAAGCCACTTTGGGGCCATGAAAAAAAGTAGCAGTTTTAGTTAGAGGTTCATACATTTTCTTCTTTTTTTACAATGTGGCAGGAAGATGCAGGGGAACCCATGGAGAGCCTGGGAAGCAAGAGGACAGGTTTGCAAGGAAAGAGTGGCATCTTCAACTATACCTTAAAATAAATACAGTAAGCTTCGGACCAGCTTATGCAATGTTTTCAAAGTAATGCAATATGCCCGGGTTTCACAGCTCTAATATTTTGCTGAGCTTGGGCACAAAATGCATTGTCAAGAGATGGGTGGCAGTCATCCAGACTGGGTTATGTATAGGCTCTACTTTCTGAGAAACACACACAATTGTACAAGCTGTGATACACAAATAGAACCTACCAAGATCTAGTAAGTCACTCACTCCAGAAAATTGTTTGCTACCATAACTAGCTTTGATTATCCACCAAGAATGGCTTCAGATGACTCTTCTGCTGTATACAGTAGATCCTTTATGATTGTATACAATCTCTGTTGATGACAATGGAGATGATGATATTCAACTTATTGCCCACAATTCACTAGCAGATCCCAAGGTGGGTCACAACAAGCTAAAATTCAACATCAAAAGCCAGCCAAAACAAATTGCAGTCATGGGAACAGAGTTATGCTTTGGATATTACTGCTTCCTTTTGCTCTAAATTATGAATGCTTGGCCATATGGTTCTAGAACAGTGGTTTATGTCTTTCTAAATTTTTATGCTGATTGATTCCCAGAACAACATAACCGTTGCTGTTTCCCAACAATATTGTAGAAAATGCTATGCTTTTCTTTAAACAGAATGTCCTTTATTGAGAACTCAACTGGATGTGATGGTGGAATCCATGTTTATTTAGTCATATATCATCCATGTTAATGCCTAAAAGAGGGTAAGCAGTGGGATCTACTTTTCACACCTAAAAAAGAATGCACATGTGCAGTGAGCTGACCCCCATCCCAGGCTTCATCATTCAAGCATTTCTCTCCCAAGCTCAAATCACAGCCAGTTACCCAATAGTTAAAGGTAAAGGGACCCCTGACCATTAGGTCCAGTCATGACCGACTCTGGGTTTGCGGCGCTCAGCTCGCTTTATTGGCCAAGGGAGCTGGCGTACAGCTTCTGGGTCAGGTGGCCAGCATGACTAAGCCGCTTCTGGCGAACCAGAGCAGCGCATGGAAATGCCGTTTACCTTCCCGCTGGAGTGGTACCTATTTATCTACTTGCACTTTGACGTGCTTTCAAACTGCTAGGTTGGCAGGAGCAGGGACCGAGCAACGGGAGCTCACTCTGTTACGGGGATTCGAACCACCGACCTTCTGATTGGGAAGTGCTAGGCTCTGTGGTTTAACCCACAGCACAACCCGCATCCCACCCAATAGTTAGGTTGGGACAAAAAAGCCTGAAATGATGGAGAAGGTGAGGTAGGGTAAAGAGTCAGTTATTATTACCTGTATTCTCATAGGAACATACAAAGCTCAGTACCAAGTCAGATCATTGGCCTATCTAGCTCATTATTGTCTATACTGATTAGGGTTGACTGGTGGCTCTCCAGGGTTTCAGGCTGTGGACAGTCCCAAACCTTCCTCGAGTTGCTGGGGTTTGAACCTGGGACCTTCTGCATGCAAAGAAGATGCTCTACCACTAAGCTATGGGACTTCTGAAAGGTAGACAGTAATCTCACCCCGACCTGTTTTGGAATGAGACATGTCAAGAACAAACACAGCTGGCCCCAGGGATGGAAGAAAAAAACGGATTCAGTGTGCATTCAAAACCTAATCTGCAAATTTGCACTCCCAAAACAATATCCAAACCACAACAAAGTTATCTTTCAGAATTTGAACATATCTGAATTTTGCAATGAAGTTCTCCTACCAATGTTTATAAAAAACGCACATATTAGGGAGGAAAGTGTGCATTAAAATGAAGGTATTAGTGAAAATAACACAGAAATGTATTATAAATGGGGAAATGTGTTACAAATATGTGTATGTTAGTCAAAAGTGCGTATAAAATGTGTATATTCGGAAAAAATGGATGCCAAGATGACACTGAGTTTTCTTGAGGCTTATATTACAAAGGGGGAAATTGTAAATTGCGGCAAAATGTGGAGAACTAAATTTAACATTGGGAAAACAAAACAAAAAAGCCCCGAAGAAACTGCAATTGACAGATACTTCCACCCCTAATGATTCCATCATATCTGGTATGACTGTGCCAGGCCAATGAATTGCTATCTTTAGATGCCTGCATAACTTCAGGCTGATGTAAAATTTTGGTTGAAAATACTAAGCCATGGCTGCTGTGCTTCCTTTTAGAGGACCCTTCTCCCTACAGCATCAAAGTGATACCAAGATGAGGAGCATTAAAATGTGGTAGACTGTGGCCCACAAAGATGCTGTATCAACACCACTGCTGTCAGGGTGCAGAAGGAAGAGAAGCAATTGCACCAACTATCAACTTCACTTAGATCCAGTGTTTCATTTCCATCCGTTGTTCTGCTATGCTGCAGATCATCTTGGGTGGATGCACCGTGGCTACAACAACTGATTCCAGGAAGCTGAGGCAATACAATCTTAAGTCATAAACAGATATGTGCGTGTGTGTTTTAAAAATGTGCATAAACATTTGCTGGAGATGTGGAGAACTAAATTTAACATTGGGAAAACAAAACAAAAAAGCCCCGAAGAAACTGCAATTGACAGATACTTCCACCCCTAATGATTCCATCATATCTGGTATGACTGTGCCAGGCCAATGAATTGCTATCTTTAGATGCCTGCATAACTTCAGGCTGATGTAAAATTTTGGTTGAAAATACTAAGCCATGGCTGCTGTGCTTCCTTTTAGAGGACCCTTCTCCCTACAGCATCAAAGTGATACCAAGATGAGGAGCATTAAAATGTGGTAGACTGTGGCCCACAAAGATGCTGTATCAACACCACTGCTGTCAGGGTGCAGAAGGAAGAGAAGCAATTGCACCAACTATCAACTTCACTTAGATCCAGTGTTTCATTTCCATCCGTTGTTCTGCTATGCTGCAGATCATCTTGGGTGGATGCACCGTGGCTACAACAACTGATTCCAGGAAGCTGAGGCAATACAATCTTAAGTCATAAACAGATATGTGCGTGTGTGTTTTAAAAATGTGCATAAACATTTGCTGGAGCAAGTGCGTGCCAGTCACGAGTTCAGTATTTTACAATATTGTTACTTGCTCACTTTTGAAGTTCTGCGGCTCAGTGACAGGTTCATTTGCAGAACATGACGAGCAAGTGTAAAACTCTTTGCATTAATGAAAGTTGCAAAACCCAAATGCCTTAAAGACTTGATGGAGACACACTGCACACAAAAACAATACACAGCCAACCACATAAAAAAGACGAACTTCTCAGGGCCTAGAATTAGTATGTTGTTGTTTTTTAAGAATTTAATTCAAGATCTGTACTATCAGTTTATTTCTTTTCCAGTTCAGAATCCAATACAGAGCTAAGAATGTTTAAGTCCATTGATATCAGTGGGACTGAGAACACTTAATTCTGTGTTTATTCAAGGGCAGAGCTTCACTAATGAGTTTCTATTTCTACTTTGCTGTTGTTTTGTGTGCCAATGTCTTTGATCGTTACTGTATGTTTTCTTTCCCCCCACTACTTAGATATAAAATATTGTTTTAAAAATACTTGTACCCATCCTTAATTATGAACACCTTTTTTGAAGTGCAAACATTTAAACAGCAATACAAATTAGGCTTTCAGCCAATTAACATTGACATTTCAGCATCTGGCAGGAAAGATGGAACGACAATAAATTATTTGACCGATCCCTGCATTGGTATGCTAACAAATCAAAGTGATAATGGGCAGTCCTTGATCACCATTGTTAATTAATTTTTTATGACTACTTTTACATCACTGAAGAAGAAATCTGTTCATGAGTAATATTTCAGTTTCAATGATTTCACAAAGGTTGGGCAGGTTATGGTTTCAACTCAGTATTTTTCTGCATTCTCTTTCTATGATTTTAATGCAAAGTTAGCATTTTGCCCTCCAACTCGCTCTCCTTTAGTGTCCTGCTGTTGTTTTATAGAAGTTGCAATTCTGCAAGGAAGGACGCGTGTGTTTCATCCACTGCAACACAAATAAAATATTCGGTACTTTACGGAGCTAATATATTAATAATGGATAAGTAAATAAATAATGTATTTCTAGCCCATCTTTTTTAGCAAGGCAAGTTACAACAAATGGAAGCAACGTTAAGGGGTTGTATTCCTTGGTGCCATCTTGCTCTGGTCGATGGAGCGTCCACCCATTTCTCCCCTGTAGCCACCTCCTCCTCAAAATCTGCCCTAGAAGGTTGGGGAACCCCACCCCCAGAGCAGATTTTGGGGTGGTGAAAGGAGAAAATAGAGAAATCCCATTGGATACAACCCTAAAATTAAAAATATAAAAGGGTAGTAAAAAATAAATAACATTAAAAGAACACTAACAGATAAAACTGTTCTTAAATATAACAATCAATCACAAAAAAACCCAAGTGGAAACTGGGGTTTTAAAAAAAGAAAATGCCTTTAGAGTTTTCCAAATGACCAACAGAGAGAGGTCCATATGAATTTCCTGGAGTACATGATGATGATAGCTTCCGGAACTTCAAGGAAGGATCAATGGCCCAGCCACTGCATTACATGCAGAAGGCCTCAGGTTCAAGATGGAAGGATTTGGCGTTAAGAGAACTTTTACTGATAAGTGGGGAATCAACTTGTAACATATACATGATGGCACAAGTAGTTTGTTTAAACTTTCCAATGCAAAATTGGAAGTTGTTACATAGAGTCCTCTTGTAGGGAGGAAATAGTGTATTTCAGGGGTGCTCAAACTTTTTTCAAAGAGGGCCAGATTTGATGAAGTGAACATGCATGAGGGCCAACCAAAGCCGCATGAGCATTGTAACCATGGTAACTGGGTCACAACACTCCAGTGACATTTTCAACACAACTTTACATTCTCCTTAACCTTTGGTAACCGAAATAAAAAGATAATTATCTTTTGTTTGAGCCTTAACAGTATCCGGCAATCACCCTTTGTGAGCCAAATCAATTAACAGCCAACTGGCCTGCTGACCAGTGTCATTCCCACACGTATTCCTGTCTGACCTGTTCCTGTTAACCTTTTCTCTTCCTGTATTGGAAGCCTTTTTCAGCAGGGGAAAGAGAGGAATGAAATGGGCATGTTTTCCCATTTGCTTCTAGTAAAACATTAAGAAATATTTTGATTACAGGCAAGCCCAATCTTCTCTCCTGTAAAGGTTTCCTATTTAATTTTACTATATTTTAAAACTTGGCTAATAAGTAACTTGAAGCCAAAGCAAATGACAGCGATTCAGCACAGCTTTTTTTTTTTTTTTTTTTTTTTGGTGAGGCTTACAGCTTTAGGGGAACATTTGCAGCATGGTGTGCAGGAAATTGGGCGTGCAGCTCCAATTAATCCGAGGAAACAAGTATCATGTTTTTTAAAAGTAGCATTTAAGATTTTTATATATATACATATGAGAAATATTCATAATATTTACAATGAGAAATCCACCACACCCATTATGCAATTCCTCTTTGGAACATGGGAGCTTAGTCCTCCCCTGTCAGGCTTCAAGGAATCCGCTCCCTCCCACGGTGGCAGCCAAGAAGCAAATAAACAAGAAGAATTTCTTATCAAATTATTTATTCACTATGCACAGAGAGAGACGAAGGAAAGCAGTCTCCCCTAGATAATGGCATTGCTCTGAGTAAGGTTCCACCCCTTCCATCTCTCCTATTCTATGTCATCCATGCGGCGGATAAGCTGAGCTTTCTGTTCTATCACCCTTAATGCCCGCCAGGTCCTGGGACAGAGGGGGTCAGGAATGCTTTCCAAGGACACTGAGTCTGTCAGCTGTCTCTCCCCTGGTGCTTCTTCTTCTTCCTGTTGTTCCTCTTCCAGTATTTCCCAGCTTCTGCCCCCGGCAGCCTCTGAACTATGCCCTTCTGCAAACCGCTGTTCGAAATCTATACTGTCCTCCTCTTCTCAGGAAGGTTCAGGAGAAGGTGGGGGGCAGACCCCACCATTCCTCCTCAGTTCAGCCCCTGACACCCCTCCTCGCAAGGACTGTTTCAGTTATAATAAGCTACATTAATTATTTTTATTAAGAAGAATGCTGGAATTCATAGAATTACTGGGTGGATGTGAAGCAATAGTCCAAGCCCTCTCCCATTCCCAGCAAAGTTGCAAGGTAAGAACATCTGGATATATGTACATCACCACTCCAACGTTCAGCTTACATAATACTGTATAAAAACACATTTACAGTGCAATCCTATAAATGCTGTGTCCAGGACTGCACTATAAACAGTGCATTGTTGGCTTGTTCTCATAGTTCTTTTCCCTGAAACAAACCACAAGTGATGGCTCACACATAACCACTGGTGCGATTTGAGTAGCATGAACCAGCAGACCTGCCTGGTTCCCAGTAAACCATGGTTTGTTTCCCTCATTAGTGTTACATTCAACCAAGGCCAGTGACATTAGGCCTATTAACTACACGAGGATCATGTTCACCAACATCTGTGATGCCCCAGTTCTCCTGTATCCTTCCCCAGTTTTAAATGTGAATCATCACATTAATAACCACATCACAACATAATTAAAATACCTGAGATATAAACTGGAATGATAATGACAAAATAGATTAAGGCTGCAATCCTATGCACACTTGCCCAGGAAGAAAGCCCAACAGAAGACCATCAGTGGAACTGACTTCTGTGTAAACACACACATATTGTACTCTTAATAGTTCCCAGCCAGTTTCTTAAATGTTCTAGGTAAGCCAAAAATAAACCACAGGCATATTCTGATGACTTAAATACCAGTTTAGGTGAAAGCAAAATAAATATCACTCAGCATCCTGTGATGCTATAGCAAAGTAATGATACAATTTAATAATCTCCTTAAAATTCTTCAAAGGCAAGGAGCTAGCAATTATAGGGAACAGAAGTGACATAAAGCACAAAACAACTAACATTCCTGGGGGGGGGGGAGCTGCATTAATAAAGGTCACATCCACACCATACATTTAAAACACATGGCTTCCCCCTGAAGAATCTTGGCACATCTTAATAAAATGGAGACTTACCTTTCGCAAGCTCTGACAGTCCATGCAGCAATTATCCACAAGGAGATACTAAAAACCAAGAGTACAGTTCCCGGACATATTGTCATTAAAGTCTTCATAACAAAACGAGTATTGAAGTTTATCTTATTTAGTGCTCCAATGCTTCTGGATGAGGCATCAGTGAAAAGTTTGCTATGCAAAAGCATAACTCTGGCAATAAGATATAGTCTTAAGAACATTGGTATGGATAAAATTATATCCACATCAGCTATTGTTGTAGATGGCGTATAGGAAAAGGCAAGCCGAGCTGTCCATGTGAATGTATAGTTGCCAGGGATAGGATGTATAGCACACACCAAGATTTCCAGGCAGATGAAGAAAATGCGCTCATAAGTCATGGCTATTCTCCAGTCATCTGCTCCATTGTCCACCATGAACAGCTGAAAGAGAATTGCAGAAGACTGACTTTAGCGAAATATTTGAAGAGATGTATAAAGAACATGAGTCATATTCTGAAAAAATAATTCATTTGAAAACATTAAACTTGTGATGTTTTCTTCCTTATTTTTTTACTTCAGGCATTATTCAGAATCTCTCTCTCACACACAGCTCTATCTAATGTTGAAATGAAATCTGTATATATGTTGTTGGTGTAACGAAGTTCCTTACGTTAGTCACTCAAACGCTAATAACAGATAAACTTAAGACACATTTACCTTACTGCTTTGTAAATAGCTGGCCTAATCGTTAGTTCCTCACCACAAATGAACAGTGAATAAGGTGAACAATTAAAAACAGGTTAGTTATGAGGGAGATATTGGAGTGACTGGTTGGGTGGTGAACCCATATGTATTGGTAGATGTATGGGAGAATAATGGAGTGAACGGCGTTGGCTGAGAAAGTTGGATGAGTGTAGATGTAAGACAGAATTTAGGTGTGAAATGTTAGTGGGGTGAGTGTTGCATATCTTGAGTCAGGCTGAAGATGGAAGGGATCCCTGGCTCTTACAATATTTTCAAAATCCGCTGCTATGTTTTTGATTTTGAAGGGCAATCGTACTGTTTTATACTGAACTGCATTTCTGTTTTGTACTCTATTGGAGTTTTTATGGTTTGTTTTAGAAATATAATTGTCAGGCTGCTGCCAGAGACTCCCAGGGCTGGTTGCCCAGGAACGTACAAAGACAAGGAATGTTCTTACCGTCCACTTTTTATTCAGTATTTATAGAGAGGGGCTGTAGAACCCAGCCTCTTGGAAAATGGCATTGTCCCGAGTGAATCTCCACCCCCACCCCCTGCCTCTCCCACTTCCTCATTCATCATCCTCATCACCTTCTCTATGGGTGCTGCTACATGCCCTCTGTCTTTGAGCTTTTTGCTCTCCTACTTTCAAGGCTCGCTGGGTTCTGGAACGCTTTCTGAAGACACTGCATCCATCAGCTGTTGCCCCCCTGGTGCTTCCTCTTCTTCCTCCTCTCCTATTATTTCCCCTCATCTGCCTCTGAACTGTGACCTCTCTCAAACCCCTGTTGTAAATCTAAACTGTCTTCCCCTACTCTGGAAGGGTCAGGCTGGGGAGGCGGTCTCCACCATTCCTCCTCTGCACAGTCCCTGACAATAATACAAACATACTGTATGATATTTCTTATTTTGAAAACCGCTTAGAGCCTGTCTTAGTTTAAGCAGTATATAGGGCAGTATACAACTAACCTGTCCCATCAGCACAAGGTTTTCTGCTTGCACAATGAGACTTTGCTCCCTCTCCTCCTCCATGTGCTCCACAACCCCCCAAAATCTACTCCAGAGGGTTGTGAGAATGCCCAGAACAGATCTGGGGAAGGAATGGAGAGATGAGATGGGAAGAACATATTGTGTTGCAAACAAAATCCTTGCGCTGATGGAACATTCACTTAGTGCTATGTCGGATTCCAGCCATATGAAAAAAATAAATAAATGTACAGCAAATATTTTCGTAAACTGTGAGCATTTTTACATGAATATCCCCATGGCCCAGAAGCATTATGGATTAGAAAAATCCCAACAGAAGCATGGCTCAAGTTATCACTATTGTGTTTCTATGGAATTATAGCTAACTGGTTGCTGTTGGGTATGACTCCAATACATGATGTGTACTTCTGCCACCAATAATCTTGCTCACCTTTTCAGGCTTCTTAGTAGACAATCCCACCATTAAACTGGAAGGATACTACAGCTTCTCACATGACTGTTATCTTCAGAAAGTATGTGTTTGAAAATGTCCCCATATCAGAATTTCCCTCATTGTGAAAATTTTTATTAGAATAAATGTGTGCAGAGTAGGGAGCAAGATCACACTCACTGTCTTTGCTCCTGCCACCTAGACAAATCTCCCTATCTATAATTGAAAAATTCATCAGTATAACAAATAACCATAGGCTAGCCATCAGTTCTTGCATGGTGCTCTTGTAGTGGATGGAGGGATGTGAGAGAACATCCTTTGCATATCGGGTGGAAGACGATGTCTCTTACCTCTGGCAGTTTGTTACCTATGTCTAAAGAGGTGTTTTTTTAATAATAATAATAATAATAATAATAAAATAATAATGGAGAATTGAATCATGTGAACCCCAACTGCAATAGGAAGTGGTAGAGTTGTGCTTTCCATCTTAGTAAGACCAAGGACTTAGTTTTAAAAGTTGCATGGAAATAAATGGACCAAGTTCATACAACATACATTAAAATTTAATCTTGAAAATTACTCAAGGAAAAGAGTTATTTAACTGTTCGGTAAAGAAAATTAAAATTTTAATATCGTTAAGCTTGGTAGAGAATATGATTCATGAGAATAAAGCCATTTATATTTTATTAGAAAAAGAACTCCATCATTTTTCTTAATAGTCCAGATACAATGTGCAAGTTCCCTCTATTAGTGTGAATATGGGTGCCTTACATAGGTGGGATCAACAATTAAGCGGAGGTTTCTCTCAACCGTGCTCTGCTGAAGGTAGGTCTCTACCAGGACAGAAGGCGCAGATTGTTGTCAAGCTACCACAGGTGGGAAAACCACTGGTGATAGCCTGACCAGGGCTGAGGGATGTCAGAGTATTCCAAAGAAAATGGAAAAGGAAGCTGCAGTTTGCATGTTCACCTGAGGTCAGGAACGGAAATCAGCAAAGCAAACATTATGGGGTATATGTTCACATCATACTGTTGTTGTTTTTATGTCTGCGGATGATGTATCATTAATGAGCTTTATTTGTGCTTTTTTGAAATCAAAGTTAGTTATGTAAATAGTTACATAACTTATGTAACTTCCATTAAATAGCAGAGAACAAGACGAATAATGGAGTTCTTGGCAGAAACCAAATTGCAGTGGAATGGAAACAACACAACCTTCTTGCATTCCCAATAGGGCACCAAAACAAATTGTTTCAGGGGTGGAGCAGGGCTAGCAATGGATGGTCTGGATCCAAACCAATTTGTTTCTGTCAGGATCCCAAATTAGGGTGCAGCTCGTGCAGCAAAAAGGGAAATTGACTAACCCCAGTCCACCTTCAACCTCAGTTACCCATTGTTGGGAATGTTAATGAACTACTTTGTAAGGCAGCAATACTGTTATCTCATTCTGTGGTAACTAAAGGGTCACAGAAATAAATAACATGGAAATAACTTACAAGACAAAGGCCAAAAAGCCACACACCAGAAGTCCTATCCAAATATTCCATGCCTACTTATTCTAGATAAGATTCCCTGAGATTTCCATTCAAACATCAGTTATTTTAAGATGATAGTACTCATATCAAGATGTCTTAAACTAGATACAAGGAATCTTGATGAGAGAAATGGATACTCATAAATATGTATCTGAGTCATTCAGATACATTCACCTGGCGATTCTGGGCCTTTCCTAAACAGTACTGTGCTTATCTCTAATGACTTGCAAATCACAACATGATACAACTTGGATATATAAAATAAGAGTGAGGCATAGGGCCACAATATTTTTAAACAGTTAAAAACACTAAAGATGTACCACAGATATGCATTAATCAAAAAACAAAACATTGTGCTAGGACTCACCTTCAGGAATCCTGATCAATGCAAAAGCATCAGTTTGAATGTCCATATTGTTACCACAGACATATCATATAACCTCTCCTAGGCAAGCTTATCTAATCTAAATGCTTCTTTATTCTGAACATGTCTTCCATATTCTAAAACACCCTTGGCACATGACATCCTGCCCAGTGCCAACTCTCCAGAGCTGTTTTTCTAATTGGGATAAAATGCATGAACCACAAGAAGATTGGCTTGTGGGGAGGAAAGAGGTTTCACTATAATTACATTTTGTACACATTGTTCTCACGGCAGGTTCTGGGTAGGAAAAAGGACAGATGAAAATGAAGTTTTAGGCTAATGTTCACACTTGGATCCTTGTTACCTGGTTCAAAGTTCTCATTTCATTTAAACTACAAGACATTTCATGACTTTTCATACTGCTCAGTCATGAGGTTTTATAACAAGAAACCTTTTCACGTTCCTTTCTATATAGACTTCGAAGCTGTCTCATATCTACCAAGTTCTCCTTCAATGAAATACCTGTCTAACAAGTTTCCTGACTTAAATTGCTTGATGTTTCTCATCTACATTTTGCGTGAGTAAAAACTCAACATATCCCTCATTTTCTATGGAATTATGTAAAGGGTTTCAAATGTAGGAATATATGTTTGAATAAATCAATCTTACATGAACTGAAGATGAAATGTAGCAAATTACATGAGATTTTGGTTTTCTACGTTGTAAGTACAGAGCACCCAAAAACCAGAACACCACAGACAGAACAAATGAAGATATAATTTATAATTTGCACATTAAATGTGCTATAGAAATGATAACATGCTATTTGATGCAGCCGAATTATTTCTGGAAGTGTAAAACAAAGGTTTTACAGTGTTAGGCTATGTATCTAGCTGGTCCTTATATCAAATTATTGCTCCCTTTAAAGAATGCTGTAGGAAGTTTTTATTTTTTCATATCAGGATGATCAGAATGCATTACCTGTTAGTAGGTGCTGAACCTGTGATTCCGAATTAAAAGTGAATGAAGTTGCTGTGAACTCTTTGACATCCTAAAGCCCTGCTCAAATTTCTCTTCTGCTTGTAACAGGACACTATCGGTATTCTCCATTTCCTGTCCTGAACTGTAGTATAATATTAATGTGTAGCATTCAACACTATCAGTCCGCTTCAGATTCCTCCCTTTCAACATGTCCAATGCAGCTCAAGAGGGGGACAAAAATGTCCTTAGAAGTTGGTTGTTCTTTTTCATGTGGGTCTGGGACTACCAATCACTGGAGGATGCTGAAGTAGTGGCTATGCTATGCTTCATCACTGCACTAACTCAACCAGTTACAAGTTCCTCTTTTGCCTCTGTCACTTGAATACAGTTTATAGAAAACATTCTGGTCTCTGTGTAACCAATCTACTGTCCATAAGCATGCACTTGCATGACTGACTAGCTGGCCACAGATGGTGTAGCAAGCCATTTCTGCAATTACCTATCCATTCTGATTGTAGGAATCGCCATTGGTTATATCCATTGTCAGTGAGTTCCCTTGATGTGATGTTGTTTATATAAATGGGTACCTGCGCATGCTGAGGTTCTACTGCAAACCAGTTGTTAAAAACCGAGTGGATTAATTTAATGGAGAGATGCTGTTAATATACACTCATAGGCTTTCCAGACACAGAAATGTCTGGCATTCTCCTCATTGAATGCTTGCCCCTTAAAGCCCGGATGTTGTAGAAACTGAACTGATAAACCCCTATCACTTGTTTTCTTTCCAGGTCATTTACCCCTCTACTGAAACTTTTTTTTTTTTTTAATACTTTCAATACAATATCTTTCTATAATGCAATTCTCACCTTGGAGAAGACAGGTTCTCATTTTTCTATTATGATATAGAACCATTTTGCATAGGGAACCATATGAGTGTATCTTAATAGAATTGTCATTAAGAAATAGTTGCCATCATAGATCATTTATGTTGCCAATATTTTAAAGAGTTATCAGAAGCCTATATGCTGGATAGGACAATTTTGGCTCCAGGGTAGAAGAGAAATTGGTACAAAGGGTAGTGGGCCAGCATAAAGCAGAGCAACTGGATTCTGAACTTTCGTTTCGTTTTTTTAAGAATTCACTGCCTCATTAACTTATATTAGAATGATATACATGTATATTTAGAAGTGAGTAACTTTATGCTTAATGGAGCTTATTCCAACCTAAATTAAAGTAGGTACAGGAGTGCAGTAATCAGGCCAAATTAAGATTGGTTGAAGTCTTGGAGCTATACTAATTTGCAAAGAAGAACCCCAAAACATGGCCCATTATAGTACAAAGATGCCAAATTTGACATCTACAACATAAAGTCTCCTTTTGCAGCTGAGAATTAGCAATTGATCCAAGGCAATAAGTGAGCAAAACAATGATGAGTACATAAGTTCAAAATGTGAAACTGCAAATAGAGTATTTTTGTTGTTTATCAGCCCTGGCAAACTGATCTGTGGTTGTCTTTTGCTGTTAAATATCTGGAGTAGAATCTAACTATCAAGCATGGTGGGAGGGGGATGCCTGCTTTCCTAGTTTTGCATGTGTTTTCATATCTAACGCTTCATCAACTCATTTTGTCTGTCAATGTTACATTACATTTATACAGTTACAGATGTTCACTTATATAAAAATTATTATCAAGTTCCACAAATGTTTCGTTTGCATGGCTTAAGGTTAGTATTAGGGGAGAGCAGAGCTCCTGAATCTTTAACAGCCCCACAACAGTCAGAAATTAAACAGGGTAAGGCATTTCTAGAATGGAAATACAGTTAGGGGGAAAGCTTTATCTGTAGGCATTTTGTGTCTATCATCATATTATTACTTGTGTGTGGTCCCTGTTTACTTCTGAGCCCTCTCTGCCACCTGCAAGACATGGCACAAATGTGCATATCACAAAGAGTATGCAAATTTTAAGCAACTTGGTGTCTTCTTCTGTGAGCGTAGAAGAGAGCCCAAGCAATATACTGCGTACTGGGCCTATAAAATTCTGCTGAGACCCCTGTTTGGCTGTAATAGAAATATTCAACACTCTCACGAGTTATGTATGTGTGTGAAAATCCGGGCGCATTTTAGTTAGATGAGCTTTTGAAGGTTATAGATACTTGCTAAATAGAGCAGACTGGGTTGTACTCATGTTGGTTCCATGCACAAGTTGCCAGAGGAAACCCATGCATTACAATCTTAATAATTCCTTCATTTTAATATTTAATAACACACTGCATGTAACAGGTAATCCAATTATAATTCAATACAAGCCCAGGGCTTCATGAAGTTGGAGTAAACAACGTAGTTGGATGAAACTCCTCAAGTTTCAACATTTGAAGCCTTCTGTAAGGTGAGCAAGCAGAGAAACCAGGTATTATTCTACGTTAACCCACTGATTTGAGGACAAAGGGCAAATAGCAGCATACAGATGCCCCTTTCTGCTGATCTGTTCCTCAGCCACACCAACAATGTATAGTATGCCAAGAGTGTTCAGAGTCGTTTAAGAGGCTTACAGCTCAGCTCAATTATAGGTGCAGCCAGCTTGCCTTGTGTGCTTTGAGATGACACTACAGATTTTTCTCCATTGCTATTGAGGACTAAACTATTTATCTTAAACTAGGAAATAATACTAATTCTCAGGGATATCAGAATATGGCACTGAGGTGATGGAAGACACACTGAGAACAGATTACGTCTGCAGACTGTGCTGTCACTGAATGGATTTGCTGATTTTTTAAAAAAAAAGCTTTGAGCCACACACAAAAACTGTACTCGCAACTGCCACTTTCTGCAGAACAAAACTCAGGACTACTTTTGCCATTTGTTCATGTAGATCCACATTTTTGAAATCCTGTTCTAAATGGCATGCTGTCTTCTGATCTATCCAGCATAGCAATATTTCTTTCTGTCTCCATTGTGGATGATGTGTGCTGGTCATTACACATTTTCTGCATTTGTTCCTGCACTGGGTTCTATATCATGCCTCTGTCTTCTTTCTCCTGCCTCCTAGCTTAAGAAAATCTCTTCTGTCACACAGTGACAGACTCTAGAAGTATACTTGCTTTGAATGCAACCTTTATTATATTAGATGTCTGAGGAAATAAGAAACAGTGTTTACTTTCCAACAAGTAATCTTTGCTAAGGCTGTTAGGGAAACTAGCATGCTTGTATACAGGGAAGTGTAGTGGTTAGGTAAGCTACTGATATAAAAATAAAATATTGTGACACCTCAAACACTAAGGACTATATCCAACTGCTGCCCTTGCACAAGGGCAAAGACTTTTGATCCATCTGCTCATGGAAGAGGAAGGCAATATTTGCCATTTACCCCTGCCCAGCAGCACCAACACACTGCAAATCTGCGGGAGCGGGAATTGGCAAAACATCAAAGACTGGGTGTTAGGAGGCACTAACTGGATATCCCCATAACCCTAACAAATTTATTACGGCATAATAAAATGTGTGCCCAAAGGGATAATAAAGTCTTTAAAGTAAGGTTACCAGATTTTTTTTCAATGAATCCAGGGACACATTTTTTTAAAAAAAAGAGGGAAAAAAGTTATTTTTAAAAAGTTATTTTTTTAAAAAAATAAGAAATATCTTCTGTGGTCTCCTCTGTCGTGCGGCCTTCCTCTGGGCCCCGGCCTGCTCTTTTGGAGCGCTAGCTGCTGTGGAGTAGACTCAGGTAGAGTCTGGGCTTGGCATGTGTCCTTGCCCTCCCGGTGCTCTCCTACCTCTTTTCCTCAGCAGCGGCAGCGGCGCAGCAAGGTCAGGGCTCCCCTCTTTCTTCTCCTTCCTCTTTCTCTCTTCTCCTTCTCCTCTCTTCCTTCTCCCTGCGTCAGCTCCAGGGTTTTCCTGGCCCCGGAGCACCGCTGGGCAGTCAGCCGGGTGTTCTCGCCCCTGGTTCAATTTCTGGTTCGCTCCTGGTTCCCCCAGCTGATGCGCCAGGCGTCCCTGATTCCCCCTTGGTAGTGGCAGCGGCGGCAGCAGTCTCAGTAGCCCGGAGCCAGCCTGGTAGCACAGTTGGCTCTGGCTGGCTTCAGGAGCTGCCCACTGCCGTGGCACCCGCCATTTTATCTCGCCGGAAGTCCCCATATGATGTGTCTTGTGCCATTGAATCAATCACGCAATATTCATTCGCTACTAATAAATCTGCAACACTTAAAATATAAATCTGGGGACATTAAATGAAATCTGGGAACATTCCAGGGACAGATTTTGTGCGGGGACAGATTTGTAAATCCGGGGGCTGTCCCTTGGAAAAGGGGACGTCTGGTAACCATACTTTAAGGTGCCACAGAACTGTTTGTTGTTTTGCTAAAACAAACTAACCCAGCTACCCTTCAGGAGACAGATAGTAGTTAAGGATTACTGAATATCACCGGGGCAGTGACCCCCAAAAAGGCATTTTCTGCCACTGCCTGTGAACCTTAGAATGCCCTTCCCTCTTCCATACATCCACCAGTTGCTTCAAACATCTTGTAATGATATATCTTCTTGCCTAGGTTTTTCCTGGTCCTTAATATAGGATTCCCCTTATTCCAAGTTTGAGATATAACATCATGCAATGTAGAATATTTTCATATACTGTCACGTGTTCTAGCAAGAAAACTCCCACTGGTGGATATGTTAGGCTGTAAAGGACTTGGGTTGTTGTAACAATCTAAACAACTTCTATATGTAAACCAACATCTACCATCTTGGACAATAATGGGCTATCATGGACAATCAGAAGGCTAGCAAGTTGAAAATGGACCCAGTTATGACTGAAATAATAATGATTGATAAGTACAACCCAAGAAGGGTGGAGAAATACAACAATATGCAATCTTCTAGATCTATTGCTCTGTTCGAACTTCAGATCGCCAATAGTCCTCCTGTTCATCAACTTCCTCTTCTGATATTATACTTTTTATGGGAGTTATACATGAGCAGGTCAAAAGAAGTACATTTCACCAATGCACCAGAACTTGTTGCACCAGTGACAGTGTTGCCTTCCAGGGATAATGCCAATTTTTACCAAAAAAAAAGGGCAATAAATAGCCCAAGGCATGTACTGTAAAAGGTTTCTTTTCACTAAAAATGCCTGCCTCATTCTGCCAATTTTATATATTACAGCAAGATGCTGAAAGGTGGGATTTAATATTCAAGCTTTGCTGAAAGATGCAATTTGTAATTTAAACATGCCAAATTATTCTGACAGCAAAGTTGTGTTTTATGTTTCAGTTCAAGATCTTTGGCAGCCCATCTGACCAAATATGAAGTCCCATTTGGCAGTATTTGTTACACTACAAATCCAAACAAGTGTCTGTCCAACATTTTTTTGAAAATCTGCAAGGAAGAAAATTCTATAACCCCACTAAGCAGCTTATTTCACTGCTTAACTGCTCTTGAAAAGTATTTTTTAAAATTACCCAAAATGTAACTTCCTGTAAATTAAGCCTACTGCTTCTTGTCCTGTTCTCAAGTGATGCAATGAACAATTGTATTTTTATCCACTCATATATTTCACAATATTTGAAGTTTGCCAACATAACTGCTAATCTTTTAGCACACCAGATTTGATGACATGCAAAATACCATTCAGCTGAATAATCTGTTTATTTTAAACAAGAGGCACATTCTACAAAGACAGAAGGACGATGAAGTCTCACCCCAAAAAATGATTGTTAAATAAGTTCTACAGGAGCCAGAAGCACAATATCAAGACTGAAAATAAAACCTCAGTCTGTTCTGCCTTCACAATTCAAAAATATATACAGAAGCTAGGTGTGGCTTTGTCTGCTTTTGTGCTGACCAATGATGACAAACTCTAAAACTTTACTTTTATAGACTGGTAAAATTCAAATGATGCATTTCTTCTAGTAATCCTATTGTATAAGGTTTTACAAATGTGACATGAATATAAATATTCAAAACATCTGCTGCTAACAATAACTTGGAAACAAACTAATAATGAACTGTTTATTGTCTGTTTTAACATAGCTATTGTTTCTGAGTAAACAAGCTATTCTATAAAAGGACATTTATGTTTCTTAATAAATCTGCCAATTTTCCAATGGTGAGAAGTTCAATTTGCAGTTGAAAAGTTATCTAGCTTATTCTCTAGTTTTGATACAAACAGGAGAAGAATATGACTTGTATTCTAAATCACCATTCTGTGATCAGTTGATCTTTCCATGTTTTTATTTTATTTATAATAATACTTCTGATCCACCAAATCAACAGGAGCATTAAACCATTATAAAACACAGAAAGGTTTTGCTTGCTTAAAGACCCCTTCAATTAGCTGAACTCTTTCCACGAACAGAAGAGCAAAAACTCCCGAGCGTTTGTATTTGCTCAATTAACAAATCCTAACACTGGTTGGAGAGAAGTGGAATACAAAAAGGTTGTGGAGCCACCACCACAGCTGAACCTATGCTCCTCACACCAGCCAGGACAGAAGGGAGTAAAATCCATGTGCTTTTTGCTGCATGAGCTTTTAGGCCAGACCAAGAGGTACAAGTCATGCCCCTTTGTGGGTGTTAGCCAGTAGATTCTTGGCTGTCTCCACTTGGCCACACACATACACACAAACAAACAAACAAACAAACAAACACAGAACACCCCATTTTGTTCCCTTCCACCATACTCTGCAACTGCAGTGGGGCCTCCGTAGAAGCAAAGCCCTCTATCCAATTCACTGGTGGAGGCATCCAGATAAGGGTTTAGGATTTCTGCCTTAGATAGAGTAGGAGGGAGACTAGAATATTATTCCAGGAATAATGGGACAGCAAGAGAAACCACTTGAGAGAGCAAGAAACCCTGAGACTGCTGACGGTAGCAAACCTGGTGGAGCAAATGCTACAGGCAATGAAGTGTCAGGGTATGAAAGCAGAAAGATAAAGTGAGTGGCTAAGGTAAGGGAAACCTTTAAAGGAAGCATGAGTAGCCCGTGCTGTGTCTTGCACAGGGATTGTTTTTATATATATATTAAGACCGCTTATCTCTCTTACTGTGGACTAAACCATACCCTTTAGCTCAGCATTACACTTTTGAGAAATTGCAATCCATTTCTTCGTTGAAGAACAGCATCAAGAGCTGACAATTTGAAGAGAACAATCAACAGCAAGGGAGCTTAACCCTTCCATCATTTCTCCCCCCCATCCAGAAGCTCTCAGAAACTTCTGGAAACTCTCACAAAATGAGACAGCAAGGGAAGTTGCAGGCGGGGATGGAGTCAGCACCTTTCTCCCTATTGTGTCCACACTCTAAATATTCTACAATTAAAACTAAAAACCGTAAGAGAATAAAACAGTCTGTATCATCTGGTGACAACATCTTGTGCAGAAGATACCTGCTATTTAAAAGTGTGTCCATGGGAACATGCACAGCAAGGAATCAAGAAACATAAGTCTCTTTTCACAGCGAGTTTTACTGTATGTACCGGTAATTTGAAATTACCGTATTTTTCGCTCTATAACACGCACCCGACCAAAACACGCACGTAGTTTTTTGAGGAGGAAAATCCGTAGGCATGCCACCCGTAGGCATTCCCTCCATAACATGCACAGACATTTCCCCTTACTTTCTAGGAGGAAAAAAGTGAGTGTTATGGTGCAAAAAATACGGTACATATCGGCAGAAGTCAATGGCACTGAAATCAATCCATTCTAGATCTGTTTCAATGTTATTTGTAATTGTAACCACCAATATGCAAGGTTTTTGGTTCTTCATCTAACACGGGGCATCTCAAATTCCTAGCAGGATGGGTACAACAATTTGCAGTGCAATAAGTAGAATGGGGTGTGTGAGTAGGCAATTGATTCAGAGGACAACATCAAAGGAAGATAACAGGAGGGCTGAGCAAATCCTGATTTTCAAAAAAAAACACAAAAAAACCTTTTCATTCAAAGAGTCAGTACCTTAGGGAGGAAAACTAAAACCTGGTTTCTGATGTGTCATTAGAAGAATTATAGTTGTAATAACCTAAATGTGACATTTTCATTGAAGCTGATGGAGCACTCCAGACATAAGTGAAAGGGATGCAAATGTAAGGGATTGAATATACCTTGATCCTTTAAAGGTAATTGTTTTAAATGTGAATTAGGCTTGCCTTGGGAATAACGGTCACCATCAAACCCCACAAGAACAAAGGCTCCTAGTAGAAATTCAGCGACAGTAATATTAAAGAGAAGAGAGTACACGTATCGCACACTGCGTAATTTCTTATCTGTGGGACAGAGAAGAAACCTAAGATTTATGGGCAGAAATGCTTATGAGGCAATAGCATCTAATGCTAAAGTGTGCTAGATTTCCTCCTCTGTTGTGGCTGCTCTCCTTTATTTAAGTGCTCTTTCACTGCCAGGCTTTTTGGAGCCATGGGCACATTTCCAAACCAGATGAACTGCTGGCAGCACCATCACCAACCACACACTGCAGCCTATTATATTGGCTACAATTGAATGCTACTTCCAAGACTCATTTTGTGGGGGGGTTGGGGGTTGGTGTGGACACCAGGGAAAGCCTCTGCCCATGCAACTATGTGTGTGATGTTAGTCAGTGGCGTAGCAAGGTCAGGTGGTAGCTGGTGTGGAATTTTTTTTCTCACTCCTCCCGCTCCCGCACTGAAATTGCAATCTTTCAAAGAGAGCCACGCAGGCGATCCCGATGCAGATCCCACCTCGCCCATCCTCCCTCCACCCCCCTCTGTCAAAGAGAGCTGCACAGGCGATCCCAGTGCAGATCCTGTCTTCCCACCTCCCTCGATCCTCCCTCCATCCACCCCGTCAAAGAAAGCCACGCAGGCGATGCTGTTGCTGGTCCTGATATGGCTCCTTCTCGCCTCCCTCCTCTCCTCTCCACCAGCGCATGACCTCTCTCTCTCTCTCTCCCCCCTCAAACCAGCTGGGCTGCAGAGCTCTCCTAGATGCCGCTTCTCCACCCCTCACCCCCAAACCAGCGTGCCTTGGCCCTTAAATGAAAGGCGAAAGCAGGCGACCACAGCCTCTCCCGCCTCCATGCCCTTCTCGGGAGTCCACATCAGCCCCAGAAGGACCCTGCCTTGCCCCATGAGCAGCACAGCTTTGACTGCGGCCACACAGACACGCACACACTACCTGAGCGAGGGCAGGACATGGACGGGCAGGGGGAGAAGGGTCTGACCAACCACGCATGCGCCCGGCCACAGAGGTGGGAAGAGGACGCATCGGCGTTGCAATGCAACTCAACCCCGCTCGGTTCCACTACACAGGCAGCGTCGAGTTCAGCCGGCATTTTGTCACCCCCCTTATGATGGCACCCGAGGCGGACCGCACCCCCCCCCGGCACCCCCTTCCTACGCCCCTGATGTTAGTGACCCCTAATGACCTACAAGTGCCTAATTCCTGCCAGGCGTGAGGTCTGCGGACCTCCCCTTTCAGGATTTCTCTCTCTAAGCATCACATAAGTTCCAAAACAACGTGATACGTAAATCTGATGACAAATTTCGCTATCTTTATCTCACTGCGTTTATTGCCAATCACTTGCAAGACGCAACATGATGCAACTTGGATATATAAAATAAGAGGGAGGGATAGTGTCACATTAAACAATTAATGGAGAGGCATCACAGATATGCATTCATAATAATAAAAACACTGTGCTATGACACACAAATTCAGGAATCCCGATCAATGCAAAAACATCAATATGAATATATAGATTGTTACTTGCATATATGTCCTTATAGGTGTGTACTTGCTTGGATCTACCTTGGTGGTGTTTGCCTCAAGGTAGGCCCGATGCCCAAAAATAAAATACAATATTTCACTAGTGATAAAACAGAGACCTAGGTCATGGGTAGGCAAACTGAGGCCCGGGGGCCGGATCCGACCCAACTGCCTTCTAAATCCAGCCCGTGGACGGTCCGGGAATCAGAGTGTTTTTACATGAGTAGAATGTGTCCTTTTATTTAAAATGCATCTCTGGGTTATTTGTGGGGCATAGGAATTTGTTCTCCCACCCCCCCCCAATATAGTCCAGCCCCCCCACAAGGTCTGAGGGACAGTGGACCAGCCCCCTGCTGAAAAAGTTTGCTTACCCCTGACCTAGGTCTTCAGTCTGAGTGTTAGGCTTAAGCTTTATTTTGTATTCTCCACAGTATAGCAAACTCTGGGTACACAGGCCATTCACTGAAGCACGAGGACAGCTATTTAAGAGCTCTGCAACATCATTATTTTTTGTAAGAACTATTTTAAGTACAGCCTGGTGTTTATGAGGTCCTACGAAAGAAAATGGAGGTACAAAGTGCATGGGGCTGGATTACTTAACATGCTCATTTTGGAATACACCTTTAAAAGCTCGTGAAAACGTAAGAAATAGGAAAAATAACTGTATATGTTATCTTCTGTGATTCAGGAGTATGCAGTTATAATCAGGCAATCCACAACACACACACACACAGTTTGTTTTCTACAAAACAACATAAGGGTCTATGCATTTGAGAACATTACACAGTCACTTCTAACTAATGTGCATATTAATGTGCAAATGAATATTACAGTGCAATCCTGCCACTCAGGAGTAAGTCCTATTGAATTCAATGGGGTTCATTCCCAGGTTAACTGGGTTAGAACTGCAATTCTATGCAAACTTCCTTGGGAGTCAGTCCGAGTGAAACAAATAGCAGTTAACTACCAAGTGGATGAGAAATAGTCAATCCAAACTTAAGTTTCCCATTTCTTGAAAAGGTTAATATCAATCAGTAACTGACAGCCCACCACTATCTAGTATGTATTTTTCTGTACACTTTGGCTGTCCCGTCCAAAGAATGATACAGATCTAAAACACCAACTACTTGTTATTTTCAAAATTCTGTCAGACCATCAATAACTAAATGTTACATATAGTTAACAGCTTAACATGCTACTCTTTCCTTTAAACTTTGCAATATCCTCCAAGTAACATTTTGCCTCCATAAGATATGCTTTCCATTCTTAACCCATCCCCATTCAACCACATACCAATGCCAGCATATATGCTTTGCTTAAAAAAGAAGGTAAAGGACCCCTGACAGTTAAGTCCAGTCGCCGACGACTCTGGGGTTGCGGCGCTCATCTTGCTTTACAGGCCGAGGGAGCCGGCGTTTGTCCGCAGACAGTTTTTCCAGGTCATGTGGCCAGCATACCTAAGCTGCTTCTGGCACAATGAAAACCAAAACCAGAGAAGCACAGAAACGGCGTTCACCTTCCCGCCGGAGCGGTACCTATTTATCTACTTGCACTGGTGTGCTTTCGAACTGCTAGGTTGTGGCAGGATCTGCGACAGATCAACAGGAGCTCACCACATAGCAGGGATTCAAACCGCCGACCTTCTGATCAGCAAGCCCAAGAGGCTCAGTGGGCCACAGCGCCACCCGCGTCCCTATGCTTTGCTTACTATCATGCTAACCAGAGACAGCAAAAAAACAGAAAACATAGCTTGACAACTTGAAAAGGTACCACCAGTAACAATGAACTGTACTGGGCTACATGCACCATTGGATTGACTTACTGTAAGGCAATCCACAGATCTTTTATTGAACTTTCAACCACACTGAAGCCATTGTACTAAATAAATAGGTATGACTGACTTTCAAATCTCTCATACAACATTTACTGAAAAATACTGCATTTCTTTAAATTCAAGAACCTTTGCCCTCTTTTTTTTTACAAGAACATAAGCTCATGTTTTAGTGCTCGATGAGCATTAATTATGTGGCTATAACAACATAGTGCTAAATAAGGTATCACCTGCACTGCATGTTCATAACCATATGGCTCACTTACGCTGAAAACCATGAAGATATGAGTCCTATGCAGAAAATCAATCAAATCTGCTGCTCTTCATACCTCATGCATATTTCAAAGAGTGACTTTATTCACATGCATGTGCATCCACACATATATATATATTTGCAAATGAAGCAAGAATTCAAAGACTCTGAACAAATGCTGTAGTATTTCCAGATACAACTAATTAGTTTACCCTTTTTTCTTGGGCTTCCCCTTATTTTGGAAAGGCAGGATGAAGCCTTCCAAGTTATGTGTTATTACTTGCCGTATTCTATAAAGGGAAGACTATTACTGCTTGTGGGGAAATGATATTCTTCACAAAAGCTCCCCTACAAAAATTGAAATTCTTAATTTACACTCAAAAAGGCATTGGTGCTGCGTTAGGATTTTCTTTCCAGTCAGCATGTGTTTTACAATCATTATTGTAGGAAAAAGCATACCTCCCTCTATTGGCCTGAAGCACGATCTTCATATTATGCAATGTGTGCCTCAGTAAACATCTGTAAAAACTTTATATTTAAAATAATTCTAAAATGGTATGAGTATTGTAATTGTGCTCCATTCTAAAGCAAAACGACTTCGCACAAGTATCACTTTTTGACAGAAATGCTATTTAGAAGGCAGGTCTCTGTCAAATGCCAAAATTCTATGCACACTTATTGGAGCAGAAACATTAATTTGTTTTGCTGATGGACTTAGAATGAAGATTAGGCTTAGCACAGATGTTAGTTTCCAAGGGTTGCAAAATCTTTGGAACTGAACTGGCCAAATACAATACTACGAAGATTTCCAAGTGAGTGGTCATCACCTCTGAATACCCTCCACAAGACTGCGGGGTTTAATACCTTCTCTCTTATAAGCTGCTCACATCCTTTTCCCTTTGTGTTTCACCAGATTATGCAAACAGCGAATGTAGCATATTTTAACAGCATGTATGTACATCATAAAAAATAAATAAGCCATTCATCTCTATTCAAAAATGTCTTTTAACTAAATTTCAATATTCATCTGACACTGGATTTCCAGAAATACTTTGAATCACAGTGCATATTCCCTTTCCTATATGTTCACATACACATTTACTTTCGGGGCAAAAGATGTTAAATTGCATAAACAAGTATTAGCAAAACTTCTGATGCCAAGAGCTGTCCACAGTGCTGAAGGTGAAAGCCTGTACTGTGTACAGAGCTGGTGATTTTTCTTTCTTTCTATAGAAATTGAGCTTTAAAAATATATAGTGAAACTCTTCCCTACGCCCTCAATGGAAAATAGTGAAGTCAGGCTGCCTACTGATGTAGATTTATATGCTATCTAAAAGCTTTTATACCAGAACTAAAAATAGCCACTGCCAAGGCTTAGAAAAACAACACTATACAAGTGTTTGAACTTTCTATAACTAAGATATCTGGGGAGTATGATACTGGAAAGCCCAAGGAAATTATTTGTACTGGAAGGTTTCCTGTGATACTTTTTGGAACTAAAATTAACCCTTATTTCATTCCTTAGCAAGAGAGAGGGTGAGAGAACACATTTGTTAAGCTAATATTCCTGGTTACTATGTAATGCTATTTCCTTCAGAACTAAAATATTTATTGCAACATAATTAGAGAAAAATGTTCCTGTCTGTTGTTTCTCCTAACTTATATTATATTGATTACACTTCTTTTCAGAATACATTTAAATAGTCACAGGTAACTTAGACAAATTATAACGCAGAACTACATCATCCACAGAAGTGAATGAACTCAAATCACTGCATACATGATTTCCCCACAACTATCCACCCAAAAATAGCTAGTTGCTGCTGATTTTGTGGGCACTGACTATTGCTGTCCTAATTTTCTATCATCTGGTCATGAGAGAGCAGGTGGATATTTCACAAGGGGAAACTAAAGGATGTAAAGGATGTAATGAGGTCATTGTGGTCAGAAAGAAAGAAAAGCCCAGACTTCATTTGAAGATTTGCAATGTACCAATAATTTCACAAGAATGCCCTGCCGTCTACAGTAGCCAGATTTAAAGGAGTACCACTGTACCACTATCACTATTTAATTAGGCTTTTAAGATACAACAACAATAATGGCAACTACTGGTAAAACAAATCGTCATCAGTTACTGACAACCATTTTAAAAAGGTAGTGAGTTTAGAAGTAATCACATAACTGTAATAAAAGGTTAATTTTTATTGCATTTACCAGCACTTTCATAAATATATCATGGGGGGGGGGGATTCACCAGCATAAAGTATTTGTAAGGTTATAACTCGCCAAACTCTTTACTTGGGTTCAAATGCTCAAGAATAAATTATTTGAACACTGATGTTCAGAACTTTGTCGCTTAACTGGTTGTAGGCAATGCTGATTTTATAACATACACCACTCAATCATTTGAATGTTTACTCAGAAGTAAGTTCCATTGTGTTCAGTGAGATTTGCTCTAGGGAAGCAGGAAAAAAAACTTGCACAGCCCTATATCGATTTGATTTATTTGCACATACTTACTTGCAAATAAAGATTGATCTTTTTACAAATGTGCGACAAATCAAACATCTGTTTAAAGAAATGTAAACTATATTCCTGTTATCCATTTTAAATGCTTAGTACAATTATATTCATCTTTTTTATGACAAGCAGTAAGCTTCTTCAGGCTTCACATGACTCCTGAGGGGATATTTTATTTGCATTACTGAAAATGATGTACTATTATTGTGATTTGAAACATATTAGCTCAGATTTACTGGGGAAGATGTGCATGAAAAAATATTGGTAAATAAGTTATGGGTTCCAAGAGGGAAAAAATGAGATTTCTTTTTTAAAATAATAATAATAATACTGTCTCACTTTCACACAAGCAATCCTACTGTTTGTACTAAGAAGTATGAACCTAAAGCTGGGAGGAAGGTTTGATAAGACTGTGATCCTACTCAAGCCTACCTGAGAGTAAGTCCCATTGCACTTCAGTGGGACATACTTCTGAATAGATATGTACATATGTACATTGTTAATGCATTATTTAAAAATGTAAATGTTCTTTCTACTAGAGCTACAGTACAAGTTAAGAGAAACAGATCCTGTGACCTTGAGCCATACAACACACAGCTACCTGAGAAAGAACCTTCAGGATCTATGGTTTGGTTTGAAAATGCTCGAAAACACTTCACAATTACGATTGCCTATTCGATGCTGGTATTTTCCTCCATCAATTAAAGAAAAAGCCTTGGTCCTTGAAAGAGATTAACTATTGCATTTATAAGAAGTTCTCTGTGATAACTGAACAGCATTTTATAGGAATACATTGTACCCTTCACACAGGACAGTATTACTACACTGAGATAGTTTTCATCCCATGCATACTTCCTTGGGTGTAAGGAATACTGAAATAAACGAATCTCCCAAGTAAGCACATACAACATTAGGGTGCACATAGGGGAAACCATACACCATTACTTGTGAAGTACACAATTGTATTTGTGATACACAGATACAAGTAATTCAGTCAGGAAGACACATTTTGTAAGCAACAGAATACACTTTTTCCAATTCAGAGACAATGTCCTTAGAGGAAGAAACATATCTAAATCTTGAAAGGGACTGATCTTCCAAACTACTTTTACTTAAAGAAAAAGCTAATCATCGGCCCTTTAAACAAAACTGTGCTTTGCTGATTTAAAAAAAGAATATCATTGTGGTTCATTACTGGAGTTTTTCAAACCTTGTGACAATGATGAATTGAATTTAAACCTGTTATAACCTTTCATCCCCACCCACAACAAGTCTATATTTGTATAATAGACATCTAGCACAGCAGCACCAAGGTTTGATATTTGGAGGTGACTGAAGAGTCCACAATTAGTCATATGATCCTGTATGGATTAGCATAACATGCAGTTGTTGTAGAAGAATGGGCAGGCATTAAAGCTCTTCATTTTGCATTAATAAATTGCCATTGAGGGCTAGAAAAGCACATCTAGTACATGCAGACTAGGGTACTCAGACATTGGAAGTGACAATATAGCTAGGAGCACCTAAGACGTTGCACTGTTAACTCTTTAGTAAGAATGCATCAATGCAGTCTGTTTAGTTTCACAGAAATGTCCTTGAAACACAGGTAGCAACAAGCCTCAGATCATAAGTGGAACGTACCTGAATTTCCCTTGCGTGGTATACAATAATCAGACCAAGCAGAATGATTGTAGAGAGGCTAATAAGGCATTTTAGGGCTAATGAATACAGCGACTCCTGCAAGAGAAAAATAGATGCTTTTTACACTGATCTTTGTGTCCTTCATCTTGATGATCTCAGGGGAATACAGGCTACGTTTTGTAAGAAAGACTTTGCTCTTAAAAAACAACACCTTTAAAAGTATAGATCTTTACATTAAAAAGCAACAGCACAGAACAAGATACATCTAATGAGCTAAGTGTAAACTCACTATTCTAGCAGAGCAACCCAGTACAGTACTGGGAAGAGATAAACTCCTTTAAAGGCCTAGCAAAGCAACTGGGAGTGGAAAAAGTCACCCCAAAAAACATTACATGCATGTCTAACTACACTGGGCAAGCCTTTCTGGAATTAAAGCTATCTCAAAGGCAGTAATCTTGTAAGGGATGCTAAAACCATTGATGCAAGGCATTTAAACAGCTGGCTTTTCCAGTTATTATCTTATCAAGGCATTATCCGATTATCTGTCCCCCGTCAGCTTTGCAGTGTGGTAACAAAGAGGCAGGGTTTTAACACACAGCTGTCGCTGCTCAGTTCAGGAGATACAAGCAGCAAGTGCCTGCATACCAGATGCGGGGCATCTTAGTGTAGAAAGCATCCACACAGCATTCATTCAGAATGTATGGATGAAGAATTATTATGGGGAAAATCTTACTAGGCTAACATGAATTGGCTGTGCAAGTTAGCAAGTTCCTCTGTTACTCCTTGCATAGTATGGTGTGCAATGTAGCAGATGTACGATACACATTCGTTCTACAGCAAAGCATGCATGGGTGGGCATTTTAAACATCTGCAGGAAAAGCAAGCAAACTCCAAGCCACCCTGCAAGGTTCCCCAAAATAACGGCAAACGAAGGCTATTTTCCAGTGTAAGTAGCTATGGGAAATATCTACAGCTCTCTGGCTGGAACAGTCCCACAGATTTCCTAGGTAGATTGTGGCTGTAGCAATAGGAATCTCTGGATATGGAGACCGTAGGATTAACTTCCAAGTAACAGAGTTTACAGGACTGGAGCACTTGGCTGCATCCCTAAAGGCACTTCCTTGGAAGTAAATGCCATTACAGTAATTGGCACTTTCTCAGTAAGTGGATGTATTCAGGATGGGTGTTTCAAAGTGGTTATCTGCCCCATTGGAGGAAGTAAGCAATATTGAAATTAGTGGCTAAGTAAGCAGGTGGGACATTAGAAAACCACATTCCTTGTGAAGCACAACTGCATTTGGGTGTGACCTACACAAAAATAGTTCACACAGCTGTAGTAGCTCAGCTTTAACATACACAAAAGCAGTTCAGCCGGGAAGCCACATTTCCTAAGCAACAGAGCGCACTTTTCCCAATTCAGAGACAATGTCCTTGGGGGGGGGGGGGGTATGACAATAGGAACTGCTACAAAAAGGGAGAAAGATGTGGAAAGGAGAGGGAAAATAATAAAGTGGGCAAGGGAAGAAGGAGAGGAAAGGAATGGAATGGATGGGGGGAAAACAAGAAAGGAAATGTGGAGGGGAGAGAAAGGAAGGAAGGAAGGAAGGAAGGAAGGAAGGGGGGAGAGGAACAGAGAAGAGAGGGAAGACAGCGATGCCAGGGATGCGAGGCGGGCGCTGCGAGGGGCAGCAGGTACCTTGGTGTAGGCGCCCCACGACAGCTCGGTCTCGATGACCATGACCACGATGCCGAACATGCCGAAGATGAGCGCGTAGTCGCTGAGGCGCTTGCGCTTCTCGAAGAGCGCGCGCCGGTGTCCCAACTTGTAGCCGATGTTCTGGTTCTTCTTCTTGCTCGACTTGCTGCCGCCGCCGCCGCTGTTGGTCTGGCTGCCGCCTCCTCCTCCTCCTCCTCCTCCGCCGCCGCCGCCTGAGGATCCGTAGAGCGCCAAGTTGTTGGAGTTGTTGTGCTCGGGCTTGGACACCACGATCTCCGGGCCGGCGCCGCTGGCCGAGGAGGCGGCGGCGGCGGCAGCAGCGGCAGCCGAAGCGCTGGGACTGGCGTGTGAGGGAGGCGGCGGCGGCGGCTGGTGAGGCTGCAGCGGCTGCGACTCGGAGTCGAGCTCGTGCAGGTTCCTGCGGGACGAGCTGAGGTTGCTGAGAGGACGCATGACGCCGCCGTTGTATCTGCAGCTGCTCATGGCTATTTCCGTGAAGGGGTTGCTTTCCCGCCGCTGCTGGGACGCTGCTGGGTGGCTGCTGGGAGGGTGGCTGTGGCTGCCTGCGCTGCCGACGCTGCTGCTGGGGCTTCCCGCCGGCTGCTGCTGCTGCTGCTGCGGCTGGACGCTATGGCACGGCTGGTAGTAGTGGGAGTGGTGGTGGTGGGGCTGGGGCTGGGCGTAGTGGTGGGGCTGCCTGGGCGCACTGGCATGGCTGGAAGGGGTCAGCTCGCTCACGTTGAGCTGGCTGCCCGGGCGCGACGAGGCTGCGGAGCACGAGAGCGGCGTCGACGAGCGCGCCCGGAAGGCGCCCGCCGCCGAAAGGGGCGACGAAGTGCGGAGCAGCAGCGGCAGGTTATCTCCCGCGCCCGACGCAGCGCCGTAGTGAGCAGCGCAGCAGTTGTTGCACTGGAGGCACGGGCTGCGCTGCTGCTGCTGCTGCTGCTGCTGCTTGTCTTGAGCGTGGCGCTGCTGCTGCTGGCAATGCGGGTGTGGGCGCTGCTGCTGCTGCTGCTGCTGCTCTGAGCAGAAGCCCGGCTGGAACTGCAATGGTGTTTCCATGTCAGAGCTGTTAAAGCTGCAGGAGGACCAGGCGGTGGTGCACCCTGCGCAATGCGTTATGGTCGGCAGAGGGGAGTCCTGTTGCCGCCACGACGGGCCCATCGCGGCTCCCGTAGAATCCAGGCGCCGAGTCCGATTGGTCGGGCGCACCAAAACAACGGGCATCACGTCACCTGGAAAAGGCGGGAGGGTTGAGGGGGGGCGAGAGAGAGAAAGCGAGCTGCAGCGTGAGGAGAAGAAAAGCGCGCGAGGAGCAGGCGCGTGGCGGGGGGGGGGGGGGAGAGAGAGAGAGAGAAAATCCCAGGAGCTGCGCGTGCCGCCGCCGCCGCCTCTGCTGCTGGTGGCGCTGCCAGCCACGGGGGCGCGCGCTTCTCCTCTTCCCTCCTCCTCCTCTTTTTCCTCTTCTCCGCCCGGGGGGATTCCTCCTCCACCTGCCACCGCCAGGCACTCACTGCAGTGGCAGCCCCGGCGGGAGGAGGAGGGGGGGCTGTCACCAGCACCACCCGCTGCTGTTGCTGCTGCAAGAATTGCTCAGGCAGGTAAGGGTTATTTCTCTCCCCCCCCATCCCATCCCATCCCCTCCTCCAAACTCCCCTTAATCTGGATTGCTGCAGGGCTTTCCCCTATTAACGAAACCCGCTCTACCGCCCCCCGCCCCGAAAAAACCCGACGAGGCTGTGGTCTCGCAGCTCATCCCTTAATACCCCCAGCTCCGAAATAAAATAAAATAAAATAAGGCCATTGGTAGCCTTATTGTGTCTGGACGTGCACCACAGGAGTTCCCTGGGGTGGTTCCGCTCGTGTGGATGTGACGTGCATGTAAGGCACTGGGCGAGGCTTTCCATTTGACTACGGATTCCCTAACGTTTCTAAAATTGCCCCCGACGGGGTCTCCTGCTCGCTGTATCAGGAGACCAGATAGGTTTAATTCGGATTTAATTCGGATCTCATGGGGTTTTGGGGGGGGAATCTAAGCCTTGGGCATGGAGCGCAAACAGGTCTCCCGGGTGATGTAACTGGGGGTTACCTCTAGCGGGGAGAAAGATGCGTGCATTTGGGGTGGGCGGGCGGGTGGCAATCCTCGAAGCACCTACGATATATGTAATTGGAGAGCAGGAAAATGCAACGATGGTAACAGTGGTAATAATAATAATAACCATAATAGCATCCGCAATAACAACAAGATCCCCGTCCTCAAGGCATTTGCTCCGAGTCCCATAGAGATTAGAGCAACACAACAACAGGAAAATCCAGTGCTCAAAGCCCTTGCTCTGGAGTAGCCCCATTGAAAAGCATAGACCGAGTCCGGAGTAAGAGCTGTGAAGCTTGCGGGGAGAGGGAGGGAGGGGGGAGACTGCGGAGGAAGCTTCCGACGAGGATTCCCGGCTCTGAACAAAGGGAAATCCCGGAATGCCAGTGTGAAAGGCGGTGCTCGCGCTCATTCGCGAGAGGAGGCAGGGAAACGCTTTCCCATTGAAGGAGACGGAAGCGCGCGGGGGAGGGATTCTTTTAACCCTTTCGGGGCGCCTCCCCCCGCACCCCATGCCTCCTCCGCGCCGGAGGGCAAGAGGGCGGCGACCGGCGACCTTTCCCAGCAGCTGTCGCTTGGTGCTGGTGGCGGTGGCTGTGGGGAGTTGGCTGAGCCGCAGCCGCTTCCAGCGGGGATGGGCCTTGGCGCGGGGAAGCCCTGGCAGGCGCAGGCGGAGGGAGGGAGGGAGGGAGGGGAGCCGCCTGCTTGGCTGGGGGCGGGGGTTTCCCCCGACCTCGCGAGCGCCTCGCTTGCTCGCGCACATTTACGCTTCTTCCGAAACATGCCGAGCGGCGTCCTGCTGCTGCCTCCCGTCGCTGGCTTCGGCTGCGCTTCGGGGAGCGGGGGGTGTCGGAGGGTCCGCCCCTGCGAGGGAGAGAGAGAGAGGAGCAACTCGGAGCCGCTGGGAGCTGTCCAGCCCGGGCCAATACCTCTCCGTGCGGGCTTTCCTTTCTGGAGCCTCCAGCAGCGGGATTTTCTGCAAGACAGAAACACACACTAGTAATCCAGCCCGGCTGTTTGCTTAGCGCCTTTCTCCGCTCCGTCTTTTCTGCTTCTGAAAGCCCCACGGGCGTGAGGCAGTTCCTAAAGCAATCCCATCTAGAACTAGCCATATAGCCAAACCCATATAGCACGCAGAGAGAGTATACCGTAGAAATATAGGCGTACAAATCTACCGCTCAGGCCAAGCCGTCCTTTATTTTAAAAAGAAGCACAGTCCAGTTGCAGATGCTTCCAACTTCCCTCTCCCAGACCTTTTTCTAACCCAGGATCGAAAGCGAGCTGAAAAACCGCACTGTAAATCCTGCAGTGCAAAACCTCTTTGTGCAGAGAGAGGCGTGTTGTTAGGTAACGAAAAGGACTAATTTTGAACGATCCAGATGTTTGCATTTTATATTTGCATAGCTTGTGGCAATCTTCTTTAAATAATTTTGTTGTCAGCCTTTGGCCCTGAATTGGGTTAGAAAACTGAAATAAATAAATTAAACAGCCTCTACTGAATCTGAAGATATTTGTGCAGATAAGGCGTACAGTTTGCTCCTGTCGGGAGCTCTTTAGTCTAGCAAGCCAAAAGAAAGGCATTCACTTTTAAATTGCTGGATATTTTTGACTCCGTTCCATTGTGTACACCAGTGCTGTAACGATTAGAGACAACCGTGGTGTATATACCATTCAGTGTTTACATGATCATCTGCAGTGCACAATTAAAAGCTTATATAGCCTGCAATTGCTTGTATTGCTTACCCCTTCGCCTGGATAAAACCAGATTGCACAAGCATTTGTGGTATAATAGGAGCACACTCCAGTGATAATAAGGGGATGTGTGGGTAAGACTTACAGGGAAGGGAGTTAAGACCAATTCACAAAATGTTCCTGCATTTCTCTGAATCTGAGCCAATATGGTTCCAAGCAGCCATGTAGTCGGACAACCCAAGCTGTGAACATCTAGTCCTTGGAATTTAATGCAAACTAAACATGGGAGACCAAGATTCAATATAAGTTCAAGGTTCTTAAAAAGTACAGGTTTCTTTCATGCGTGAATACTTGTTGACGGTAGCTGTTTGTCTCTGCTTTTTGGTGCTTCTCACATGATATGCTGATTAATATGAAGTGAAAAAGCCACAAGAGTAGGGTCCAGGGACCCATTTATCAATTATTTTAAAAATAATAAAGATGAAAATATTTGGTGAGGTTGTCGTGTGGACACATTTTTCAAGGTTTTGTCCCTTTTCATTCATTTTTCCAGAAACATATCTTTAGAAAGATTAAACATTCTGGCCTTTGTGTGTGTGTGTGTTTTAAAACTATTAATGTTTTATTGGGAACTAAAACTTGAGAGACAGAAAAACCATCCATCAATAGCAGTTTTGTAGTTTCTTTTTAAAAAAACTACCTTGTGACTTTTACCAAACGTTTAAGAAGATCCATGTGGCAGGGACACTCCTTAGGGGTCAGCAAAAGCCAAACAGTGAAACAGGATCACTGTCATTAAGTAATTGAATTTCTGACTTGGATCCAGTTTCCTGAAATTCAATTCTGCAGCAACCCTAAAGTTGATCACCTGCTACCATTTTGTCTTTTTTCCAGTGCCTTCAAGTAAATAATTAATTTTAACACATCCCAAAGAGAATACAATGGGTGTGCCGAACAAATTCTCTTTTGTTTCTTTTTATTTACAGAAAGGAAGCCAAAAATCGATTCATGTACAACGGCTATGCTGTTCTGAGTACCATTATTAAACCAGCAATCATATTTTCATTCTAAAACCTTGCTTTGAATTTTTAAAAAAGTACAACGTACAGGAACATCTTACTTAGATGAATGCATCTGCAAATCCCAGTTAATCCAGAAAAATAAATATATGTGGAAGCCATGTTTTGGTAAACTAAATTCTTCTCTGGGAATTTATGACATGGTCAGTTGTATGCTGATCAGTATTTAGGCTTCGTTGAGAATGAGCCAAGCTATTTTTCTCATCGAGATTTTGTACTGTTGAAAGCAGTGTCACTGTAGATTATAAATAACATGTTGCAACATGTTACAAGATTATTGTAATAGCATGAATTACATGCTATTATACTTATCCTTAGAACATTTAAACGGATTTTTATAATCTAGGATATTGTAGTGATTTACAGAATAAATCACAGTCTGCTAGGTTAATAATCTGGGTTTGCTAGGTTAATAATCTGAAGTATGCTTATTTTGTGTTTGAATATATTTTTATCTCTTATGTTAACAATCTCCTAAGGCTACACTCAAAAGCACACTTTCTTATAGGTGATTCCACTGAACTCTGTGAGACATATTTCCAAGTAAATGTTCATATGCTGCATTATTGCATGTTAAATGTTATGTGTAGACAATTATAATAATTTAGGTTTATTTGATTAGGTCAATCACCTTGTACACTTAGTGGAAGGGATTTTATTTACTTTACTTTGAAATAGCACTTTTTAATAAATATAATAATCCTATACCCATCAAAACAAAATAATTAAAAACGTCCTTGTTTTGACTGCATTCTGAAGTGATCTGTATCTCATAGTAGTTCACAAAGTCCAAGCTGAGAATATGCTTGAAAACCTGAAATGCACAATGTATAGTTCTACATTGAAAGAGCAATTTGTAACATCGACAACAGGATCAATGCTATAGGACACAACTCATGAAAGGATCAATACACTCTTGATTTTGTTATGTTCTACTATATGCTTCCATTTATATTTGATGTTGCTCTAAGTTCCCTGTTTTACATTTTAATCATTTTTAGATGTTGGATGTTTTATTCCAACTTGGATGTGTAACTGAGTGTTCTTACTGATTGGATTTTTTAGCAGATGCAGTGATCCTATATTTGCATCTATGTTATTCCTTATTAATTAATTTAGCTTCGAAAGGCAAACAAATTGAATTGCATTCTGTTGTACATATAAAACTTGATGGGTTTCCCAAGCAAGTCTCAAATGCAGACGCAACTACGTCCCATGTGTGCTGTATTAGCATTGAATGCATTCAAATTTGAATAAATTATTTTTGTTTCTAGCTTCTGAAATATCTTACTACTACATGAAGTCCCATTGAACTCCATGGAGCTTACTTCTCAGTAGGCATACATAGGATTGTTCTATAAGCCAACAGACAGTGAATGAATTGTAACAACATTTAACACAAGAAATCATTCCAATCCCAACAGCATTAATAGAAATCTCCAATCAAAGTATTTAAGTGGTTTCATTTCTATAGTTCTTGGTTCAGCTCCAGAGAGCCATGCAAATAGTATATTGTGAGCTATGCATCTGAAACGGCACCTTCTGTCTTACACATGCATGTACAAAGACACACATGCACTCCATGTGATAATCCACTATTAAAACAGAAGAGGAATTCCAAATTAATTTGTGCTGTTGTGCACTGGTCTACCATCCAAAGGAGGAAAGTGGGTAATTAATAAAAATAGTATCCAGTCATCATCTTGAAGGGCAGTGGTTCCTAATTAGCTAAGTACTGTGGATGCTCTGTTTTTCATTTTTTTTA